AATGAGGGGATGGTGAGTCCGGAGGCAACCGATCTTGCTCCTTTTTCGCCGCGCCAGCCGCTTGTCTAACGCTTGAACCCTGTTTACAGTCTTACATGTCGCCAGCGCCATCTGAAATGTAACCCATTCACCTGTCTCAACCGTCCAGAACCCTAACGTTACCCTTTAGGTGACAAGACTGGGGCCGTGTGCTTACGTTGTCAACGATCGGGCCGACAGTGCATTCCTGCACCATTGAAACCAGAGGAGGTTACTTTTCGACACGGCCAGAACCCTTCCTTGCGGCCTAAAGGGCCTCCTCGTTATGGAGAAAGCGACTTAGCATTTCCAGATGATCAGATCTGGGTTAATACACCCCCTGACGGTGCGTTTTATCTCCAGGTCAATGTTGTAGATGGTGTGAGGTCGACGCATACTAACCGCCCCGTAGTTGCTTTTGAAGACGAGACAGACCGTACAGCGGCCGATTACCACGTTGTGCAATCTGAAGCGTCTTCATTATACCTGGGAAAGGCCTCTGAAAGTCGATCGTCAACCTCGGTGTCGACGTTGCCACCATCAACATCTTCCCTCCTGTCCCCTGCTCTTTCTCCAGGAGGCCCAGAGTCGTTCCGACCACCGCTTGATATCCCCCACAGCACGATTAATAACCTGCTGCCGGCAGACATTATGGGAGATCACCAGAAACTGGGCAACCTGAATGAGGCTTTTCTCCTTCGACACTTCCGGAGAACAATTGGTGCATGGGTGCGGAACACTTCTGTCGAGTTAGAAATGGGGGCATTGCTAATGTTGGCTATATATGCAGATGGATGTATGCGACCATGAGAGGCACTTCTCAGTGGATGCGGTCGAACGAGCGCCTTCGTCCTCCCTCCTGTTGTATGCCTGCTTAGCTACCGCCGCCCGTCATCTCTCTCAAACGAACAACTCAGTCCCACCAAACACTGCAGATCAATACCACGAGCAATGCATTGCAATTCTACTGCCCGTGGTGGAAAACACTGACTTTAAAATTAGCATCGAGATACTTCTCGCCTCGACAGTAATACTGCGCTGTTTTGAACAACTTTCTTGTGGGTGAATACCATATGTATCTTGAGTGGTGTAGCGTTTACTGACATATTCCACAGCTCGTGCCCTGTCGCAAGACCTACAACGACACCTCTTGGCTGGTTCAGTATATATCGGTTCTCACATCGACTGTGCGTTTTCTGGTGGCCTTGCAGAGGCGTCCTTCTGGGCCTTTGTGATGCAGGATGTGCAGTTCGCATTGGCGACCCGAAGCCCGCTGCGTTTGACCATTGGCCCTTTCGAAGAAAGGCTACGTCTCGCCTGGGAATACCGTAGCGCCCAAACTGACCGGGATTGGGCCCATCGAGCTCTATGGCTGCTAGCTGAAACTATTAACTACTGCTATGAACCAAGCAGTCCGGCTCACTTGAGTTCCGTTGTTTGGGACGTCCTGAAAAAGAAGATCTGTGATTGGGAGATGCGACGGCCAGATAGTTTCCGGCCATTACATTTCTCTCCGGCCACCACAAGCCTTGGGAGACCATTTCCTGTTATCTGGTTTACCAGCGCATCACACGGTATGCTCTCGGTATATCATCAACTGTATATAGTTACATTGACGGCTAATGCCCAAGCAGCTACCGCAGCGCAACAGATATGCATGGCCAAAGCTTTGATACATGAGTATGAGTTGAGAACCCAGAATTTCACGGCTAGCCCAAATCAAGGTAGCAAGACAATCGAGGTTGTTCTAGAACTCCACAACTGAAAGCGCATTACTGACATTAAACATAGAATGCTATCGTGAGAAACCTGAGTATCGTTTTAGGCATTGCCCTTTCGGCCGACGATGACCCTCCCGTTCGCATCATGGCCTGCCATGCGCTGTCTGCTTGTAAGTGTATCACGACAAACCTTGGATCCCATTGCATTGTGGCACCGATTATTAGAAGGCTGCTACTCAACAATTCGGGGGTCATACGCTGTTTGGTCGCTAGTGTACTAACCCATCACTAGGCGGCTCCTGGGTACGTGACCCACTAGCGCAAACGTGTCTTTTAGACCTACTTCGAAGGACAGAAGCAGAAAACGGATGGCCATGGACATCTCTGGCGCAAGCACTAAGTCAAAACTGGCGTATAACGGCGGAATAGTACAGCTGCCATGATACCTATTTTACGTCAAGCGCGCCCTTGCACACACACTTTCTTCCCTCTTCCTGTCCTATATAGCCCCCGCAGACAGACAGAGATGCATGAGATGTCTACACAATCCTTCCCAGCAGACAAGTCTTGTGAGGCAAGATCTACCGAGCCTAAAATCCACACCACGGCAAGGGGGACAGACCCAAGCTAAACTATTTGCTTTTAGGCGATTTGGGGCTCCCGCCGTTGCTTCGCATTCCCCACCCTCATGGGAGCTGGGTGGGGCCACTTCCAGGTGCCGCAATGCCAATAAGCCTTGGCCCGGCTGAGTTCGAAGCAGTACTTTGGAAGTCGTAAAGTACTACGTCTATTTTTGTGGAGCTTTGGTTCGTTTTCTTCGGCGGCCCCAACCGCCGGGCTAATTGCGCATCTAGGCTGCGACACGGTAGCTTATCTGGGCCAAGGACACGCGTGGGTTCGGTTTTGTTATGTACCTAGAAAGACACCCCTTACGTATGCATTTACCGAAAGTAGTCAAACGATAGAGAAGCAGAATGATCGATACTTCCTACACCTAAGGGGCTTATGGTTCCGGAGGCTCAAACTCCTCCCTCACAAATATAGAAAGTTGAGTCTGACCTGGCGTTGCTGAGGCCTCTTCAGTATCAACAACATCCCCAACCTATCTCAAATGGGGTATAACAGGCTATGCTATAAGGTTCTACTAACCGCTTACTTCATAGCGTGGATTCTACCCCCTTTACACTCCTTTTCCAAACACGTCTGATATTATATGACCAACCTGGACAATAATAGCCAGCCTCAACGTCATTTTCTGCACACATTCATGTAGCTGCCGAGCTAGTCTGCAGAGACCAACCGATAGCATTACGAAGCATCATGTAAACATCCAAGATAGGATCGGCAACACGTCATATCCAGCTATAATGACTAGCTCCTAAGGCTGGTATACATGATGTATGTGCCCTCTCCCTCCTTCTATGCCACTCCCTTCTCGGTAACTAATTACGAAGGGTACATACATGAGCGAAGCGCGCCCTAATCGCCGAAACCCAATAGGAGAGAAACACAAGACAAGCAGGAGCCTTTAGACTGTACCCTAAGCAAAAGCAAACCCCCACATATCTAAGCTCCTTCGTATGTGCCACACCATCTCCAGTCCGGATCCCTGGAGTGTGCTCCATAGCTTTTGTGAATATCCAAGCTCCGAAAGGATGGCAGCCTACATCGGATCTAGATCCGCGACCACCCCCGTCGATGAATATACTTTCACTGCCGGTGCCGAGACACCTTAAACCTTATATATAACCTGAACTTATTTTTTTTTTCTGCCCCGGGTTTGTTTTCCGCCAAACCGACGCTCGGATCGTTTCACCATGGGCGTTTTGACTTTCCTATAACACACCTTATTATGAGTCGTGGAGTAATCAAGATAATCTTTGTAGTATGGAGTATACCCCATTCGACCGTATACTTTGCCCTACACCACCATCAACAATCTGGATCACCAAACGGAGTTCCCGATACCAAGCAGGGAAAATAGACAACCATATCCAAGTGGAGTATCAATACCACAACCACCTACTCCAACTAATTAAACTACTACCTCGTAAACATTCTCCGACCCCCACGCCATCTTTCCAACCACATACTCCGTGAATCCGAGTAATCGCCGGCTCATGGGACCTTAGACTAAATCCTTAGTCCGCAACCCAAGTCCGAGTTTCAACACTAAGACAATCAAACGGTGGACAAAATTCAGGGTCAGGTCCCCACGCAACGCAACGGGAACCGAAGTCCGAAAAAAGAAAAAGGCGAAAACAGACTCACCCTAATTCCCTCTCTGCCTTGTTAAAAATCTCGTCCGAACCGTGGTTGCAGGGCAGCTGGGCCCGGTTTTCAGGTTCAACCACTTAGATAGCCAAGTGTCTAATTATGTGATTGTCAAATGTGCTCTTTCCTATAACTAATACTACATTTCCCAGTTGAGTAATCATTACATACATTAGATTAGTTACTACTCTATTTATCAAATAGTTATTTTGAACCATTAGATAAGTACTTAAGTAATATGCTATAAAATAAATTAAACTTTATAATTATAGATTTATACTAAACTAAATCTATATACCGAGACGACCCGTTCTACTCCAATTACCTTGGCAGTCACGTGCCCTTGGAGTCATGGTCAACACAGCCGAGGAATACGTATTCCGCTGACTAAGTTCGTTTGAGGGAGTTTGCTCTGGAGATGTCATTGGTTGGTGGAAAAATAGGATAAGGTTTGTGGTTACGTGTGTTTTGGGTTTGAGTTTGGGGCGAAGGGTTTTTTTTCACCTTTCTTATCTTAGCTTCTAAGTTTCTTTTTTATTTTAATCTTATTTTGGTTTGGGTTTGGCTTTAATATCCTGGTTATTTCTTTAGTCTTGCGTTTCATCGGGGTAATCTGGATAAATTCATTTGCGTTAGGGGTTTATAAGGTTGTTTGGTTTGTTTGTTTGTTTGTTTGTTCTGTAGTTCATTGTTGGATCTATGTCCTAATTTTCGTTTTCTATTTTGGGGTTATACATTGACAAGAGAAGAGGGTATCATATCAGAGAATATGTATGTATGTACAGAGTGGGAAGTATAGTTCACTGAGGGATAAATAGAGATATTTGTGCAAATCGACAAGCTCCACATGCCGTACAAGACACGGAGCATGCGGAGGACACGGGAGGTGTAGAACCACCCTCCGCCCGTGTCTGAATCGCAAAGGGTATATATAAACGACGACGTAGACTGACACGCCCGCTGAGGGTTGATACGAGTGTATCCACATTAATAATACCCGGTCCCCTCAGTCGGCAGAGGCAAGTTGAAGAACCCGTCTCCCAACATATTCTCCAGCGCATACAGGTTCTCCGGCTCAAACCCCACCTGCATTCCTAACTCCGGCACGAAGAAACCCTGCACCGGCCACGGCATCACCATGTTGCTGTTTACCGAGGGATCTGGGTATCCCGATGCTGGGATATCCTGGTAGGTTGACGTCAAGGGGGGATAGTATTGCCGAGTGGTAGCCGGGAACTGGGCCCAGGGGTCTGAATCCGTCGTGCCACCTGTGGCCGGGGCAGGACTTGGGCCGAGAGAAGGTTGCGGCTGTGATACAAGGTCTGAAGAGGGAGTTTGGCTAGCCGGCCCTGAGGCCGGGGGAGTGTAGTCGGCGGTTGATGGAGGGCATGGGCCCTGGCCTGAGCTAGGACGGTTCTGTGGTTCGCCCATGGCAACTTCGCTCAATAGGTGAAGAGGAGTCGTGCCCGTGTTCTTCTGGAGCCATCAGCTATGTTACGGGAGACTTCGGGCAAGCGAATATATCGAACGAGAAAAATGGGGACCAACTCACCCTTTGGTATTTCTCTGCGGCTGATTGACAGGCAGCCTTGTCATTGCCACAATTCATTGGGCGCAGCCCGCCACTGAAAGCGTCTCTTAGAGATAATCCATGGTCCTTGCGTTTCAGAAACCACCCGCGAAGCATGCTCAATACCACCGAGAACTTGGCTGGGGTCCGGCCCCCAGCCTGCTCGCCGGCCCGGGTGTAGTGCTCGATCACGCGATCGAGGTAGTATTCAGTCTTTAGACTAGCGACATCGATTACCTGGCCAATACGAGTTTCCGGTGAAGAGACAATAGAGTGAAGTTTGATCAGTGCAACAACCGTAAAAGAGGTCCGAGCCAGGGCGAAGACGGGCAGAGAGATGAGATCCCTGATGTCAACGGAGCAGATGGTATCTATAGCTTGGTGAATTGAAGTAAGACAGGTGCTCAATGCATTCATATGGGCGGCGCTTGTCGGGCTGGAATGGTCATCGCCTGGCAACTTCTGATCCTCGCTGTAATCCACGTGCATGGCACCCTCGTGAAGATAGAGGTTGACGATATATTCAGCTTGCGTAAATACGGCTGGCAGCTCGTCAGTAAAGGACATAGGGAGAGAACGCCATGGGAACTTACGAAAGTCACTCGGTCCTCGCTCCCTCCGGAGTTGCTCTAGCTGTTTTTCAAACACTTTGAGGGTGTACTGAACCTTGGGCTCTGAGAAGGCAACAATAGACCCAGTATCGTCAGGGCAGAACTGCTGATGGATCTCCTCGATGATATGTACTAGTTTGGCCCATTGTATCATCACCTTGTCCGAGGGTAATGCATCGGATGACTTCTCTAGTATTTCTACGCACTCATCCATATACGGAGTCCAGCGTACTAGAAGGGTGCGTCGCAAGGAGGCAGCAACCCTACAGATGTTAGAAACTATTCCTCACAGCCAGTCTCGAAGGGGGATGCTTACTGCACAGCTAGAAAATAACAACCCAGCCACGCCCGTCTAGCCTCCGCCGAATCAGGGTCCTGCGAAGGCGACTTTTTCAATATAAGGTCCTTGACCAAGGTCCATGGACGGCTCTTTGGCATCGGCCTACGGTACATCCCAATATCCATAGCTATTGTGACAGCCATATGAGTCAACTGGTAAAACTTTAGCTCTTCAAAGTGATCCGGCGGGATGTACCAGTTGCAGGTCACAAGAAGACCCTGAATTAAATCCAGTGACTTTTCGCCTTTGACAACGACACGTTCGGCAATGATCTTGTAGAAGTCTTCAATAAGTGGAATCTGTAATCCAGGCTGGATAGGCCCCACGGCTGTAGCGATAATGGCATGGAGTAGCACCGGTTTGGTCTTGCGGATATCTCCCATCGTGGTTCCGGGAGGAAAGACCACCATTGGGATATGGGGCGCCATATGTTCCACATATCTGGCGAAAGATTCCGATGCAACGGCCGCACTCACAAGGCCTCGGTCAATCACATCGGCGGGTTCGTTTGCTGCGCTTGGTTTCGGCGCTGTGGTATCTGAGCCGGGGCTTGGACGAGTATGCCATTGCCTAGACATATTATCTAAGACCTGCTCTGTAGCCGGGCTTGCAGCACGATAGAATGAGGGTGCCGCCAGACCACCGTCCCTTGAGTCTTTGATCTCCCCACTATGTCGCCGTTTGTTCCCCGCCAGACCGGTTGGGGAGCTCACAGGTGCAGAACCAGTCGATGTGCTATGAGTTGGTCCCAACCATCGTCTTCCAGTATGCTCCTCACGGGGCGGGCCTGGATATGCTGCCTGTAGCGTTGGTCCACTGCCCTGAGAGGCCTGTAGGCTTGCTGTCAGCGCGTCAATCTTCCGCTCCAATTCCGCGACGCGACTATCTGTCTTCTTTTGGCGTCGACGCGTTGGGACCGTAACGACACAGGATCTTCCAGCCTTGGCACACCGTTTACAGGATGCGTTCGGATTGCTCATGTCAGGTTCGCACCGTACTTTCAACTGCCGACATGATTCGCATGCACGTGGTCGTTTCAGCTCGGAGTAAGGATCGTTGGGGTCGAGCGATTCAAGCCTCTGTGTACTACCAATGATGCTTCCGGGGCTCGACTGGTATAGAGCATGAGTAGCCTGAGGTTGCGTGGCTGAGGTACCGTAGTAGCTGGGGCCGCTAGAGGTCGATGTCGCAGAATGCAGTTGTTCATTCGGTGACATCTGGGAGGGAGGGTCAGGATAGTCATTCGTCGGATGGGAAGATAGGGTAGCGGGATCGGCTTGTCGAGTGGCAGATGACGGAAGATAAGCATGGTTCGTTCCGACTCCCTCTGGAGGGCTATTATCGCTGCCCGGACGCAGGCGCGGATCGATCTCCATCAGTTGCGGGGACTGGAGTGGATATGTCACCGTCAGCACGTCGGCCTCTCGACCGCAGCAACATGATGATGAGGCTTGCGATGGGGATTGTTCTCAAATCCAGCAGGCGATGCAGAAGGACAGGGATTTGCGACGGTAGATCAACCAGAACAGAAAGTAATACCACTTACCTGAGAGCAGTTAGACTGTGGAACAATGTATGTCTGTTGATGGAGCTGCTGGCGTGCAGTCGGCAGAATCGGCGGCCGATGACCGACAAGCGGCTGATCGGTTCCCACTAGTCTGCTTTGGGCTGCCCTTGTACTAAGGTACTATACTGCTTTGATACAGGCCCTGCCAGATGATGAGACTTAACCCTACATCCTATTTTCACCAACAACTTACGGCGGCATTCAAGCTCCAGCATATCATCCAAATGTATGTAGCTTCCATTTCTGGAAGGTGCAGATCTACCCGCCATCGACTGCGAACTGCGAACTGCGCAAGGGATGTATCGACACCGCCGTAGGATATAGAGATATAGAGCCGAGATAGCAATTCGAAAGGCAACACGCATATCATGGTATAGAGTAAAATGCTATCTGTAGATTGCCAACAAGGGAAATATAAATGAACGCCCGCTCGAATGGTTGCGAAAGAGATATCCAGTACGGAATTCGAGCCACAAACCAACCAACGCCATACTGCCAACTCAAGCTGATGAGAAGAGAAGAGTCCACGAAAACATAAGAAAAAGATATGAAACAGCTAGAGAGTGAGAAACCAGAAAGCAACATGAACAAATCGCTCAGGACACTTTATGTACCGGACACTCCTTCTTTCGCTCGAACCATTCAACAATGCACCTTTTGTGGAACTTGCAGAGACATTCCAGTCGGATTAACGGCTGACCAACCTCATACTCCTCCATGCAAATAGTGCATTCCTGCACACTGCCATCATGCCCAAGACAATCCTTCTCGGTAGCCGTGAAGGCGAGCATTCGCACAGGTGTGGAAGACTGCGCAACGGGACTGCTACTGTTGGAGGGCGAGCGCGCTCGGGAACCATGATTTTCGATGCACTGTCTAATATGTGCCTCCCGATCATCCTCGTTCCCGTTCACGCCCAAAGGCGGAAGTACATGGTCACAAATTGGGCAAAGATCTCGCTCATCCACACGGCGACGGGGAGTAGAGATAGGTAGACGTATCTCTTGGTTTGGAGATGGAGCGAACGACGGTCCAGCCGATAGCATCGCGCTGCCTGGCGCCAGAGGAAGAGGCCGTCCCGATGCAATCGTAGATGGGGCGAATCGCGCAGCTGATAAAGAACCGTACTCCATTGGCCGTTCTTGGAAACGCGATCCTAAGGACCCCCCGAAACCACCGTACAAATGATAGTCGCCTGACCCCACTGTCCTCCGTGCTGAACGAGTAGAGAAATTGTCGGGCTACAAATGATTATCTCTGATTAGCCACGGAAACATTTACCGATACAAAGAAGGTTAAGTAACTTACAATCGAGGCGTACGGTGGATGGCGGGTGGGTGATGATAGGGAATGGTAAGGACGATGACGGGATTGGTTGGCTGGTGCACTAAAACCACCCCGTATATAATCTACACCTGACTGTGGCTCGCCTGGAGCCCGAATGGTTGTATATCCGCGCGGTGGTTCTGGGTTCGGGTCCGGAACACAAGGGTTGCATAAGCGCACCTCCTCGCCACCCCCAAGAGCCGGATTAAGGGCTGTGGGTGATTGGGCCGAGTCATTTCCTTCTAGATCAATGAGCGGCGCTACACGTGGTGGTATCAGCGTGGATGCACGGGAACGATTGGTGTCTGGCGGATGGACAATAAATTGTCTCGGAATTGTGATCCGGTGAGGTGAACATGACGCACACACCACCCGTCCACACTTGCGACAGTGATGTTTCCTGTACCAGAAACTGAAGGGTGTTCGACAGATCGGACAACTTGTTACCTCCGAGTCGGGCTGCCACCGCGGCCGTATATGTTCTAGATAATCATTTCCTGTTCGTGACCAGGAGGTTCGGCGGTTATTTGATCGCTGAGGACGCTGGTCTGGTGGCGACAATGACAAGTCAATAGGCGTGGAGTAAGACGCACCAGGCGCAGAGCTTTCGGGTCGCATAGACGACGCCGCACTGGGAATAGACCTGCTATTCATCTGTGCTGTCATCCACCCTCCCGATTCAGTCGCACTGCCAGATACTGACTGTCTCGACCAAATATCTCCCTCCGCATTGACTAATCTTCTTTTCCGATCCGGGCCAGTTACAGTGGAGCGCCTTCTCCCAGAGCGTCTGTCAAAAGCAGGACCAGCCTCGCTTGTCATCGCGGTGGCGGAGGTCGCATGGGGTCTAAATCGGTGCCCCAGGGCGGAATATGCGGTAGAAGCACCTACTGGTGCAGAAGCCGGGACAGAACTTGACGACGACGACGACGACATCAACCAAGGATGTTGAGTGGACAACGAATTCAACGTTGGCTGTTTTCCTATCACTGGAGAAATCAACCTCCGCCGTTTAGATGACGGGCCGTCATGGACTGAGTGGCGCGACGATTCCAGGGTGAAAACACGAAAGTACAGAAGTAACGAAGACGGACACGAACACTTGGGGATTGGTTTCGTTGAAGGGGATAGAAGGCAAGGGCGAGAAAAAAGGACGACAAGGGGTGACCGAGCCAGTAATCAAGGGTTCTTATCAAGTACGGTTCAGGGCGGAGAGGGAGTTTCCCAAGATTCGGAGTTGATGGCACTAATAACAGTCAAAAGTAAAAGTGACTCGAGGCGTGGGTGTCTCGTGACACCACAAATACAGACGCTAAAGGGGGAAATAAAGAAGAACGGGAATTGCACAATGAATTTACGCTTGAACAGAATACGAAGTGAAGGCAAAAGAGAAAAAGTGCAGAAAGAAAAGAGGGTGAGAGTCAAGGTTAGTTAGTTGGCAAGTGTGCCTTACGATTCAACCGCCTCTCCTAATATTCTGCGCCGCGGGGCAACTGAAAAAGTGGCGGTCCGTATTTCTAAGGCACCAAACACCCACGAGACTGCAGCACCGTGTGACCTCCGAAAGAATTTCAAGTCATGGGTGAAACCCTTTTACAAAGATGCTGCAAATTTTTCAAACTCTCGGGTCAGATGCCCCTTGATGAGGTAAAGAAGTATCTTCCACTTCTCCAGGCAGTTCTATAGGTTCTCTGCGAAACTTTGATACCGATAGCGTTTGCCACTTCGGCTTATCATAACCGATACTGATCCACTCTTGCTGCTAGATGGATAACCCATGATAACGAATTTGATTCAACCTCGTAAATCTTGGGGCTATATAGCTAGAAAGGACCATCCATCATGCCAGTCGAGCTGACCAACCCTAATCTCACGGTAGTTAAAAAGAACTATTCCCGAATACTTCATACATGAATTGAACGCTCCACAATATACAAGACGAAGAGCTTCTGAATCAGAAGGCTTTTCCCGATCACGATTAGCTGTTTTTACAGGCACAATGGAATGCCATCGAATTAAAGATAGATGAAATAGGGCAGGAATAAGAAAGGAAAAAAAGAAAGAAAGAAGAAAGAAAAAGGGTAGGACGGGCAGGTATTTTGCAGGCCGTGGTGTATATGTAACGGGGATCCAAACGTATTTCAGAACGCCAGGTACAGCTCTTTTCCGATGACACAAAACGAAGAATAGTAAAGGAAATTCGTCACCTTGATATCAAGTACAAATAGAACAGCGCAAGATATACACGCTGTCAGATCGACGGATATATCGTTAGGATAGAAGCGCAACTTGGTGCACTATCATTAGTGCTTCACTTGGAGCACAGGGCTTAATGACTTCCTTCAGGATGGTGCGGCTCATCAACGAGCTCGGCAGCACTACCAGTGAAGGACGGTTCATCCGGGCTCGCTTCGTGGATATAGTCCCGGGTGCGATGCTGGGCAACGTATCCCATGCTCGAGGGCCGCTCGGTACCGTTCCCATGCTGCCGGCTTGAGGACGTGGATGCAGTTGTTGAGGCTATAGAGAAGTTTCGATCCCTTGAAGGGGAACTGGCAGCACTGAACGGCAATCGGCCGGTACCGGATGAGGAAGGATGCAACTGGGGAGCCGGATAGTGAGCTTCCTCCGAAACAGCTTTAGTAACAACGGGAAGAGATCTGTGAGATGCAGTGTCATCTTCTAAAGCCAACGACCGAGAATCACGCCGAGAAGGTCGCGAAGCCTGTGGGGCTCCTGAAGGTGAGCTATGCTGGGATCCTATGCGACTAGGCAGCTCAATAGCGCCGCCGGACTCAACTTGAGGCAGGCTTATCAGCGCCTCGCCAGTTCGGTTGTTGTCATCACTATCTGTATCTGGATATGATCGGTCACTTCCTGACACTCGACGACTGTGCCCTGCGGTGGCCTGTTCGTCAGGCTCATCTCGGTATGGCTCGTGGACATCATCCCCTTCCGGAAGCAGACCAGGCGGGGGTGCCCTTGCGCTGCGAACAACTTCGAATCCTTTACCGCTTTCTTTAGTCTTTCCTCGGAACAGGCTGCGGAAGAAGCCTGTGGCAGACGATACAGGTCCGGTGGGATCTGCAGGGCCAGTCTTCAGCTTACGCGTGCCGCTTTGCGACAGTGGTGGGCCCCGGACACGGTAGTAGAAGTCGACCTCGCGAACAGCGTAATCTTTGCGGGACTGCCGAGGATCATCCAGGTCGAGATCATCTTTCGGCGCAGGAATGTAGGCTGGCACGGGGGTGCCCCGCCCAGACATAGGACCCTCGATTATATCATCATCGGCATCGCTGCCTGCTCGTTGCCGACCGCCCGTTCTACCTTTCTCTCCTCCGCTCATATCCACTCTCTTGTTGCGAGGCCTTGGAGGTCGGTAGTACGGGTCGTGCGCTTGCATGGCAAAAAGGGGACCGCTTTTCGGGGAATTACTTCCTGTTGTCTGGTAGCCTGCACCCTGGAAAGTAGGGTTGCTACCAGGCGTGGTGGGCGTAAATAGACCACTGCTATTGGCTCGACTATGGGTGCCTCCATGAGCACTGCCCGACTCGTAGAAGGCGCTGGTTCTGCCCTCACTCGCGGCTGCCCGATTGAGCAGCATTGCTGAACTGCCTGAAAGGCTTCTGGGCCGTGACCCGTCAAACTGGGAAGACAATCGCTCGTCGGTGTGTGCTAGCATTGCAGCCTCGGAGCCCATGCTTTGGCGAGTTCCAACACTCCGTCTTGGCATACGCCGAGAGAGTTGCCGCATACCGAATACCTAGATTATTGTCAGTCTAGCACCCAGACGAGAAGAGTTACGCTTGGAAAGAAGGAGCCCATAATATTGTACATACCTTGACGAGGCCGCCACGGGTAACACCACCTTCATAGCCTCCAGCACCGGCGAGTCGAGCTATAACTTCAACCAAAGTCTGCAGGGCGTTCAAAAAGAACCCAAAAACTAGAACGACAGCATGTAAGAAGAGGATAACGTAGCCTATCCAACCGCGAGCAGCCTGAGACACGCCTAAAGAGGGGACAAAAACGACGCTTAAGAGGATGGTAAGAAACCGCACAATCGAGAAACAGGCGTGATAAAGGTTCATAGACGTCGGCGAAGGAAACGGGCGGAAAGCAACAAGCGTCAAAATGGCAACAACTTCGCAAATCGCCAGGAGCACTATTTGAGCAATGCCTGAAGGTTGAAGTGCACCGATCGCGACGCCGCGGGCAAACGACAGGAAGAGAGACACCACAGTAAAGGCAGCCGCATCATCGCAGAAGGTGTTGTACAGTGGACCATACAACAACACCGTCGGCAGATCATCGAAGAGGTACGATTTGGGGCGCGTGCTCGCTATCAACCGAATGACCCAGATTGCAAAAGCAATCATGATGAGAATGACCACAACGGCTAGAGCCACAGAGTATGCTGGGGATTCTCTAGCGATAACCAGTTGGAAAAAGGAGAGCGAAATGAGCGGTAAGAATAGATAATTACAGACGATTCGAATGACGTTGCCAACAGTGAACGGCATATTCTTAGAACGCAAGTCTTCCTCCGGAATATTGGCAAGTTCACGATGAAGCCACCGAAAAGCGAAGGCGAGCTGAATGATGAGCGTGATCGCGACAACAATCACGAGTAACCATATTATCATCCCCGGCCAGATATCCCGCGCTGACTCCATTCCAACATATTGTTGTAGAGCGTCCAGCCCGTAGGTACCGTTCACAGTGTATACTCCATCCTTTACAGGATTCCGCTCATTTCCGGGACTTAGAAAGCTCTGGTTAAACATGAGGGTTGACCACGCAACCTGACTCACCACCGGTTGATAATAACCGGGGTAGTTAAGCGACAATGCTCCTGTCAACACCGCGAATTGCATATACTGTAGGCAGTCCCCAAATCCGGGTGTTACCAGGCGAAGGACATCTTCATCGCGGCCATAATTGCTTGTCCAGTGAAAGGGGTCCGTTGTGCCCCATGGACTGTATATTGCAGCGGTTACGGTCGCGACTCCCACGAGAATCAGGATGACAAGAGGGACATAAGCGAGCGCACTTTTCAGGGCCGATCCAAGATCTGGAGTGACATCAACCGATATACATCCCAGCTCAGTGGCCGCTGCATCGCCAGACTTGATTAAGAGAGTTGACGACAGGGTTGCAAAGCGGTACGACGATAGCATGTCATGTTGGACAGAGAAAGAGCGTAAAGAGCTCAAGTCGCTCCTAAGATTATTTATAACATCCAGTTAGTCAACAATGTTTTGCATAGTAGGGATAAACACTCACGCATTGGCGTAAAAGACAGGCCCCAACGGGCACTCTCCTTGGATGATAGAATCGCAGAACCTAGTTGGACCAGAGTATGGGGAGAAGCTAACCACATCAACAGTTGTTATCAGAGTACTGTATCTGTTGTTGGCCGTATCCAGGTCTACGATCTTTCCCACTGTCGCGTTCTGGTTTGCCCACTGCGGATCATCGGGGGATGGATAAGATGACGACTGGTCGACGGTCCCAGAAACATTACCGTATACCGTGATGTTTAAGTTGTGCAGAGAATTCGTCAAGTCGAACTTCACGGACACGTCGAGCGGGACAAACTGGAGTTTCTGTGGGTTCGATGCGATAGTGGGTGCAGGTAAGCAATTGTCGAAGTTCACCAGAGCAGCATAGGTCGGAGACACCAGCATCACCAACAGTAGCATCAATATCCACGCTATCCCCCTGCCATCGGACCGAATCCAACGTCGTCGCGACGATCGCAAGCTATCCCACTCATCCCATAACTGAAACGATAGCTGTTCGTGTTTGGAAACCCCAGGTGCGCGTCGGTCATGCCATCTCGCAAGTTGGTCTACACACATCACGATCGTCAGGTATATGTAGGATGACCTCCTTGGGGAGGTCAGCCCCCTCGTAGACGATTTAATCCACGTTGTCCAACCAAGATCCGAGGATATCTGAAGCTATCAGCGTCTGCCTAATCGGCTCGGTAAAGCCGCAACCTTCCAGGTGAACAGAGCGAACGGGAACAATCCGGGGGAGGATCGGTTTGCAGGGAGGGTGGCGAAATAAGGAATCGCGATCAAAGGGCCAAATAAGAATAGGAGTAAACTACTCCTCGAACTGCCCCAAAATGGAAATGTAGGGGATAGGGACCATAACTCCGAGAGTTGGCGGCGGGGAAGGGATTTCCAGGTCCAAAAAGCGCAGGCGGAGGTAAACAGTGAAGGGGAGCCCGGCACTGTATGGCGGACCGATAGGGATGTCTCTTTTTTTGGCTTTTTTTTTCTCTTTTTCTCACACAAATGAGCGCATGTACTGGTAAGAGCCACAAGACAGGAAAAAAAAAAACAAGGTTGGAAATCGATTGGAATGTGAAGACCCAAAAGCTTCCGTCGAATAGACCCGAAACCAACTGCTGACGGGGACTGCGCCATGTTTGTTCCCTTTGCTTCAAGCCCAATCAATGGATTGGGTGCTGTGGCTTTTGGTGCTAAACTTGGAAACACTAAAACCAGCTCGAAGGAAAGCCCACATCCAGTACCAAACCACCACAACAACTCATCCTCACCACCCAACGGTCGTATAAGCCTCTTTCTCAGCCCACTCGTGTCTCAGCCATGTCACTATTATTACCTACCACCACGGAATTTCGATTTTGCTTAGTCCTGTTGTTATTACTATTGATATTATGACCATTACGTTATATGGCCATTATGGAATGATTTTCCCTGTGAAGTAGACGATGAGGGAAGTACTGTGTAGTTTGATATCTATTCTAACTCCAGTTTCACAGAGTCTGAGAATCAGTCGATACTCGATAGAGGCGATCGAACTCCCACCGTTTATGGTGACCAACCAGAATTAACCGGTTCTGGACCCTCGTATGGATACCTCATATGGAACCCACTTACTAGTCGACTTAGTGCTCACGGTGGAAACTCCAAGACGAGAGGTTATGGTCGCTGTCGGAGGAATTCATGCGTCAAAATTATTCTATCGACCGCAAATCCTCCTTGCTGATGATGCAGAGATCCATTTGACTATTGGTTGCTGCCCCTCGTGTTTTTTTCCTGCCATGGGTCCCCTACAAGTTTGTATGCATGTGAGTGGGCTTTAAAGCAGCTGAAAAGTGCATAAGACCAGTTTTCCCGGCGATCGTATTCTTCAAAAACAAAACATCGCTGTGCTACCATGTCGGAGGGTGGATGGAACCCAGATATATATTTCTCTCCATGGACGCACATGTACTTATACCGGGCTTTCCCCGACATCAGGAATGTGACAAAGGCTGTATACCCTCAGATCATTTGACAGGCTCCCTAAGCGACCGAACCGCATGTTAAAAAGGCTCTCTGTCTGTAATGTAAATGCGTTTGTATCTCTGGTCGTCTGAATCTCTCGACGTATTGCACGTGTTAGATCCGGGGCTGTATTCGATGTGTGATGCTTAGAAATTTCAACCGTTGCTACTATAGCCCTGCTAAAAACCACTGGAGACAGCCGAAGAGTTAGTGGATTCTTGTTCTCAACATTCTAATTACTACCTCCCAGTGATTGATTGGTGTTTAATCATCTAAGCATTGACAATCAGCTGTGCAAACATACTAAACGTTATTGACCTACTACTACATAACCATTCAACGGTATCAAACCGGCTCAGCACTAACAGTTTGTCCCCTTGCATCGGATTGTATATAAACTTCAATTGAATGATGCTGTTCTGCATACAGAGCACCAACCACTGGTAAACGCTGCTGGTATGGCCAAAGATCTTTTCAGAGTGCTCCTATGTTTGTTGAATGAGGATTTTTGTCACTCTTCTTAATTAAGGGGGTTCAAAATATCGTTGCCTACTGCGTATGTATTGGAACATGTTAGCGCCCATCGTGGACCACACACACCTGGGGAAGCGACAAGACGGGCAAACCTTCTCATTTGCAGTCAGGATATGTGTGTTGGCTCTTAAAAACTTAGTATGGCAAAGTGGCTACGTACGTATGTACGTACACTTCCCAGAACATGGAATCAAACCAAACTACTTGTATTCGTTCTTCCCCCCTTTATGTAGAGTCTAGGGTGAATTACTATGTATCGCATATCGTCCATATATAATCATCATAATAATAATAATTGAAAAAAAAAGAAAAGAAAAGAGAAAAAGGAAAAAAAAAAGAAAACCCCACGGTGAAATACTCTTTCCTCAATCCAAAGCTCATGTGCTATATGCAATAGGATTGTTTTAAGGTGTCAACATTAACTGTAACGACACGACCCATCCAAGATGACAACTGTCAAGAGGACATTGAACATTTACGAAACCATTCCTTACCATTAAGTATGAACTCTCACCCTACCTCGCCTCCTGAAGAGGCCCAAGATATGTCATGACAGGACTAGCGGGTTGCCGGTTTGTGGTTATCGCCCGCAGAATGCGCCGGGAAAGATGGAAGAGGAAAGCCGAGGTTATGGACAGACACCTACCGATCTTGGCTCATTTGATACTCGGCTCCTTTGGAATTTAGGCACTGGACATGATGCCTTTTAGGGCGCATCGTTGGCGGGTCTCCATAGGGACGTTGCCGTCGGTAAGGGATCGATCGTAACCTGTTTGTGTTCTTCTTGTACCTTTGCTTTTTCTTGATGAGCTTACATGACCGAGGGGCTCTATAAGTAGAAGGGTGCCCCAAGAAGACAATCATGCTCATGGTATATGGCTAGACTACAAGATTTGTGAATGTGAGAGGGCCGTTTATCTCTTGGCTTTTCCCTCATGAGTGAATAAAAATTGTCCCTGCCAAGCTTTGGCTGTCAGCCATCAAAGACATGTCTGGTGTTTCAGGACTCATCCCATGCCTGATCAGTAGTCTGTGAAAGGAGTTTCAGATGTAGCAGTATTGAGCAGAGCTAGAGTGGCTTCTAGCTGTTTGAACATTGGTGTGATTTTTTTTGTGGCTTGCGCTGTCGCTCTGGAAAATATCTAGACGGTAAGACATTATCACTATGGAATTATAGCTCGGGTATTAAGTGTTATAACCACAGAGAGGATACGAAATAGAGGGACGTGCCCGGTGTTAATTGATCAAAATTACTGTGACATTATTTGGCTCATTCGCGTACTGACCGCGGGAATAAGCCAGCTCATAGCATGTCAATCTTAATTCTCATCAGTGGACCTGAGGAGGGGATTTTTTGTTTATTTACGATTGTCCTCTACAGAGTTAATTGAAGAAAAGGAAGGAGCTGAAAACCACACCCCAAAAAATGAATGAATAAATAATAAAAATAATGATAAAATAAAATAAAATAAGCGAACGTCAACGTGGCGGGACCGTCATTGAAGTGCAACATCGTCCGCGGTGCCCACTGAGACCCCCCCCCCCCATCGATCTGCTCCTCGGCCCTAGGCATCCATGGTTAACTTGAAATTGTCCCAGTAAGAGGGTATTTAATTCCATAGGGTTTCAAGGTTGGATTGTTCCGAACGAGGGTGTACTTCTTGGTGTATATATCTCGGCATCTGGTCCATATGTACGGACATACGCCATGTCTTGAATCCTGAGGATATCAAATAATGAATCGGACAGTGGGAGTCTCTTCCCTCCCCCCCTAGCATGGGCGCTTCCTCCAAGGTTAGAGCGGCTTTTTGGGGTCGTCAGCGGTCCACTCGACAATCAGCAACTCTGTCCCAAAGGGGGTTAGAGTAATGCGGGGCCCATCCAAGATAGGTCTAGTGTTGTTTCAAGATGAGGGCTTGTGAAAGTCCAGGAGGGGAGTGGGACTGTTTCATGATTGGCTCAGAGACGGTAAAATGGTGAATGCGTTCCCTTGATAAAGCGGCAGGGATTCCAGTAAACTTACAGCTACTACTACTGTAATGAAGGTCCTACTACTACTAGTAGTAGTTGGGGGTAAGTACTTACTACGGAGTAAATACCTACCTGCGGGATGTCAACCAACTACCATTCTTGTATTGTGTAGGGACCGGGTCAGTTCCCGTGATCCATTTTAATCTAGTCGCACGACCTCATAGGTAGGGGTTTCACTTGCCGCTCGTGTGATGAGCGGCGGCCTTCAGTTGGCTTGACCATATTATTATTTATCCCAAGGGTAAGTGGTGGTCGAGGAGGTTGGAAGGATCTTCTGCTGAGACATGAATAGCTGGCGGTTTTAGAAAGAGGCGGTGCAGGAATCCTGAGTGCTTAAGATTACGCGAATCATGGGACCTGGTTGCAAGTAAAGGATACCTACCTAACCTTAGGTTAGGGTCCCCTGTAGGAGTACGTACTATTGCGAACCTACAGCAAATCCAATGTATTTGCTTGAACTCTTACATACATTGCGGTATGGTATGTATGGAGCATGTATGTATGTAATTGAATGACAGTGTCTTCTCCCCGATAGAGCCCACGTGATCATCTTTCAACAATTGTCAAACCCTCATCCTTCGTGGTATACTGCTCTGACTAGTCCTAAATAGTAGGATTATTATTATAAAAAATTGGACTAGTGTAAGACATTCTCATTTTATGAAAACCACTGTGCATTAGTAACGAACCATTGTGCGTAGAGAATGATAAGGCTAAACCATTACCGTCCGGAATGTAATCTAGTGTAGGACAGTCGGTCGAATGTGAATGGCTGGATAGTCTTGAGATTGGGGAGTTCCCTGGCTTAGTACTAGTATTGCGGAGAAGCGGCCTAAGGCCAAGTTTACTGTCCATCCATTCATTATTACAGGAAGTTTACCCGCCTTTCGGTCGGCGACATGTTTAATAGCACGGAGGTCGTACCATGTCCACTTTCATACTCCCTCGCGCGGCCTTTTCCTCTCTGGCTCTCTGCTCGATTTCTTTCTTCCTTTCTTTGTCTTCTCTGACTTACTATTAGTAGTATACTTTTGTTCTGAGGAGTGGGTTTCTTCTTCTTCGACTTCTACAAACCGTCCGAGGAACAAAGAGAGCTGCTGGCTCAGCTTGATATTTTATCTATCGTCTGTCACTTACTCAATAGCCCACATCCTCCTTCACATCCACTCCAGATACGCCCCCCTCGTGCGCAATTGGGGCGCGGGAATTCAGCAGATTTATCTAAACGCCTTGGACCTTAGGTTTGTCTAGTTCCATGGCCTAATTTCCATGCTCCCCCTGAGCACTGCTCTAATGGCCGCTTGGTCGCAAACTCCGTCTGTGAATGGTCGTTCTAATTGATTGGTTTTGGCAGATCGCCGGTCCCCTACTCCACTAAACAACGAAGGCAATCACGCCTGTCTCCTAGCCCCCGGTAGTACCAGTTCACCTGGTGACGAATTTCTGCGCTGGAAGCTGTCCGACCCTGAGCGTTTTATTATCACCTCTCGCCTCCCCGTTCCGCCTAGACTCCCCGATCATTCTCAAACAACATTTTCCTAGGACAGGATAACGTTCGCCCAGGGTAACAGCCGCTCCTCTACCCCGCCGCTCCTTGTCATCCTTGGCTGTTCTCCGAGTCGCAACTCCATAAATCTTCCTGGACCTTAAAAAGGCACTTGCGTGACCACACCAAATCGCAACGCTAGGACTAGTTTAGTCCCCCTGTCGGCGCACAAGCACTATAACGTCAGATTTGGCGGGGGAAAGTACAGACAAGGCCTCAAGACCCTTCTCGTCTGATCTTCCCAAGCTTGCCATGCTTCTATAGAAAACGATACCAGCTATCAGTGACAAACATAGTGAATATGTCTACAGATGACCCTTTCGCCTTCCTAGGTGACACCAAAGCCACCCCCCAGCGGAAACCGACTACGAAGCCTCGATGGCGGGAAAAACTATTTTCGAAGGATAAACAAAGCAAGGGCGCAGTTGGCGGCGGTGGCAGGGGTGGGGGTGCGACCGACCAGCAAATTGAGTCGTTTCTAGCCCCCGTTCGTTCGAATACTGTATCGTATGGATCTCATGGAGCTCACTCGACTGCTGGGGCCTCACGGGGACTTCCAACACCACGTTTAGATGTCTCACAACGGTGGCAGTCATCATCATCCCAAGATGTTTCAGAAGCCTCTCCCATTGCGAAACCCGCTTCGGCTACCGATAGCTATCCATCGATGAGCTTTCCAAGGGCTCCCCCGAAAAACCCCGCTCGGAAAGGCCTGCGAGTCAGGTTCACTGAGAGGGTGCCCGAGGTGATCGGTGAGGGTGGTGACGAATCGGAAACGCCCACGGTGGTGATATCCAAGAATCGCAATCGTCAAAATAGTCACGGGTCAAGTCAACAAGGAGATATACTGGATTCTCGTCAACCAACACTCCCTCAGCTTCACCTCGATACCTCTTTGGGAGACGGGTTTGCATCACGGCATCAGCGTACGAACACGCAAGACAAGATCAACCCCGCTGCGACCAAGCCGTTATTTTTACAGAGCCCTCAGGATTCGGATTTTCTCATGACACTAAACATGGGCCAGCCCGGGTCTCGGTTGTCATTCCGAGCATCGCCGGAGTCTAGCACGTTTGCGCAGCGAGTCCGGGATAGGATGCAAGCTGAGGAGGGTCGTGCTCTGCAACATCGTTATCAAGATCCCCCGTCGCCGAGCAATGACAATAAGGAAGGGCAAGGGCCGATGCCGGTGGCCCCAGCGGCCCCAGCGGTGCCCGATAGTCCAAGCTCCGAGTATGAAACACCTCCGATTTCAGAGGACGAGGCCGAACCAGAAGCCAACCCTTTCCGAAATCCTGCCAGCCCGCCATCGCGAGGACCTGTTTCTCCGCCGATTGAGCCTACGTTACCTTCTGGTCTCACACCGGCTAGTGTGACGATGAGTGCCTCTCCTCCAAAACCCCTGCCTCCTTCCAGGGACTCTGCCATGGGTAGCCCAGGCCGCCCGAGTAGTGGAGACAGCCGGGATGCTCCACGAAACCCTCAAGTTCCCAAGATGTCCTTACGGTCTATCGCTAACCAGTTTGGTGACGCTGCTTTCACGGACCTCAAGGCTTATGTAGCGCAGCATGAAAGCCTCATTCGACATAATGCAGAAAGGAGGAAGGCCTTGATGGAGTATTCGCTCACAGAGTGGGTGAGGGCTGCAGTATGGTGGTTTATGCGCGGGAAGAAAACACTTGAGGTGTACGCACGATCCCGCCCTTCGAGCTCCGGTTCCAGTCCGCAGCAGTCCAAGTCTACGGAAACCGCGAAACAGGCTGTGGTTGATCTTGGGAAAGCATTGTGGATATGTGAAAACGTTATTCCTAAACACAACGAGTTAACCCGTTACGGTGCGATGAGCGTCGACGCCTTGCTAGCAGTAATAAGCACAACTGGCGACAAACGCTTAGCTGACCTCCTGGGCTTGCACCAAACGATCTTAAATCACTTGCGCTCTTTGGCAATGTCTATCAAAAGGAACAATATCATTACCTCAATTGATGCCACAGGCGGTGCAGGAATCCAGGCTGAGACCAGTATGTGGTTGAAGTATCCTGCCTTTGCTCCAGATGTCTCAGCCATCCTTTCTGGTACTGCCACGAGGTCTATGTTGGTCGACAAGTCTGGACAAGGGCCGAATCTGGCACAAACTATGCCACTAGGTGATACAAGTCGATACTTCAGCTATGGAAGCATGTTTGTGAAGGTTATGGTGAGCTCAAGTGAGGATGGTACTCACCATGACGAACCCCTGCCGTGCGTATTGTCTATTATCCGTGACCGGGCCGACTGGTACGTGTTTGCATCAATTACCAGCCAGAATGAATTGGTCAATGTCATGATTCAGTCAGATAAGAAAAAGGGCCCTACATGGAATGATGTGCACTGGCGTGTGCGATCAAACTTCATGCAGGTGAAACTTCCCCGTGGGTTCCAGTTGGATGTTATGTTCCAAGAGGACGATTTCAAAAATCTGTGGAACATCGTGCAATATACACAGCAAACCGAAGCTAGTTTGCAGCCGAAATCCGATGAGACTACAATTTATGAAACTACCTTAAAGGTTTTCCAATATATGGATCCTAGCAAGAGCAAGGCGTTCCCTGCTGAACCTATTGAGCACTGCCGCGTTCGGCTGTTTGAGCGCTCCATGACCGTGACTGAGGGCACTGGTAGCCGCGAATTACACCAAGGCTACCGTATTGCAGTTCTCACAAGCCCCAAGGTCAAGACGCTCAGCAATGTAAGCCACATTATCGGTCATAATGCACCAATCGTGTTTGGTCTTCTCAGAGGTGAAGATGGAGCGCCGGCTCTCATGCTCAAGGTCAAACAGGATGGCAGGAGTCGTTCCATGCTAATGACGTTTCACGACGTCGAGGAGCGCAGTGCCCTGCATTCTCTACTACTCGGAATGACAACCAAAGAGGGGGAGGTTAAGACACCTGATATTCCTATCCGTGCTTACGCCATCGAACAGCCAGCTGATCGATTCAACGGTCAGCCGGAGACAGCCCACTTACAGTTTCCTGCTGGTAGTGTGTCGGTTATTGATCAGGAGCACGCCTTTGTCGACCATCAATATGGCCCAACTATTCTCTCAGAACATTTACGGGCTTTCGTGGCGACCGAATGGGGATCTGTAACGGACCGTATCAACCTTGGTATGTCGCATAATCTGGTCTCGCCGAGCTACTGCTAATACTGCTTTAGGGCCTGGCGAGTTGAAACTGGGTCTGGAAATTAACAACCGTACGGGCCTGAGTCTGTACCGGCCCGGACAACATGATCTGACCGTTTCAATCGCCGAGAATCTCACCGCTCCTGAAATGCCAGACCGTTTTGCGGATTTCATGCAGATCGCGATGGTGAAGCCAATGGTCCGCCGGTTTGACTTCGCGACTGTCAAAGGTACTTCTTCTTGCCAAGCAGCGGTTGACCTACCTAGTTACTGACTTTAGCAGACCTTCACAAGTTTGAAGCCGCTGTCACAGGATTCAACGTGCTATACGACGGGTATGATGAACTTTCTTTGTTGCCAAGTCTCGCCAAAGACTAACGGAGACAGTATTGCTACTTCCTTCACGATATCACGACGCCGCATGGTGGTCCCAATCACGAAGAAGTGGGAATCAACTAGAGCCCGGATTCAAGTGGTTCAACATGACAAGGTTATACAATTGATAGCATTTTTGAATGACTTCCACCATGGAAAGTGCATGAACTTTGTACTCAAAGGCACCGATGTATACGAAAACTTTACCCGCTCGGGCAAGTTTTGCATTAAGCTGTGTGATGCCAAGTTTGCGCTACCAAAAACCGGCGATGATCCCACGTCTAGTTTCATCTGCTTGGACATGCCCGATTTCCCCAGCGAGAATGATGATATTTCGATTGGCTTCGATTCTGAAGCTGGTATGTTTTGTTCCCCCCGACGGAATGGTAGGCTGCGCTAACACTTACCGACCTAGACCGAGCCAATTTGCAAGCTGCTCTTCCAGGATCGTCTCGGGAGGCATCTCGAATGAGTTCTCTTCGGCGGTAAACCCGCGTCTAACAAATGACACTGTATCTATGTGGCCACCATTGATGACTTGTACATATGATAACGCAATTGAACGGCGGGACCCACGTGTCACGTGTTGCCCCTCTCTCCAGGTCTTTCCCCCACTTCTCTCAAGAGGCCGGCGTGGAATCCGCAGTTCCAACCGGCGACCCTCGTTCTCCCCTCTCTCCTAGCCATTCTTAGGTTCCAATACTGTACAATGGCTCCAACCAATGACAGCATTGCCGCTGCTACGCATGCCTTGCATGCAGATGAGGCGCTGAACGTGGTCACCGATGTAGCCCCTCCGCTGCACCTTTCCACTACGTTCCGGTACCCTGATGATCCCGAGGACCTTGTGCCGGCAGCAGATCTCAGTGGTGTATGTTCCTTTGATTCTCGGCTACTCTATGCAATTGGTTGAGCCGGTCTGATAGTGTCGCTTTAGTATGATCAGGACAAGACCAAGCACATCTATTCTCGTCTGACGTCGCCTAATTTGAACCGATTTGAAGCCCTCCTGTCTTCACTTCTCCATGGCGAGGCGATCAGTTACTCGTCCGGTCTATCGGCCTTGCATGCAGCACTCGTCCTCCTGAATCCCCGCCGAATCGCAGTTGGAAACGGATACCATGGATGTCACGGTGTTATTAAGCTCTTCAGCCGTCTCACCGGTCTTCAAAAGCTGGACCTCGACTGTCCCGCTGAGCAATTAGAGTCGGGAGATGCTATCCTTCTGGAGACCCCGGTCAACCCCGAAGGCACCGCTTTCAACATCGAAGAGTACGCCAAGAAGGCTCACTCGCGCGGGGCGTATCTTATTGTGGATAGCACCTTTGCTCCGCCGGGTCTGCAGGACCCATTCCAATGGGGTGCAGACTTGGTCATGCATTCTGGTACCAAATACTTTGGTGGACACAGTGACCTCCTTTGTGGTGTTCTCGCCACACAGCGGAGTGATTGGGCCCGGCGGCTGTTCGAGGATCGGATGTTCTTAGGTAGTGTCATGGGCAATATGGAGAGCTGGCTGGGGACGCGCAGTTTGCGGACCCTGGAGGTTCGCGTGCAGCGGCAGAGCCAGAATGCCACGAACCTAGTCACATGGTTGAACAACGCGCTGCAGGCGCAAAACCCAGCTCCTGGCAGCGATGAGGCTGTGACCCAGGCTGCTCTGCAGCAGGTATTCCACGCCAGCCTGCAGAAAGAGGATGAATCGTGGTTGCTCAAGCAGATGCCGAACGGGTTCGGACCGGTGTTTTCGATCAGCATGAAAACCGAGGACTATGCACGTAAGCTCCCCAGTAAGCTCGCCTTCTTCCAGCATGCTACCAGCCTCGGAGGTGTGGAGACCTTAATTGAGTGGCGAACGATGAGTGATGTGACGGTGGATCGCCGGTTGTTGCGGATCAGTGTAGGATTAGAGAATTGGGAAGACCTCCGGAGGGATTTGGTAGGCGCATTCCGGGCGTTGAGTGAGTAAAATCTGATTCACGACATGGTATGGACATATAATTTGATACGTCAATGGAAATGGTCAGATCGACACGTCTGATTCCGTTTAATTTGGTGCCGTAACGTATCGGAGATAATCACGTAGCTGATAAGCGATGATATCAACATCAACCCCGCATTTATATATAAACTAAACACATGGATGAATTGGGTCTAGCCTTCGCCCCTCTCGTAAACTTCAACTCATTCCTACTCCGACTTCCTCATTTACACAGTACATTCGATTCATCCCCACAACCAAAAAGGAAAAGAAAGAGTACAGAAAGAAATCAAGAAAAAAAAAATGACAACCCCAACCTTTCAAATCCACTACTTCTCCTCTGCAACCACCTACACCGGCAAACAGACTGAATCCCTCCGCGCCCCACTTCCCCTCAACCAGCTCTTCGATGTCCTAGAGTCCAAGTACCCAGGCATACAAGAGAAGATACTGAGTAGCTGTGGGGTGAGTCTGGGGGAGGAGTATGTGGATGTCACTGATTGTGAGGGAGTGGTGATTGAGGCGGGGAATGAGGTGGCTGTTATTCCGCCAGTTAGTTCGGGGTGATTGATTCACCTTTTTGTTTTCTTGTGTTGATGGAGAGAGAGGTGAGGAGAGTGTTGAGTGGGAGGTTGTGTTTTGTTTTAGGTTAGTGAGTTGGTGTTTGGATTTGAGGCTGGATTTGGCTGACTGGATTATTTAGGTGCTACGTACAAGGGATGAAAGACATATGGAGCAGAATCTGAAGAACAAAAGAAAGAAAGAAAGAGGCAGACAGACAGACAGACAAACAGACAGAGAATTTCCGGGAATGGAGAGTATTAGGGCAAACGGTACCAATATACAACAGACAAGACGGAAATCACCAAGGAAAAAGGCATTACTTCACAATGCAACGCTTCGACAATACCCACCGACCACATCACCATCAATCCCCCATAACCAATACACATTATTCAAGTCAAACCGTTTCAGCCGTCCAATTTCTCCGTTCCACTCGCCTTCTTCTGCTTCCAGAGACAGATGCAACAGATCATGGAGAAAAAGAACATGATACTAGCTTGTCGTTAGCACTAGGTCCAGCCCCAAAGAAACGGCACTGAAGAAAACAAGAGACAAGGACATACCACAAAGCAATACTCAATCCCCAGATACTCTTCGCCTCTAAGCAAACCCCCTTGCTCGCACCAATCAAAGTCCCGTACTGCAACTTTCCGTTCAGGTGGGATAGGTAGCTGCTTAATTTCGTGGCAAAGGCATATGCGCTGGAAATCTTGTCGGTGGCCTCGGCAATCTTGTCACATTGCAGATACGAGAGTGGCTTTCCGATTATGACAGCCACGACGATGACAGCGATGAGGAGGAGGAAGTCTGCGATGGCGGCAGCCAAGAAGGGGAGAATGTTATCGAAGAAAAGAATCGTTGTGATTATGCAGTAGATTACTGCTATGCAGGTCTAATTTGAATTAATCTCTGTTGGGAGCTCTGTTTTGAATGGGGTTATGATTGGGATTAGGGTCGGGACCATACCACTGTGATTGTGCCGATAAAGATACTAGGAGGAGTGAGGTCACTGTTCACAATCTCTGCGATGAAGTTGGCCGTCAATCCGATGATCGCAACAAGAGAGCAGGCCTGGATGATCCGGGCGATCATGAAAGTTGCGCCAAGGGCTCCGTATTTCGGCATGTTGGATGGTTGTATATATCTGCCGATCAAGACAGGATGTAATGACTGTATAACGGGATCTTTTCACCACAGAACAAGAAATGAAACAGTTAAAGGAGCGGTATTACGTATATATCAATATAAAGAACGTGATTCACAACAAGGACACAATAAAGAAATCGGAAAGGAATGTGCGACTCAATATTAAGTAGAAATTGCGATGACCTGACTGTGACTTATCTCCCATCTCCCAAGACCAAACCACACCCTTATATACCAAAACCCAATCCCCGAATCCCAACTCAACGAAAACAAATATAGCACACACTCAAACACCCAAGATCTAGACCAAAACCACACGATCAAAGCTCACCCGCCAACCGCCGATCTCCAGCGCCTACCGACAAATCACAACCTCTATGACCAAAGTCCCAGGAAGAAAGTCTAGACCCCGTCCAAGCTCAAACAGGGAAGGAAGTTGAGCCTCGACCCCAGCGCATATATCCATATCTGCAGGGCGGCACCGGAAATAGAAATGGGACGCAGGATTGGGTGTGGTGGGTGCTTGGGGGCGTGAGATCCGCGTCGGCGCTTAGGGTGGCTTCCTGGGGGGAGCTCTGGGCCAATTGGTGGCGTGAGCTTATTTGGACTTGAGACGGGGGGGATTTAGACGAGAGTTTGGGTTGAGATGGTTTTATTGGGTTGTTTTTATTTGGTTTATTGTGGACTGGGCTTGGTGGATGTTATTTTGGGGTTGGGGTTTGATTGGAGGGTTAGCTGGGGGTTGGTCTAGATGTGAACTGATCGGATTGAAATCATCATTGGCAATGTTATTGAGAGTAGTGTTGATAAGAATGGTATAAGCATAGTGTGCATATAGATAGTTTGAAAGGTATGGATAACGGCAGCATCGTGTCATACTCATCCAAGCCTGAACCCTCCACTCGTCCGCTTCTGGAAGAATAACTCGGGATCATACTTCTTTCTTGTCTCGCGTGCCTGCTCAGTCGAGCCCAGACGGCTCCAGTAATCTTGCGCGTAGTTCGCGTCGTTCATGAACAACGGCCTGTAGACGTCTGGTAGCACGCCTTCGTCAATGTAGTTCGAAATAATCCTATCGAACCCATTGAACAGGTTTTTGTTCGCAGCGTCGATCTTCTCGTCACTTGCCGAGAAGGCATAGGAGAAGTCCAATTCGATAACGAGATAATCCTGATCAGTGGGAAAGTTGATAAGGTCCTAATGGCATGATATGTGTGATTAGCCGCTGTGGCTAGGGCTTAGGAAGTTACAGAACTTACTCCGCCACGGGCCTGAGCTTTTTGCGCGATCGTTCTGGGCATCGGCTGGAATGCGATGGAGCCAATCATATTCGGGACGCCCAGGACCGTATTTGTGATGTTAAACCAATGGTCGTAGTACGTTTGCATGACCTCTGCGCCGACTGTTTTGTTAGGAACCGGTGTTGTTTCCGTTGCGATGGTATACCGTTGGCCCCTGCTTTAATTAGTACACCAGTTTTACTAATATATGCTGATAGGCTGCCTTACTTCAAGATGAAGAGGTCGTTGTGTTTGAGCTGTGAGTACACGTTAGCTTGCTAGGTAGTCTGGTTAGAACTAGGGTGCGAACCAAATCGTAGTAGCTATCCCACGTCTTGGTCGTGTCCAATGGCCCAATGGCCTTGAATCGATCGAAGACGCCCTGCGGAGGCTCCGGTCCGTCGTAGAAGAGGAACATGATCCATGTGTTGATAAGCGCGGCATGCTCAGCCGTCACGATGATGGCGGCCTTGTCATCGGGGTAGTTTTCGGTGAAGTCACGGATGGCTTCGAGAATTTGAGGCGTCTTGTCCGCACTGAAGACGTAGTTCCCTCCCCAGACCTGTCATGGTTAGATAACTCTAAAACACCTTCTTCTAACATGAAGTGTTGACGAACCTTATGGTCCATTGGATGTGTCTGGAGGGTATAAGCCGTGACAATGCCGAAGTTGTTTCCACCTCCCTTGAGGGCTGCGAAGAGATCTATTGTTCCACTGTCACCCTCTGCCTCTGGTCCCAATTGGTTATGAGCGTTTGCCTACCGGTGTTTTCCTTCTCGTTTGCGTTCACAATGGTGCCGTTGGCCAGAACGACCTCGAAGTTAATGACGTTATTCGCTGCCCAGCCATACTGAGAGCTCAAGAAGCTCAGCCCACCTTGAGTGCCGAAGAGGTTAGCCAACAGTTCGAGTTACTTGAGCGGAAAGAAAAGGTTACCGTACCTCCAAGCATATATCCACCCACACCCACACCCCCCAGGCGACCACCAACAAGGGTCCGACCAGTTCCATCCAGGCCCTTCTGTGCATCTTCCCAAGAAAGCCCCGGCCCGATAATAGCGGTCTGATCCTCGGCATTATAGATGACATTGTCAAGGTTCTGGGTGGTGATGAGGAGCCCGTCCTGAATGCTGGCGAAGCCATTGTTGGGCATGTGTCCACCGGACTTGACCGCAAACAAGGTATCAACATCATGGAGCTCCTTGACGATCTGAGACATCTCCAGAGCGCTCTTGGGGGAGGCGATACATGTTGGGCGAAGATTACCGCACGCGGTGGACCAGTAGTCCTTCAGAACCTTGAGGAACGAAATGGTCAAACGATTTTCGATTGCTATGCCTTGCTGATCGAGCTTGGAGCATATGTCTGCCGCTGTTGCTAAAGAACCAAAAGCAGCCAGGGAAGCCACTATGGCTGTTCGCCATGTTTGGCCGGGTTTCATGGTGGTCAATGTAGATGATTATGGAGCAGGGAATATGGAAGAAGTGGATTATGTAGGTCACGGATTTTAATTTATGATACTATAGTCACTAAAATGCGTACGGGAAAAGCGCTATATATGTATGTGCTATGGCAGTTGGGCAGGGGCCGAAAAGGGGCCTTCGAACTACAAGACGAATAGTATCGCCTGGCAATGATAGCCTTCTTCAGGGTTCAATGGCCCCACTGTCACAATCACACTACCAGCAGCAGTGGAGCCGTATCGGAAACTGGTGCTGGGACTTAGGTAAAGGAAGACCTGGCTTCTGGAGAACGGCTACATTGCCCCGAGACCAGGTCTCTCTGCTGATCCCCGTGCGGCCTATGGCATGGGCTCAAAATCCGAAAATGATGTCGGCTATGGGCGTCTGAATTGCCAAAACCTAGCATATTAGAAGATTTGTAGCCCGAGGAAGAGGGGCTATGCGTTTCCTAACCGGAATATAATCCTCGATGGTTGTCCGTGCCAAGTTAGTATAGGTTCCATGGTAGCGAAGTGGACCTCCGATCGAACCGGAGATCAACGCATATTTTACTACTAAACAGCCCGGAACTGCGGCTGTATATTGCTAATGGAAAAGCTCCTAGAAAAACTTTTCTAATAACTTGGTAGTCATCCGCAAATCCACATATCCACACCCGGGCGCCTCAGATCAGGTTATTCGTTGAGTTTCAGGAGTTTGGTGGAAAAGGGAGGGACTGCTAGTCAATAACATCCCTGTTAAGGGACTAAGCCAGGGGAAAGGCATGCCTAATATCCGAGGTATTAATGCTGACGTTGGCAGTAGCAAACATCGTTTGGATCAGGGGCACGGAGTATTTCACCCTCAGTGCATATCGTTCTCCGCAAGAATGAACGCTTTCGAGGAATGTTTTTAGGAAAGCTATCACGCTAAATGCATAGCACAACTCAGATCACTTAAGCGAGCCTGTATAGTAGCGGCATTTGCGAAGTCATTCTTTCAACATCGTGCGGGGAAATACGCCATTGCATGACTGGTGTCAGAGCGATCATTAGGACGTTGGCAGATGAGGCTTTGGCCTGATTCGGTTGGGCAATTCAGGAAATGATGAACAGGCCCTAGGAGACTTAGACTAGATTATAAGGTTAGTTTGATTTAGCGGATTTAATTCACGGATATATTGCATGGTTTCGCCTGATCGACACTCCATGAGGAGAGTCGAATGCTTGGCAATTGCCGAAGGGAACGCGAACGACCAACGACCAACAACTCGACTATCACATTTCACATGCAAAGACGACAGACACGATCTTCCATAAACGTAAGGCAGCCGAGGATTTGCACTATAACCGTATATTTTTTTGTGGGTAGACGTGGAGACAGCGGAGAACTGAGTTTAGGGTCTATCCAGAGACCGAGGAGCCGGTAGAATGCCAAGCAAGTATCCGTAGCTTGAGTGTGGCAAATCCGCAGTGCACTTGAGCTATGCTTATCCTCCCAAAGCAGTAAACAAGGCGAAGAGAAGAAAGTGTCAGCAATTCACGGCCCTGTTTGACGGCATTGCGGTGGAATTACGCCGCCACGGCTATATCACAGCGGGTATCGGCAAGGAAATCTCCGTCAGCAGATGATTTGCCGGAAATGGATTGAGTCCAGGACTCTAGGCATCCGTTGATTCCTTCCCCTGTAAAGCCAAGCTGCATAAGGCTCCATCAACAAGGGTTATGGATAGAATTGCCGACAAATCAGGTCCCCGCAATTGAGACTGATTTAGAAACAGTCTGTTTGCTGGTCGACTCTCATTTCTTTGTAAACATGAGTGACTAATAGCTTGGTAGCTCGGAATTTTGTACCTTCAGATAAAAGCACCGAGATAGAAGCGCTAGCCAGCCACGCAGCTTAAGCATGTAGAAGACTAGATGGCTGGAATGAAAGAGGATATACACGTAGTTACCTAAAGAAGAGTAAATAGCTTAATCATATGAGTTTCAGACGCTAAGCCGAATTAAGAATTAACCGCGGAAATATTCTCAGGCTCACCGCCTCGGCGGTGGAGGACATTCTGCCGGGGCTACCCAGCAGGCTTTGCGCTGGAACTGCGCTGAAAATGTTGTTTGCCACGTCTCTTCGGCCTTGATTGAGGGGTTCTACTGTGGACTTGGGCATTATAATGCTCCATGATGTCTTTAACTCTACTGAGGAGTCGAGTATCACAGAGCGTGGCTGACGTGAGAATAATCAACCGGAACCGTTCAGCGTCCTCGATCTCCGGAGTTGTTTCTCACTTTCGTTCGCTCCCTCAACGCAATCAGTTTCCATTATGCCGCCGCGATGGGTCGAGCAGATATTATAGTGAAGTAAAGGTGTGGAATACTCAATTTGGTTGCGGTCGCGACTTCTCTGACCAGCTTTAGAGTCCCCCACAAGACCTCCTGAGGTCTTCTACTTCCATCGAAGACATCCGTCTTAAATCCGAGTTCGAGGAGAATAAAGATATCCGGGAATATCTGCGAAAATGGCAGGAGAATCATCCGAATCCTCTGGATCCTGTCCGAGGGCCCGGGACATCAAATACATTGGATGCTTCGGCACCTTGGGTTGGAAACATGCTAAACGACTATCGGGAAGCGCATGATGCAGGTAGCGATGCCCTGCGAGAGACAGACGAGGATGTTACGGACTTTGAAAATATTGCCGAAGAAGGGGAAGGAATGCATGACTTTCTGGAGCCGGGAGATCTAGTGGCACTGTCCTCGTATGCTGCCCCTCATTGTCAGCTGCTGGTTCAAACGTACTGACTGGTTCCTGAAAGTGCCGAAGGCATCCTGAATCTTGCCGTTTACGTTCGGTCTGTCTGCAAGCAGCAGCAATTCTACACTGATCGAGGAAAATGGCGCATTGCTTTTGCAAAGGATCTTGATTTCGTGATAAAAGGGTTTGTCCCACGAGAACTGGTGGCCCCCTTGCTACCCCATTTCCCCGACGCTCTCGCACAGCTCAGCTTGGAAATGCAATCAGCTATCGAAGGAGGGGTACCGAGGCCGATTGGTGCGCCTATTTTGCGGATGATCAATGATTTCAACGAACAGGTTCATCAGTTATACCAAGCGAATGCCTATCGGCTGGACAATATACATGAGATCGTGGCGGACGAGGAAGAGAAACTAGAGTTAACACTCGAAAATCTGACCTGTAAAGCGCTTGATATCACAAGTGACCAAGTCGACGATAAGATCTTGTTTGCCGTACATCGGGCCATTCGTCGAAATTCCTTTCTCATCGAGAATGATCGGAGCTCCATCTTCACCGACCACTATTTCGTTCAACCGAGGCGAGTCGCCAATATACTTGACACAATCCTCACATGGGTGCATGAACACCAAGAGTATCTCATCCGTGCCGTCACAGGAAACGAGGTGCCTAATCTGAAAGACCATCCTATCCAGCAATTCATCCAGAAAGCCCAGCGTCTTATAAGGCTCAGTCGAAAAGTTAGGTCTCCAACAATACTGGCTTCTGTCGGTCCAACAGCGCAGCGATACCAGCCTGGACAAGATGGGAAGCCTTTGGTTTACCGTGAGGTCTTGACAGAGACATTTAGTTACACTGATCGTATGATCATCGAATATCTTCAGCTTTGGTGTATTCCGCCCCGACGGATGACATCTGGAATTCTTCGCTCGGCTGGGTCACACATTATGCGCGCCACAGGAATGTATAGTGCGCTGGACACGAATGCAGGTACGGCTGCTCTATTCTTGCAAGAGTTGGGAGTTGTGGCCCCATGGGAGAATTTGCGATTACTGGATCAAAATTTGGCACTTCCAGGACATGGTGTATCCCCCCAGTCAGACAGAATGTGGGAGGATGTACAACGGGCCTGTGAGGAATTAAATTCCGAAGGCGTCACAGACAAAATGGAGAGTATGCGGACAGACTTTGGTGACCTACCGGTTTACTGTGTAGATGACCCTGGTGCGCAGGAGATTGATGACGGTGTTTCTCTGGAGCGCATACCGGGGCCAGAAGACACTTTCTGGATCCGTGTCCATGTCGCTAATCCATCTGCGTTTGTTAACCCTCATGAATTGATCATGGAATATGCGGCCTCTCGTGTTCAGACCGTTTATGCTCCGGAGCGAACATATCCAATGCTTCCTAACACGCTAACGCAAGAGCACTTCAGTTTGGCGCCTGGCCGTCCGACATTGACATTCAGTGCCAAGATGAATCTACAGGGCGAGATATTGGATACTGAAATTGTCAATGGCATAGCCAGAAACGTTATCTACATCACGCATGATAAACTACGCAGCGTATTTGAGCCCGAGCCACAGGAGGTTCTGGAACCGTTGACGGTAGGAGGGGAGTACTCCAACGAGCACACTCGTAATAATCTACGAGAAAAGTTATCTTCAGAGGATGAAGAGACCTTCAACACTCTGAGAGAGTTGATGCTCGCGTTCCGGGAACACCGACGAAGGAATGGCGCAATGGAGTGGCCATCGTCGATGGATACTCCTGTTTCAGTCACTGCTGGCAACGCACCATTGAAGCCATACAACATGCAATTGACAGAAGGCCGGTATATACTCGGGGACCCTATTATTCAACTTCGTCCCCGAAACGTTGATCCGCATGAGGTGCCTGATTTAACGAAACGCAATCTTGTTTCCACCCTGATGAATTTAGCATGCTACGTTTCCGGCAAGTGGTTGGCTGAACGCAACATCCCCGCCGTGTTTGATGGAACGTTCTACCATCCTGAATACCCGAAGTTGACCAACAGCAACATGACGGACTATGGAGGGAAGTCATGGCTGCAGTTGGCGGCTCCAAAAGGCATCTCTTCATCCAGCCCCACTCACCATGCGCCCCTGGGACTTGATGTCTATGTGAAGTCTACGAGTCCTTTGCGACGATATACCGATGTCATGGCTCATTATCAGATCGAGGCTGCACTGCGCTTCGAGCGTGAGCATGGTCGCCGGTTTGATGCTACCACCGATGAGTCCGTCCTCCCGTTCTCCAAGCTGGATGTGGACAACTTCATTTCGCGATCTCGTTGGAAGCGTAGTCGTATAATGGATATCGACTCGGCGTCGAAACAATTTTGGGCATGTATGCTCCTATTTCGTGCGTTCTATTTCGGCGAATGCCGCCTACCCGAAACCTTCACTTGCCTGGTTCATAGACCGTACAACGCGACTGCTCTGGTCGGATCACAATTCGCACAAGGATATTCAGGTGTCATAACATCCCTAGGAGTACGGTGTCAAATTGTCACGCCTCCTGAAATGTCTGATGTGGATATCCTGAGCGTTGTGGAAGCTAAGATTACTTCCGTGGATCTATCCCGCACGCTTGTCATTATGGAAGCTACACGCATGGTTAAGAAATTCGAGCGAGTAGGAGAATGGCGGTGAGATCTGCAAAACTACTATGTCATTCTAGAAGGCCTGAAGTTATATGACTCGGTCCTATATGTATTATACAACACTGTACTATAAACCATACCATCCCCAGTCTCGAGAGACGGAAAGTGAATAGAGGATTTTAATGAAAAACATATCTCATGCAAGATCGACAATTTTTGTACGCAGAGACTTCCCTATTAAATTAGGTCAATACTCAGGGGCATTTGCATACTCTTAATTGGAGACCTAACCTTTGATATACATAGATACTTTGGAAATTAAGGTTTAGTTTGGTTCTCAAATTCCGATGAACATTCTCCAGCTAGAATTTCCCACCCTAATATATGCAGGGATAAACGTCAGTCTCCAAGGATACAGCCGTTCTCTTTGGAACCACCAAATAGTACAACCAATGAGCCGGCCATTGGCATGTATTGTCAACCTCGCAATGAAGTGACTACACTGTCCTTAAATCTTCTCGCACTCCACTGGGAACGACTCCAGAATATCATCCGCCATCCAGCATTTTTTAACGTCGTCTGAACCACGGACAGCGCAGCTGGTGATAGCATCTTCAATTGCCCCCCTAAAGGCCCGAAGTGCCACCATCCATAGCACATACCCAGAGTCGCCAGGCAAGAGACGCAAGAGCCTCGATGACCAATAACTCTCCCAATCCTCCTCCGACTCATCCTCGTCGGGAACGTGGAGCTGGACGAGCAGTCGGCGGCGCTTTTCGACATAAGTGCGGTAAGCCACCATAGCATCCTGCCGAAGCGTTAGAGTAATCCTAAAGACAACGCGTAACCCAAACGTACATGATTCTCGTCTGTCAAGGTATGTTCACGCCGGTGAGTCTCTTCAGTCTTGTTGAACGCGCTGTTTAGTTCACTCAGAGCACTGACAACACTTGAGCGAACACGCTCTGGCCACTTGTACTCATCTTCGTTTCCCTTACGCGTGTCCCAAAAGCCAGTAGCCCATTCAAGAATTTGGGAGTAATCCCATCCATTCCCTAACATACCCAGTGCCACCTACTTGTGTTAGTATAGTATTATGAGATGAAGGTTACGGGAACATACTGAATCACAAGCTGTGCTATCGTGCGAGCATTGGTGACAAAGGATGGACCCTTTGCCACCGAAGTAACAGTTGATTTCGAATGGACGATCAGTTTCCCTCTTGTACCTTCCAGCGCAGAGTCTTTGGCAATGCATGCACCAAAGAAAGAATGGCTTGACGCTACCGTCACTAAGGGGGCGAACTTGTGGAGGCATTTCAGCGAAGGCTTGTGAGTGGGTAGACGAGAAGATGCGACTTTTGGAGAGTAAAATGATGCAGCAGTGAGGAAATAAATTTATTTATGAGAGGTGGCAACGAAGTGTGAGTAGTAATGAAGCTTAGAGAGTTAGCTGCGTGTGGTTTACCGGAATAGATCCTTCATAGACCGGTGAATAGGATATGATATTTGAAGAAAAGCTGGCGTAGTAGTATGACGATAAGGTCTTAGGAGATACTGCAATGATGTGTCAGAAGCCAAGAAGCTTAGAGAGCCAACTCCGTGTTGCCCACAAGTATAGATATTGTGTTACTTACTGTTGACAACCACTTGCACACTACACTTGGTTGGATTGTCTACTGAACTAACACGGATTACTTCGGGTCCCAGTTATAGCTCTAATAGCAGGGCTCCTCACTACTCATAGTCATTTTAAATACTGTTGAAGCTGCCTAAGTAGGCCTAGCGATGTGATTCCTAAGTGGCTTCTTCTCCCACAATTATGGGGATAGAATGAAGCATCTCCATAGGAGTTCAACCGGGCTTTACTTGTAAGATATACCGCTTATACCTTTACTCCTGATATGTACCAGGATAAGAGATATCAGATCAAGAAAGGTTACTTGTTGAAGGTATGCCCGAGTTGATCCAGTTCCACATATCTATGAGATGTTATCTGATCGACAAACTATCAGGCTGTATGTTAGTCGCTGTCTTTGATACTTTGAGGCAGGCAAGGTGTATCACATTCCCGGATAATCACGGTAGATATAAGAAACTGTTGATACAGCTATCCAACGAGATTCTCAAATGTAAGGGTCATGCAAGGAAACAAAGCTCGAGGGTCTGGCCCGTATACAGTAAAGAGCTATTCCGTATTGGGTAATATGTATACCACTTCGGGTTAGGGTAATTAGATCCGTTAATGCCTATTTAAGCAATTTATACTCTGGGGTGGGTAAGGCCAGCCTTGATCTCGTGAGAAGTAGTGAAGTACTGTCGCCAGACGAGATTGCAATTTACTACTTTGAGAAATTTTCATTGCTGTTCAGAAACGCCATGATTGCCGAATATGGGCATTTCAGGATGTTATCGAGGGCGTGTTGCTGCTTGTTAGTACACAATGCCGCTGCCTGACCTTCGGGCCTCACCTGGTTCCCAATTATAAATACCTGTCGACAGAGTCGAATGGCGAGGAATTCAGATAGCAAGCAGATCGTTTCATTTGCAAGCACACAAACCTCCAAGCGTCACTCAACGCGAATCTTTCGAGAACCTACGAGACAAAATGCCCTCCGCAGTTGCCGTCGCCAACACGGCTCCCACGCCAACCTTCAAGAAACATGTAGTCGTGGGACCGACCAACAAGAAGTACACACTGGCCACTAAGAAGCTACCAGAATCACTCGTCATGTCTGCCCGGAATGTTGAAAAACAGGAATTTGACCCGGCTCGCCACCTAAACATCATCCCTCCGAAGAAGATTTTGAGGATGGCAGACATTGGACTCGAGGGTGTTGGTATCTCTGATACAGCAGTCTCTGAGCCATTCAGTCTCTGGACTGAAGATGCCGTCAAGCAGATGAGAGCTGAGATATTCAGCGAGGCGATGCTCGAGAACTGCCAGGTCTCTTCCAGCTTCGCATCAAACATGGTTAGAGGCTATAATGCAAAGTAAGTCATCGCCGATCCATGGTTGTGAGTATGACCCTCTGTTAACATTATATGCAGGCTCGCTCCGTTTATCCACAAGGCCTATTATTGCCCAGAGCTCCTTGAAGCCGTCTCAGCTATTGCCGGGATCGACTTAGTTCCTGCATTCGATTACGAGATTGGCCATTGCAACATCTCTTTCAACGAGAAGAAGCCCACACAGGCTGAGCTTGAGAAGATGGGTGAAAATGGAGATAGCGAGGCTTTCGCGTGGCACAGGGACAGTTTTCCCTTCGTTTGCGTGACTATGCTGTCGGATTGCAGAGACATGATCGGCGGGGAGACGGTTATCCGTACGGGTGATGGAAGCACCATGAAAACGCGCGGGCCGACGATGGTAAGCTACGACTATTCCGATGTCTTCATCTGTAGTTTACTAACGGTTCTAGGGAACGGCTGTTGTGATGCAGGGCCGTTATATCGAACACATGGCGCTGAAATCGTTTGGCGGCGGAGAGCGCATTTCCATTATCACACCTTTCCGGCCCAAGTCACCATTCGCGAGAGATGACACTGTTCTTACAACGGTTCGCTGTATCAGCCGCCAAGATGAGTTGTACCATGATTATGCCGAGTACAGAATGCGCAACCTGAAGGCTCGCGTTGACCGACAACTTGAGCTGATTCAGAAGGGTCGACGCCAAGGGGGACGCTTTGATATTGAGGGTGCCCGAGCTTGGCTCAGCGAGCAACAGGAGTACATCGAGTCCATGTTGACAGAGATGTTCGACTATGAGAATTAGCACCCTTCGTTCCTTAGACAGCACTTTTGAAGATGGTTACAGTGTTGAAACTTCTATTTTGAGCTTGTTAGTTAGCGTTTATCGAATCTACGTGTTTGCTCTTCTCTCACATCCCCTGATTAAGTCATGCGCACGTAAGTGAACCAGCCGTTTAAGAAATCCGAGCCAAATGCGGAGAGAGGGAGGTATGTGGGGAAAAGACCCGCATTCATGCGGAGACAGGAGTGTGCCTTATCATGGCCAGCAGCGTATCCGGGTTAGAGAGATAACATTATCATGAGTAGGTTTGCTGTCAGTCTAGGTGAGCCAATTGATAAGACCACGGGAATCTTAGACTTAGACGTGGTTACCATAGGTCATGAAAAATCCAAGATAGAGCATCTCCTTGCTATTTGAGGATTAGTGCTTGTTTATGTATGAGGATGTGTAAGGTGGATGAGGCTAGACCAGGCCCACTAGAAATGTCTTGAGTTAGGTCTTATCATGGCACATGATCGACCCCTCCCTCTGCCTTGCTCAAGTCATTTGTAACTTTTCCGCCATGTTGGTTCCACGGCGCAACTGAGAAAGGCGGACCCATCCCTCTCAGCGCACAGGCAGTGAAGAATGAAAGCGACGCCAAGACAAAAGCAGACAAAGAGTCGCAATGGTATTGAATCCCGCTCCGTAATTATATGCTCAAACCAAGACTGATGGCGTAAATTTAGGATGTATAACATGTAAAGCGAGGCGGGTAAAATGCGACGAGACAAGGCCGTCCTGTCAACAATGTTCTCGTCAAGGAACTACCTGTGGCGGCTATCCGAACTTCCTCAGATGGAGAGCCGTGGAAAAGATTAACAATGAGCGTGTGGCAGGTGATGGTACTGTATAGAATGCGCCAATTACCTATTTCCAAAGGCATCACTAATCCCCTACAGGTACTCGGAAGATGAGAGAGCGTCGGCCGACAAAATCATCCTATCGTTCGCTCCGAGAAAATAGTGACGCGCCTGTTGATTCTTCCATGGCACAGGCTGTCTTTGACGATCCCTGGACCCCCCTAGCTAACATACTTTACCCGTCTACAGCGGCCCTGCATGAGACGTTCGCAGCAGACAGCACAGCGGTCGGTACGGGGGACATGGCTAGTGACTTTCCTTTTGGACTCTCAGGCCAAGAGCAGTCAATCGTGCATAGGATGTACAGTTCCTCTACCGGGACATCTACGGAGCCTCCCTACCTTGACTGTTTCTCATCCGCGGTTGCAGTGAATCCGGCTAACCACGAATTGACAGGACTTCATGACTTGGGCTTGGAGACAACTGAAGACGCTTCAGCAAGCGACGATGACCTATGCAGGGCCATTCAAAGCCATGAAGAGATTATCCAGAAAGATGAAAGATTCCAAAGAGTTGATGTTGAGGAGGTCCATTGGCAACATGACATCCCGCCGGGCGGGGGCTTCAATGCCGATATACTTGGATCCGACAATTCCGATCCAAATGAATTGGATACTCTTGTCCGGCAGCTACAGTTCCCAGACGATAGCCAGGAGATGATTGGACGTCTCTTCGTGGGGCACACGTCCAATATACTGTCTATCAGGGAAGACGAAAACATGGACCCATGGCAAGGGCTTGTCTGGCCTATGACGCGTGATTGTCCTGCGCTTTACCACGCTCTAGCCGCAATGACGTGTGCACACATAAGCAATACCCAACAGCAACTTAATCTACTCAGCATGAAGCATCTAAATCTTAGCGTCCAAGCTCTCGTCATCAGTATGAACAACAGCAGGATGTCCTTGGAGGCTGCCATTGCCACCAGGCTCGCCCTTGCCTTCGCCGAGTCCTGGGATTGTCACGCATCAGCAACGGGGATCACTCATCTCAACGATGCTCAAGTACTCATTCAACGGGCTATCCAGGAACGCTTTGCTTCGGGGCCTATAAACAGTGAACTGGAATGTCTAAAATTCCTTATCAATACCTGGTTGTACAGAAACGTCCTTGCTCGCTTGACATGTACCGAGCCTACAGGTACCACGATCGCCGAGTCCGTGACCACATACACTTCTATACTGCCTCATATAGACGAAAAGGAGATTGATCCGCTCATGGGCTGTGGTACTGCACTCTTTCCATCAATTGGCCGCCTGGTGGAGCTTGTCCGTCGCGTCCGCGGCCGACCGGAGAATCGCAACTCTCCTGCGATAATCTCGAAAGCTATTGAGATAAAGATGGCTCTTGAAGGCTGGGTCTCACCCGTAGACTCGGACAGCAAGAGCTCAAATATTTCCGACTTAATACAGACCGCAGAGGCATACCGAGGCGCTGCGCTTCTACTCCTTCGGCAAGCAGTCCCGGAGCTTCCTGCCTCATGTTCAATATCGAAATTAGCGCAGAAAACTCTCGTCTTTCTCGCCACCACACCGCCATCATCTCGGACGATACATGCGCAAATATTTCCGTTGATGATAGCAGGCTGTGAGACGTTCGACGATGACGATCGAGAGTGGGTTCGTCAGCGCTGGGAGCTCATGTCCCGACGCTTGATGACCGTGGTACCATATCGATGTAGAGATATGACAATAGAGGTATGGCGAAGGAGGGACGAATTTGAGACACGCCACGGCCTACGTGACCTGATAAAAGCTCACCGACCTTTTCCCATAATAAGCCGTCGCGCGATGGATACCACGACGCTTTACGATTCACTCCGTGTTCCTCAGAGCAATATTGACAGCACTATAAGTCAAGAGGGACTGAAGCCGCCTTCTGCGGAAACACGGTCAGGTCCAAGGTCATCGGATTTCCCGGACTCGGCTGCATTTCAGAAAGGGACAGATCCTGTCACAAGGGCGGGGTTTATCAACTATACCATTAAAGGTGAGTTACATTGGCTCAGGGTTATGAAGGACTGGAACTGGGAAAGTAAGTATCAGATGTCCCTCTGCGTATATGTTCCTGTACGCTGATTATGTATTCCAGTTACGCTCGCGTGAACCTAGCCCGCTCATATCTCTTATTTTGTGTTCTCCCTGTTAGTCGAATGTGGAGAACACTAGTCAAATACAAATTGTACCTTGTTTTGAAACATATTTCAGCTCTTATAGTTGATTCGGCCATACGAAGTGACTTGCTCAGCTCCTTTCACCTTCGTCCGTGCATACTCGCCTAATTTCTTCTCATCTTCCAGAAAGCGACAAAACTTCATATCCATTTCAAAGCTATGGAGGCCATACGGATATCCCAAGTCCGACTGAGAAAGTGGGCCTCTTTTCTACACTTGGACCATGACTGGACAATACATGCCTTGTCCAATAGCCTCTAAGAAAGCTTGATCACATATGTGGTTTACTTCCAAGCCCATCTTGCCACGCGACCAGACGGAGACATACGTACACCTGTTAAGTTCATATCAACTGAGTTTCATCGATTTCCCACTCCCCTGATGCTACTGCTTAACATCGACCAGATCACAGTCGGAACCTGGTTATTGTCATACTTGAATTTTTTGGGGTGTATCGTATACAATGTCTCTTAATAATGGAAGAAATAACGGATCTCCAGAGCCACAAGAACAATAGAAATCCAGGACATTAGAGCTGCTGATATGAAGGCCGCCTGGCTTACGGACGGGGTTCGGTTCGGTACGGCTCGGGTTGAACTGTTGAACCCTTGGTACCTTGGGAATTCAACCCAGCCCGACCCGAGCGACCGACCCGAACCCAAGTCTATATCCAATGAAGTCGATTGGGACACCCGCCCGAGAGAGTTCCAAAATTCGGACAAGCCGAGAAGATTGACAATAGAAGTCCTCGTCTTACATGGCCATGGATACTTTGATGCTTAGGCTAATCAAGCTTAGAGAAGCAAGATACTATTGGTTGGGTCCACTGGACATCTACATTCTGTGGAGCAGCTGAGGTTTGAATATCATACTGATGTGTTGCCGACTGAAATGTTTAATAATTTGGTACTGGAGGATACTCGCGCTTCCAATGCTAGTCGCTTCTGACGCTGAACAATGAGATGCCGGCAAGAGTGGTGGTTATGCGGAAATCATCGGACAGCCATTAGGCGTATCCGCTATTCTACCAGTCTTTTAAATCAGTGAGAGGAGTAGTGTAAATAATCCTCTATCCTATACCAACTCAATACTTACGACCATCAGATATAGGGAACAGGGCTTCCCATATACACAAGTAGTGCTTAAGCCAGGTGTAAGCTCGGCGAGAATATCAAAGTAGGCTCCTAGTCTACTACGTTTCTTTGGTTGGACATATAGAACTAGATAATACGGGCAGTGGCAGTGCCTATAGTACAGAAATATATACTGAATGACGTGGAATATGTATTTAACCGGAAACACTATTGAACCTCTCGTATAGCTCTATTTGTTTCTTTTCTTCTTGCCCCAATGGCGATCATCCAAGAAAAAAAAGAGACCTTCTGCCCCAGCTGAACTGCAAGATTCTGACCCCCCAATTTATTACCACTATTTGAAGTACTTTTTCAGTAGAATACACCGTTAGTAACTTAATCAAAAATGAAACTTTAGTAAAAAAAAAATCGGCTCTTATTCTTTTTCCCCTGCTGATTAGTATTAGCATTAGTATTGATATTATTATTTGCTCTTATGATCCTGATGTATCAACTTATGTCAGCTGATGATTTGTCCCGCACTTTGCCCTTCGAGATCGTTTTTCTTACTTCCACTCCTCTTTAGCTCTCTGTATGTACATCTCTTTATTGTCTTATTATCTACCGAGTCCCCGCCCCAGGTATTTTTCGTGGCCATTGTTAATCAAGGGAAACACAGAGTCAGAACACTAGGTGAATTGTTTTTATCTGGCGGCTTAACATACCCCAAGCTATCAGTCGCTATGGAGACAAACGCAACCAATGGTAGGCTTATGGACACCATTATGTTACGATGTCTATTTATTCTTTTTACCCTTGTCTGGTTCATGCTGCTGATGAGTGCATCCAGGGAACATGTTAGACGTTGAAATCAACTCAGCTTTTTTCAGTGGGCCGCTTCTACCGGAGTTATTACGCCGAGTTATGGAGTATCTCAGTGATGATCTCCCTTCTCTGCGATCGGCAGCCTTGGTGAACAAGTCATGGGCTGCGGAAGCCATCAGTGTCCTTTGGCAACAGCCACCGGTGGAAGCCTTAGCCTCGAGCCTAGACCACCACCGCCAATTCTACGCGCGTCAGGTTCGTGAGCTAAATTTTGGGGGTTCAGAGGACGGAAAGCAACATGCACGTTTCCGTACGCTAGAGTTCCCAAGGCTAAAGCGTCTGACAATCGACTCGTATAATCCAGGAAATGGAGAAAAATTATGGCTTGGTCAATACATACAACCGAGCTTGGAAGAATTCAGGTTTTATGGGTCTGAGCCGGCAGAAGACTTGCTTAACCAACTGGAAACGCGTTGTCCACGATTACAGAGCGTTTTGATCGATTATGCATTCGAGGGAATAAACACCGGGCGCCTAATACAATTTTTCGACTGTTGCAGATCTCTGAGATCAATCCATCTTCCATCTTTTATGGATGCTTTCGTCGACGACCAGATGCTTGCCTACCTTGCCCGTCATAATGGTCTTGAGGAATTGGAATTGGGAAAGACCATCACCTATGGGATGATTGAGAGAGCCTTTGATGGGGTAGAGGCCCCTTTCCAGTCTATCCAGCGCCTCACAGTTCAATTGAAATCGAAAGCAGTTGAACCCCTCACTGCAGCTATTAAATCTGCTACTAATCTTGTATTGACCGTGGACGATAACGAGCTGAGCCCTTTGCCACTGGTCAAGTCCCTGTCAAAACTTACTGAACTTGACATTGTATTTTGTCAGGAAGGAGTCTGGCCCGCCACAGACCTACTTGCACTCAAGGGATTGAGGAATTTACGCAGACTGTGTATATCTTCATTGGAGGACCCCCCAGCGTTCCCCGCATTCACAGACCAAGAGTTCATCCAGATTTTCGAGCATATGCATCATCTCCAGGAGTTGGTATTTCAGATCCAGTGCAAATTGTCAATAGTAGCGATCACTTCGCTAGGAACGCATTGCCGTGAACTTGAATCTTGTGAGATATTTGGTTCCTATGACTTGCATGGCTGGTCAACCATCGAACGACCGCTCTTTCCACAGTTAAGACAGCTTGACCTCGGAGCAGCAGTATCTGGGGAGCGAGCATCAGAGTAAGCCTATCACCCATGGCTTCTATAGCGTGATTTACGTTCTGACAGCTTCTATGAATTCAAGATCATCCTCATTGGCTACAAACGCCCAGGTGCTTGCGCAACTAATCGCAGAGCATGCACCAAAACTGGAAGAATTATACCTACAGGATGATGATGAATTTTCCAACGAGGTGGTGGCAGCGTTCAAAGCCCAGACTGGTAACGAATACAACTCATAGTGCGTACAAGGCGTGGGGGTGAAAGGAATAGCCATATTCATACTGTTTCAAACGGAATGTTCTACTGTGGGCACACATCCCGAGACTTAGATTTGGTGATATCGAATTTTGCTATTTACCGCAAACTAGAGGGCAGTTTCGCCGATATCCTGTATAACAAATCCCTGAACATCCACCTTCTGACGCCATGCGAGACATCATCATGCCAAGGCCGATCAGGCAGAGCATTTGCCACTGAAGCAATAACCACAGTTCTCACCACCTCCCTTGTTCACGTCGATTCCTCCGGATCCGTCGGAATTCTTGGCGCAGCACTTGCCCTTGGTTATCGTTTTACTATCAGGTTATATTAGCAAAGTGTCCCAGGTCCCTTCTAAGACAACAGGGGTAATGTACCAGTTATGAAAGGAGTTTTGTGTTGCGAGCTTCTTTCCGCCACATGTGTCCGAGTCTTTCCTCTCACCGCTGCAGCTCTTACGCTTGTCGAAAAGAGACTCCGCTCTAGCGTGCACTGGCGTGACATCTTCGGCAGCAACGGCGTTGTTGCCTGTAGGGCTCGCAACACCCAGAGTGGTGATGGCGAGGAAGGTATAGAGAAAGGTAGTAGAGATCTTCATATTGTATCACGACAATTGAGGTTATGAGTGAGATGGGCTTTAAGCGTGATGCTGATGTAGATTCTGGATAAAGAAGAGAATATGCTGGTTCTGAGAAAGGTTGTCTCCTGTTTGAAGGAGCGCAATCCCTCCTTTATAGGCACGTCCCCGGCCCTGGAATATCCACATGAATTATGCATCGTAGCCAAGGCTTACAAGCCATAATCACAGGCTGCGTCGACGCCAAGGCAAGGGAAACGCCTTCTGCACCTCCGACGTGTTGTCGGGAGGCCAATATCCTCATTGGGTTTGCGCCCCCATCTTACAGGATGGCAGAGGAAGTGCCAACCCGTGCCGACCAAGGCCAGAAGGTTGCGCATCTGCTGATTGTGGGGTACGTCACCCGAGCCAGCCTCAATTTGGATGCATCGCATTCCCCCAGGGCTACCGAATGACTCCGGAGGGTGGCCTGGAAAAAGCAACTACAGAGGTGAATGCGTGTAAGCAGCCCCTACGGCACTGCACCAGGAAACGATCCTCGGGTGCCTTACTATTACCAGTGAATGATCTACCGACCGGTAGGGCTTCTGCTCGTCGACGTTCCCTCGACGTGCGCGGGGAAGTCCTTGAGCTGATGAGCTGAGCATGCAGGTGTGTAGATCGCCAAGCAACAGGTTCCAATTAGGATGTTACATGATACATCCCTGATGCAGAGCGGGTCACACTGTCTCAGCCCGGAATGTTAGCGCTTCCGCTTACTTAGGGTAAGCTACATGAAGTACGTCGTAATTGATCTTACAATGGTAAATTGTAATTAGAGATCACTAGTGCCTGTCAACTTCAGAGTTTATTCTTCTAGTATGTCATAGACTACATACAAACTTTTTAAGTGAATAGAAACTAAATTCGTCGAAAATCGAGATATAGATATTTGGAATGAAGGCCACGTTCTAGAACCATGGAACACAGAGGTGGCCCGACCCAATCGCTTACCGAATATATTAGTACCAAGAACCATACAAGGGAAACGGAGTGTAAGCTCCCAGTCAGGAATCAGGATTTAAGGAAAGAATCAGGTTAGAGGCTTTTTTTTGTTTTTTTTTTTAAGCTGAGCTGACACAGTCGCACAGCGCACTTATTTCCGACCCAGTGGGGAACTGGTGATCTTCATGACCACAAGGCTATACGTGGGTCCCGGGGGGGCAGTGATCTTATTCAGCCGGTGACGATCAGTAAAAGTTGTTGCCTTGAAAAGGATTCCAGATGTGGAACTTGAGGGCGTAATATCTGACATCCAGACCCTGAGGCTTTTATATGCAAGGGGCCATTAATCGTTCTTGGGGACTCTTGGCAGTACACTGTGAGACATCACTAGTTGAGACTAAAGCGGCTCATCCCAACTCGTGAGGTTTCTAAACTAGTGGAGTTGTCTTCCAACTGGCAAAAGCTCTCGTCACCCTCGGTTAGTACTGTGTAGATAGAGGTTGCTATTTTAAAAAGGATAAAGCTTCGTAGTAATCACGTGCCTCAGGCTATATAGATAAGAAAACATCGGATTCAAGTAGAAAACATCCTGTTGCATAAAACTTTATATGCCGTATAGGCTACTAAGCTCCTATGTGAGATTATCACGTTTCTGGGTTTCATGAAAATGGATATAGGAAACCAAGTTGGGCATCGGGGCCCGCCTCAATTCGCGGGGTATCACGGTACTTTTGATGACACGAAGATTTGTGATGGCTGATGCATAAGAGGTTCAATTGGTAGAAATATTGCTTTCTTTTCTTTTCTTTTCTTCCTGGGATAGTAAAGATGAACGCCACCGTCCCGTGGCTCTTACGTGTGTTTTCTTCCCACGCTTTCTTTTCTCTCTTTCTTCGGCAGAATCTGTATTCTTGCTCGCCAAAGGTCCGAGTAGGAATGGCCCTCTGCCCAGGTTCAGCTTTAAGTAGGTGGCAGGTATATAGTAATACAATAGACTAGTTGCGGCTGTGGCGATGGGATTCCAAGGACTTAGTGTAAGATTAGAACTCGAAGTAGTTGCTAGAGTGTATATAACCGGTCTATGAGACATTGTATCTTTACCGTAGCCCACTGGCTGTCACTACTATTCGGGACAGAGTGAAAGTTAGTCACAACTAACCTCAACTAACCATCTACGTGAATAGTCGGTTTTCAGGGCAACACATATAGAAAGGCTGGTAGGGCTTACAGCATTCGAAAGTCTAGCGGACTCTCTGCCGTCTATGTTGGCACAGTTTGGCATCCTCTTGCTCTAACCCATATATTCATACCTTCGCAGCTCCGATATTTTCGATAGAGGTCCAAGCTGACCCCCCCCCTATCATCGCCTCAGATCTATACCGCTGTGCCTCATTCTACAAACTTACAACACACCCTTCAAAGTCAAAGTGAGAATCCTCTTAGTCCTGTTACGTTTATAGTACATCAAAGTCCTACGGTAAACTCGGCGTGATCAGGCTGAAAAATTCATATCTCACATTGAAACAGGCACTTCATAAGATACTTTGCTGATCCCCTTTTGCCTGGCAATCTTGCGAATGGTGATAAACCCGGTCAAACCAGTATGTTCTACATGCGTTCCACCACATGGATTGGCGTCAATATCTCCAATCAGGGCAATCCTCGCCTGCCCATTGTTCCCCAATTGCAACCCCTCCACCATATTCAAGTCGGCATTCTTTATGCGGTCTTCATCCCACCACTCAGTAGTAACAGGAAGTTTCATACCTACCAATTCGTTCACCTTATCCTCAATGACTGCCTTATGCTCAGTATAAAGCAAGCCCTCAAACTCCATACAGGCCTGGCCCGGTGCATGGTTCGCCTTCACCTTCTTTCTGTCCCCAAGAACAGGAGCCAGCAGTCGCATGGCCAGACCAATGATATGCCCCGCCGTGTGGAGCCGGGAGTGGTAGTCGCGTTTTGCCCCGTCGATAACCTGCGAAACTAACTGGCCGTCCGCAAAACAGGGTTGATCGGTGAACTCCCCCAGGTGGAGGACAGTCCCATCCATGGTTTTCCGAACAAGCAGAACCTTGAAGGCGGAGCCGTTACTTGTGTCTGCGAGAGCAATCACGCCAGTATCGCTGGGTTGGCCTCCGCCTTGTGGGTAGAATACTGTTTCACGGGTGGTGAGAGCGAAGCTTTCCGGGGCAAGTGTCTTTGCGAGACTCTTTTCATTTTCTGTTAATTGCGATATCGGCTGACAGGAGAGGACCGTAGTTGTCCATTGCCGTAGAGAAGCGTCGTTTAAATAGAGGAGCTCTGTTTTATCCTGGTGAGTCATGTTAGTGGTTGGGTTCTACGAGTGAAAGGCCCACGGTAGCATGGAGGTACCATTTTACTATTTCTCTCGATTGATGTGAGAGGAGAAAACAAAGAAAAGAAAAATTTTGTCCTTTTTATTTATCTTCGCTGGCATGTCCTGGTTTAGATTGTTCTAGGCTGGGATTCCCGATATCGTCGCTCCCGCGCACCTCATTAGGAAGGTGGATCGACTCCACTATTACGGTTATCTGTCCTGATAAGCGAGAGCTCTGGTGATTCTTGTTTCTTCTCTGGAGGTTTGGAGTACGGGGCTTCTACTTGAACCAATCATCGACACGGATGCAAGTTGGAGTATGTATAGAACGCCCGCCGTTCTCGTGGCTCTCGACCGCCGGTTGAGAGTCTACTTTATATGGTGACGATAAGAAGAACCTGACCACGTACCGGAAATCCGGCAATGGCGAGATGCTGACCCAACTGAGCCTATGATCCAGTGGCAGACATGAACAGCAATCGCCTACCTTCCATACTTTGTTGCATATGGCACAGGATACCCAGACAGGAGCTCATGTTGGCGGTAAGTTGGGGTAAGGTTAGTCAGGTGGGGTCAGGTGAAGAGCTTTCCATAACGTTGGCCAATCCTACTCCCATACTAAATCTGAAGTTAACCGCAACCACAACCACAATCATGTATAAACCGGCGCCTCCTAGACCAAAGAAGACTAACATCATTCGTACCCGCTCAGGATGCAAACCATGTCGCCAACGCCGGGTGAAGGTCTTTGATGCTCTGGCCCCAGTCTTAGAGCTGCTGAGCTGATGATTCACAGTGCGATGAGCAAAAGCCGTCATGTACTGCATGCACGCGGTTTGGCCGGGTCTGTGAAAAATATGAGCCTGATTTCCAGTTTCGCAATGTAGAAGTGTCACCTAAAAAGCCATCGAAAACTCGCCGGCAAGTTAACGGTAATGATAGCGGTAACACGACTTCCCATTCTACAAGCGTATCTCATCTCTCGGGCGGTTTGGTATCAGGTATCGCCGCAAAGAGTCCACCGCTAGGCCAGATAGGGACGAATAGCCTGGCGCAGTTAACCCGGTCAGGGACAGAGCAATTCTATATTGCGCATTGGGAAGACACATGTGTTGGAGCCCTACGCCTACTCTCTCATGACATCAGCGCGTTAGCCCATGGATACCAACCTCTTAAAAACTCTCTCCTAGCATTATCTGCTTGCAACTTGAGTCGCTCGCTACCAGAAAGGCAAGCAATTGAGAGCAACGGAATATCGTTCAAACCCAACAAAGATCACCTACTCTATAGTCAAGAATATTATGGTGCCGCCGTCAGAGAGATCGCCCGTATGCTACACGGGAGTAAAGTGGGTTCAAGCCCGTCACAGATATTAGCAACCTTGATTCTACTCTGCTATATGGAGTCAGTATTGGGAAATTTCAGAGCTCTCCACTGTCATCTTGACGGTATCGGTAGATTCATCCAACTGCATCGTTCGCGCCTATCGTCAGACGCGCTCGGCAGCAATCTCATTGCAGCATGGCTACAGTCGAGATATCAAGGCTGGTGGCTGAGGATGTATTTTAGTACACTACATTTTCAGCGCTATCAAGCATCGTTATCTGTTCCGTCGGAGATAACTTCAGCCCTACATTCATCGAAAGCCCGAAGAGCTATCATTACATCAATTATGTCCGAGTCGCATCGGATCAATACCGCTGCAGTAATTTCTTTCTGGTGGAATATTCATCTACCTCCGCTGGACAACACCTTAGGCTCAATGGATGACTGCACTTCCCTTTTAAGGACAGAAGAAAAGAAACTCAACGAATGGCACTCGCAATTAACACCAATCGAGCTGCCAATGGAGTCGTCGTCTCCTAGTTTCGACGAAGCTCAGCCTAATACTGGGCATGTACCACCCCTCCGATTTCAGCGTCACCCGTTCGCCATGAACTACGCCTATTATATCGTTGCGCGAATTATGCAGTCCGAGTGCTTTCTAAACGGTCTCCAACAATGTGCATCTGGTGATCGGACAGCACCAGTCAATGACGAATCTATCACCCGTTGGATGCGAATCCTCCTGCGTATAGTAGCCGGCCTTAGTAAAGTGGAGTGTGCCACACGGAACGTCTATACGATTGGTATTTCTAATTTATTGGTTGCCTGCATTCTGCGATGTTCCGACTTGGACATGGGTCTATGGATTCAAAACTGGCTGCAAGATTTCCTATCCATACCAATCCTCGAGGAAGGAAGTTTTCCTATCTGTCAGGCTCTAGAAATCGTCCGCCTTGTGAACAAAGAACGACGTTCGGGGAAGGATGTCTATGCAATTGGTGTAACCAAGGAGGACGGTGGTGGTAATGGGAAGTACTTTTCATATCAGAGCCAGACCATTTACGAACTTGTCTTACTGGGGAGGATACGGGAGACAGGCTGCATGTATTCTGAGTCAGTATCTGTGGAATGGGCTCTATGAAGGCGAATACACTACGAGTCGACCCGCGTCTTAGTCTGTAAAGTCTTTTATCTTAAATGTACTTTGATACACTTCACCGAACTTGGGCATCATATACTAGTACACTATAGCCCCCCCAACCGGGACGCGATCACGCAGTCACCTCCCTCATATCACCACCCGTATATACATCCACCATAGTATCATGAATCATATACAACAGACGCGGGTACTTCGCCATCCAATGTCTGCCGACCTCATCCAAAAGGCTCGCAAAATCCAACAAAAGCCGACGCGCATGACGAGCGCCCCCGAAATACGTCTTGCCGCAGAGCACCACCGGCCCCCCGAAGCGAATAAAGTTCACCGCCGGATCATCCGTTCTCGGACGTTCACCTTCCCCGGGGACGCCATCAGTCATCCCCTCGTCGCCTACAACCGTCCAGTCAAGGTGTGCCGTGGCGAGATCGAACGCATCGGTGGGATGTGGATCCGGCGCCGGCGGACTGACTAGTATGTACAGGGCAAGCACGAGCGCGGAGTTTAAGAGACAGCGTGCGGGCTGAATCCCATGCCGTCCATGGGCTTCCAGTGGGACAGGGTATGGAATATCTTAGCGGCGTGGAGACACGCTCGTCGTGCGGCCGGGGTGCTGGCCCAGAGGGTGATGGCTTGGCGGGCGGTTTGCATGGCGTCGGGACCTTCGCGGCCGGCGGCTTGTTCGTGGAGACGGATGTCGGCTGTCAGGAGGAGACAGAGATTATGCCAGATGACGATGCAGTTGGGGTTCGAGTTCGCGAGGACGGTATCGTAAAGCTGGATGAAGTGTATCACCACATTGGTGATTGAAGAGGCCCGTTTGTCGAGGTTGTAGATCCGCCAGGGTATATGCTGGTGCCACTCCTCTTGGCCCAGGTCGGAGCTGATGATGAGTCGGTGGTAGTTTGCCATCAGGCGGACCAGAATGGCAGACATGATTCCGTACAGGCATGAGATGTGGACTTGGCGTGGGAGGGTTGGTAGGTAGAACTCGTTGCATGATAGCTTGACCGTTGGAGTGGTGATCCTGGAGCCTTCCTGGATTAGGCGCATCCAGTCTTGGACGGATTGAGCGCGGTAGAGGACGAAGTCGCATGGCAGGGCGACGTGGAGTGTGCTCGTTGATATGACCGGGCTCATTGAGAAGATTCCGGACAACGAGGAGTCATAGAGGATTAGGCCGATGATTAAACTAGAATGATGCTTAGACAAACTCATTCTAGGAATGGGAAAGGCCGTACTTCTTTATTGATTCTATTCGACTCCAAAGTTTCCATCGCATATGTTCATCGGTGGTAGAGGAGAACAGGTTGTCTGAAATTTGTCCCACAGGTAAGTGAAACAGGCCAATATTTTGTGCTGCCTATAATGTTATCAGCTGTAGATACTCAGACGCACAAAGAGGGGGGAGGCCCTACTGTTAGAGTGTATCCATGCAACATCTGCGACTTCGTTGGACAGATGTTCCCCTGGGAGAAGTCATTAGACGCGGAAATACACCAGGCATTGTGGGATCCTATAACAAACCTCAGTTACGACGAGCAGAAATAACATGTGATGAGCCAATGTAAGGCGACTGAGCATCGCTGATGGGTTGGAAGTACTGGGAGTCACAGATATAACGCGGATATAAACTTCATCCAGGAGAGCCTAAAGGCACGGTGGCTTAGCGTAGTCAAACGTTGAGAGATGCAAATGCGGAATCAACACATACCGGGTATATGTGATAGATAAACCGCACTGCTTCCTCTGTCTTGACAAACGACAGGCCAATAATGCACATGGTAAACAGCAGAAGTGGGTGGACGGTCTGTGGCTGGAAGGTAGGTATATGCAATATAGGATAGGTCGGCTGATATTTATCTAAATAAAGATAAAGGCCTTGTTCAAAGATGCCATGAAAGTTTTCACAAAAGTAATGTTCATCACATGTGTCAGTCATTCGGCCATCGCTGCTAGAACAGTGGCATTGCCTCTTGAGCAGCCTTCGTTTCAAATCTTGAAGCTGCGACCTAATCTCATGGTTCAAGCAGATCTCGGCAACTCCAGCGTGCTGGGTCTGCTGCGAAGGCTCTGTGCATGTCCCATAGTCATGTCTTGAAAAGATATTCTCTGATGACCCCGATATAATTTCGTACCATACCTGCGTCTCAGCAGTGAGGCGTTGCGGTGTCGACCAAAAGCTTTGGACCTTTTTCACATTCTGACGGATATGAGCTGGATAGTGCTTTGGTTCGGCTTCAACTCGCGGACTAATAGTTAACCGACCTGAGGCTCCGTTCTCAGTCCAGGGTACATCTAATTGTTCGGTGTTTGCACCTGTCGTTCCTGTAGCTTGACCGCCTGGGAGACCCAACAACATATCAAGAAAGGCAGTTCCAGAGTCTATATCGTTGAACATGAGTGGACTGTGGTTGAATTCTGATACCGTTCCAGTAGACAAGTGAACCGGGTCGGTGACTGGGAGCAAAGCCTGGTCGCCTGTCGGGTACGAGCCGTATCCCCTTCCATCTTGCACATGCGATGGAGACAGACTAGTTGCAGCTAAAGAAGGGAGCATCTTTGCGGGTCCTCCATTCCAGGCAATTGTCTGCGGTCTCACAGGTAGATCATTCGCCAGTCCTCTGTCGGACTCGTAGGCATGATCCGATGGCGACAAGGCCAATGGACTTGATCGCGACCCAGCGCGAACAATATCTCCCTCCGTCTGCTGCGCTGTCAGGTTAGTTATATCGACGTCATGCAGGCAATGAACAGATAACCATGGTTACCATACTTGAGCCGTGGCATAATTGGCTTCCTCACTCGTCTCGTAAGCAGACCCCTCAGCCAATTCGTCGCGCAATGCTCTCTTTCGATTTAAGCGAGCAACATTTGCATTCGACAGCGATGACGCCAATTCAAAATGGCCTCGCTGATGGCGAAGGAGAACATCTCTATTTACAACCGTTAGCCATCCATTCGACCATGTTCCCACATCGTAGGGTGACGTCACCTCCTAGAAAATGGCTTCGAGCAGATCTGACATTGGAAGGGCCGTTCTCCCGTATCTAGACTTGGAACAAATCATCTCGTGTTTAGCCCCTGTCTTCGACGGTTTAAATACTGGCAATTTTATCCGGGGACAAACAAGAGCTTACGGGACAGGCGGTGTCGATTTAGGTGTTCTCTTTTGGAAAATGTCTTATTGCATTGGGGGCAGGATACTCGCTGGGCCATAGTCCTGTTCGCGCGAAGCCAGCAACCTGCCCGCTAGGAGGATGAAACTGATAAGCAAACCAAGGGAGATACCTTGAAGGTTAGGACGACATTCGGGTAACACGGCGTGCTTTTCCGGATAAAGATTATCTTTAGTCAGCTCTTTTTTTGACATGATTAAACTACGGCTGATGTTGTCATCACTATCGACTTGGGATAGCCCCTTAGGGCTGATGTATTCCCCAGCATTTTACAGCCAAAGGTGCATAATAGTCCTTAGTGGTACGGAGTAGTTGGGCATTAAAAGCAACATATCCAAAATTTGTCAAAAAATCATTCCTGGATCTTCGTGTGTGCGCCGCGGACCTCGGCAAGGCTCACTGGCCAATAAATAAAATAAATCATAAATCTTCTGGGGTACCGATGATGCATGTTCGGGATCTTGTGCCGGGTCTCGGCCCGATCGCAACGTCACCAACCAACCGGGCGGATTCCATTTGAGAACAGTTTTGTGTTTTGTCTTTACTATTTTAGAATTGAGATAGCCTACTTGACTGTAAGTACTCCGGAGTAGAATCAACCGTTTCCGTAGTTAGCCGCCTCTGTGCGCTTATCGATAACATTGATCTGGGCGATCTTCCACACGACGGTGCCGAGTTGCCGTGGACTTGACACATGGATAATTGGCATTTAGTTGAAGCACTCGACCTAGCTGAATGAGTTGAACTTAAAGTAGCATGGTAAGAGCCACATCATGGTATAGTTTCATTCTAGCTCTCGTTCCTGCCGGTGGACTTGAAACTTACCAATGTGCCCCTGGTGGCGCATTAAACCTTACTACTGTTGATATATATTTGCTTCAACGGCAAGGCAGTCTTCGCACAAATACAAGTAACAACTCATTCAAACGTCTAGAGACGAAAAGGAGTCTAGCGTAAGATCCGTTTAGGGAGATCAAAGGACACATTCTGAATCTGCACATTAGACATATAACTCCCACATGACATAGGCTGGGCTTAGGATCGATCTATTCTAGAGCTTATTTATTGTGTGATTCTGAGTGGACTAGATGCCACAATCGGCCTTCCACAAAGCAGAATCTGACATTCCGAAAGAGAAAAAAAGGAAAAGGAAGGGAAAGACCCACGATAGCACATAAAGAATGACGATGAAGACCCTGACAAGAAGGAAAGCTGGTTCCACGATCAACATTTGCAGAGGCTTCCGAGAAATCTTCGTCAAACGGTCGAGGTCAATCCCTTTTTCTCTGAACGAAAATGCCTCAGCCTCAGTTCTACTGGTTGGTGGTGGAAAACACGTTACATTCGCAACGGACGGAGTATTGATAGGATGATCCAGTACTCCGGCCAGAACACCGAGGCCCTCAGGATCCACCATGAAGGTGTTCTACACTTGCGAAGTGGCGGCTTTGGGCCAATTAAGTATCCTAATCTTGGGAATCCCCACATTGAATGTGGCTCTCTGTGGGCCCGGAAGGAGATTTACCCAAGTATGTGCATAAATATTGCACATATGACTAATGTCCCCCTATCCACTAATTAACTATCAAACTAGCTTGTTCGATAAGCATCACTCTGAAGATGTAAGACTAGGTTACTATTACTCCAGAATCAAAATGAACAAACGGCAAGTGTCAACGGCTTCTGCGCAAGACTCTGCTTTCGAGAGTCGTCCTCGCAAGCGAGTATGTAAGGCATGCGACCGATGTAGGTCAAAGAAAGCCAAGGTAAGCGTGACTAACCCCCGGGTGCGCCATTTTGCGATGTGCTGACTTTCCCAGTGCGATGGGGAGAGCCCCTGTGGCCGTTGTACGCTAGACAAGACCAGCTGTAATTATGGAGAGAGAAAGTCAGGCCGTGAAAAGGTGTATCCTAGCGGGTGAGTGTGTACTCCGATTGCAACTTTTTCTCTTATAGTGCCTCTGGCCTTGGTAGCTAACGGGCCTTTTGCAACACAGATATGCCGAGATGCTGGAGGAACAGCAAAAATGGCTGGTTTACGCAGTACAGAAACTATATCGGCATATGACACAAGGCGAAGAATGGCCTGGAGCCCCTTTACGATGCGAAGAGAATGGCCATCCGCTAACCCACGACATACTCCGCTGTCTGGGAGCCCTTGGACGGTCAGAACACCGTCTATTGGAAACCGAGTTGGACAATACGCAAAGTACGGAGTACAGAACAAGTCCAGAGTCAATCGATACTACGTCTGAAACTGCACAAACAGTGCGCTTTCCATCTATCATATCGGAAGATTTCGTTGGACAGGATTTACTTGCACCGCAACCCGCAGGTTTGCCACAGCAAAGCACAAGCTTCAAGACCGAATCATCAATGCCGCAAATACCAGCTGGGTTATTTGCACCTCATATATCCTTGGAAGACGGAGGAAATATTCTGCCATGGCAGACTTCACAGCAATGGCCAGATGATCCTTTTGATCTTAATAGTGTGGATTTCATACCGGGTTTCGACTACATGACGACGTCATTTGACGAAGCGATTGCGCCAAGCGTGCCCAATATCTACTCATTATGATTATGTACGCTCAGCCAGGTCTTGTTATGGAGGACACTTGGGAGACTTCCGCACTGCGTTCAAATTGATGGCAGACCAACGTTTATATTTTTAGGGTGTAGAGTTACTATACTTGATACGAATCATGACAATGTACTTATACTTTATAATGAAATAGGGCTTTATGGAGATTACCCTTTTCCCTCTTGTAGCTCGGTAGTAACCCGGTTGGCAATTGTTAGATTGTAGTAGAGCACAGTGCCGTGGCTGCGACAGATTGTAAAGAATTATCAATTCACTGGAAGTAATGTACTTCATGTATGGCTCCAGGCTCAACCAGAAATCTAAAATCAATTGAGTTCTTGCGCTATTGCCTATCCCGGCGTCACGTGAATAGTGACTACGAGGATACTGTGTGAGAGTTTGCGTATTCTATGTTTATTGATTGTGTATTTCGCCATGTGTATTTCGAGTGTCTACAGATTAAAGAACCATGTGAGCTATCCTTGTTATCAAAGTAGAGGATGATAGAATTTAATAGGCGTAGAGCTCCACACGGGCATTGCCGAGTCGGGAGGCCGAAAAATATCGGCAGCCAAGACTAGGCTGATCAACCGCGGCAGGGCGCCACTCGGTGGAGTATGTTTTATCTTCATCCGCGATATGAAACAGAAACAGTACATTAGCACGACCTGGGTAGCCCCGCATAGCATAAGTCCCATGTGGCTCCAGGGCCCAGTAATGTGGCTCTCAAAATCCAATGTGGCAGATCGGCTCGATCGGGACGTTTCTCACATCCACACCCGACAAGATATGGACTTGTAGCAGGTATCTCAAACACAGTGGGAACTCGGCCACGAGTAGCCAGATTCTAGAATGTAAAAATCTCTGGACTATGGACTGTATGGAGCACGAACCCGCAAATCAGGACGCAGGGGTTGGTGGGAGAGGCACCCCTAGATCCGCTTTGGCAGATGTGCGTTATCTCCGGCGATTGTCACGAACTACTATGTCTGACTGATTATCTTTTACTTGCCTCTCTGCCCGGATAGTCGGCTTCAGCACGCCTTTTACTCAAGTGAGACTATGTGGGAAAACAATTATCACAAGTATATGCTCTGTGGGACTGTTTTAGTGTGGACACAAAGACACACGCCCCTAGGCATTCCCACTTTTGAAGGGTCTATCCTATATTTTCAAGAATTATAGATATACCTGGCCTTTCCCACTTGTCACTACTCCCTTTTGAGAAGGGATCAAAACCTACGCTATACTATCAATTGAATGTGACTATCCGGTCATCCTGATCTACGTATATGAACCAAACTCTCTGAGGCTACCGTTGCTATATTCGACAACCCCACGTGCAAGATGGAATTCCATCTTCACGATGAGGCCCCTCCGGTCTCAACAGCGCCAACCGAGTACGGAGACCAATCCGGCGAGGAATTTGAAGCATATAGCGAAAAGCCAACCCTCGGCGTCCCAGATAACAACGTCCGTGAAGCCACCAGTGCCGAAACCCTTGCTGTCCACGGTAGCCCACATATCACCCCACCTCCTGGCAGAGATGCAGAATGGAGTATGACAGACCAAGTCATTCGGAACAAAGAGCGTTCAGAAGCCGCAGGCTACAAGAAGCGTGAGCTGGGTGTAACATGGCAGAACCTCACCGTCGAAGTTCTGGCCGCCGAGGCTGCAGTCAAGGAGAACCAGTTCACTCAGTATAATGTCATTCAGCTCATTCAGGACTGGCGCCGGAAGCCACCACTCAAGCCAATCCTGCAGGACAGCCATGGCTGTGTTAAACCAGGTGAAATGTTGCTCGTTTTGGGTCGGCCGGGCTCGGGATGCACTACGCTTCTTAAGATGCTCGCCAACCGGCGCGAGGGATACCACTCTGTGCATGGGGATGTGTCTTTTGGAAACATGAATTCGGAGGAAGCATCCCACTACCGGGGTCAGATTGTTATGAATACCGAGGAAGAGCTTTTTTATCCCCGTCTAACTGTTGGGCAAACCATGGATTTTGCAACTAAACTCAAGGTCCCGGCACATCTTCCCGCTGAAGCCAAATCTGTCCACGATTATGTTGCCGAGACGAAACAGTTTCTGTTAGAGTCTATGAAGATTGCACACACTGCCGATACCAAGGTTGGCAATGAATTTGTTCGCGGTGTATCAGGTGGTGAGAGAAAAAGAGTTTCTATTATCGAATGCATGGCCACCAATGGTTCCGTTTTCACCTGGGACAACAGCACTCGAGGCCTTGATGCAAGCACAGCCTTGGAATGGGCTAAGGCCCTCAGAGCAATGACCAATGTGATGGGACTTTCGACTATTGTGACCCTCTACCAGGCTGGAAACGGTATTTACAACCTTTTTGATAAAGTCTTAGTGCTGGACGAAGGAAAACAGATTTACTATGGCCCAGCTGCTGCTGCCAAGCCATTCATGCAAGATCTTGCTTTGTTTACTCCGACGGCGCCAATATTGGTATGCTGCTCACCTTCTAGAGACCCTATTTGCGTTGGACATCTACTGATCGATATTCTAGGTGACTATTTGACGGGTGTGACTGTTCCTACCGAGCGAAAAATCCGACCCGGATATGAAAACCGATTCCCAAAGAATGCCGAGGCGATTCTAGCAGAATACCAGCGATCCACGTTATACCAGAATATGGTTAGGGAATATGATTATCCTCGGTCTGACGCTGCTCGTCAGCGGACGGAAGAGTTCAAGGAGTCTGTGGCCTGGGAAAAAGCAAAGCACCTTCCGAATAGTAGCACGCTCACCGTTGGCTTTTGGGATCAGCTAATCGCTTGTACCATTCGCCAATACCAGATTTTGTGGGGTGAGAAGTCTACGTTCCTGATAAAACAGGTCCTGTCGGTTGTCATGGCTCTCATCGCTGGATCTTGTTTCTACGGCTCCCCTGACACAACCGCTGGTTTATTCACAAAGGGTGGTGCCGTCTTCTTTGCACTCTTGTACAACTGTATTGTTGCCATGTCTGAAGTCACCGAGTCCTTCAAAGGCCGTCCTGTGCTGGTTAAGCACAAGTCTTTTGCTATGTATCACCCGTCCGCCTTCTGTCTCGCACAGATTACCGCCGATCTTCCTGTTCTTCTGGTCCAATGCACACTCTTTGCCATTGTGATTTACTGGATGACGGGTCTGAAACATACTGCAGCCGCATTTTTCACCTTCTGGGCCATTCTGTTCACCACCACCTTGTGTATCACAGCTCTGTTCAGATGTATTGGCGCTGCCTTTAGTACATTCGAAGCTGCGTCCAAGATCTCGGGAACTGCCGTCAAGGGCATTGTCATGTATGCCGGTTATATGATCCCCAAAGGACACATCAAGAACTGGTTCCTTGAGTTGTACTACACGAACCCATTTGCCTATGCGTTCCAAGCGGCTCTATCGAACGAATTCCACGGGCAAACTATTCCGTGCGTCGGAAATAACCTTGTGCCCAGTGGGCCGGGCTATGAAAATGTCAGCTCCGCCAACAAGGCCTGTACAGGTGTGGGAGGTGCTCTTCCCGGGGCAGACTACGTTACGGGCGACCAATATCTCCTTTCCCTTCATTATAAACACTCGCAACTGTGGAGAAACTATGGTGTTCTCTGGGGCTGGTGGGGATTCTTCGCCGTGGTCACGATCATTTGTACCTCTTTCTGGAAGGGTGGAGCCGGGGCCGGGGCTTCTCTCCTTATCCCTCGGGAGAAGCTCAAATCCCATCGTGCCCATCTGGATGCAGAGGCGCAGAAGGAGAAAGACCCCGTACGCGAAAAAGGCTCTGGCGATGCGCTGACCTCCGTTGATGAGGGGAATCTGACCCACAATACATCTATATTCACCTGGAAGAACCTTACATACACGGTTAATACCCCTACTGGCGACCGGGTTCTATTGGACAATATCCATGGATGGGTTAAGCCTGGTATGTTAGGCGCGTTGATGGGGTCTTCCGGTGCAGGAAAAACAACGTTACTTGACGTGCTTGCCCAGCGCAAAACCGAAGGTACAATCAAGGGTTCAATTATGGTTGATGGCCGTGAGCTGCCTGTATCATTCCAAAGAATGGCAGGCTACTGCGAGCAGTTGGATGTCCATGAGCCATTCGCAACTGTCCGAGAGGCATTGGAATTTTCCGCACTGCTCAGGCAATCTAGAGACATTCCCAGAGAAGAAAAGCTCAAGTACGTTGATACTATTATTGATCTACTTGAGCTTCACGATCTGGCAGATACCCTCATTGGAACAGTCGGCAATGGGCTTAGTGTTGAACAGAGAAAGCGTGTCACTATCGGAGTGGAGCTGGTATCGAAGCCCAGTATCCTAATCTTCTTGGACGAACCCACGTCTGGTTTAGATGGACAGTCAGCCTATAACACAGTCAGATTCCTTCGGAAGCTTGCCGACGTCGGTCAGGCCGTGCTTGTGACAATTCACCAGCCCTCCGCCCAGCTCTTCGCGCAGTTCGATACTCTACTCCTGCTTGCTAGGGGCGGAAAGACGGTGTATTTCGGAGATATTGGTGATAACGGTGCTGCCATCAAGCAATACTTTGGCAAGTATGGTGCTTCGTGTCCGATTGAGGCGAACCCTGCTGAGTTCATGATTGATGTGGTGACCGGGGGTATCGAAGAGGTAAAAGATAAGGACTGGCATCAGATCTGGCTGGAGTCTCCTGAACATGAACACATGATGGTTGAGCTCGATCATTTGATTTCTGACGCCGCTGCGAAGCCCCCTGGAACTCACGATGATGGCTATGAGTTCTCGATGCCCATGTGGGATCAAGTCAAGATTGTCACCCACCGCATGAATGTCGCACTATTCCGGAATACCAACTACGTCAATAACAAGTTCTCATTGCATATTATTTCTGCGCTGCTCAACGGATTCTCCTTCTGGCACACTGGCCCCAGTGTATCAGCCCTGAACTTGAAGATGTTCACGATCTTCAACTTTGTATTCGTTGCGCCTGGTGTCATTAACCAACTTCAGCCGTTATTTATACAGCGCCGTGATATCTATGACGCTCGTGAAAAGAAGTCCAAGATGTATTCATGGGTTGCCTTCGTTACCGGATTGATTGTCTCCGAGTTTCCCTATCTTTGCGTCTGTGCCGTTCTTTATTTTGCCTGCTGGTATTACTGTGTGAGACTGCCTTGGGCCTCTAACCGGTCCGGCGCCACGTTCTTTATCATGCTCATCTATGAGTTTATCTATACTGGTATCGGCCAGTTCGTTGCAGCCTACGCCCCAAACCCGACCTTCGCCGCTCTTGTCAACCCCCTGATCATCAGCACACTCACCTTGATGTGCGGCATTTTCGTGCCCTACGGCCAGTTAACCGTGTTCTGGAGGTACTGGATGTACTATCTGAACCCGTTCAACTACGTTACCTCGGGAATGCTAGTGTTTGGCATATGGGGCTCAAAGGTGACCTGCAACGAAGATGAATTTGCGATTTTTGACCCGGTCAACGGCACCTGCGGCGATTATCTCGCCGACTACATGGCTGGCAGCGGCTGGAAGATCAACCTGACCAACCCCGACGCTACATCTGGCTGCAGGGTCTGCGAGTACCGCAGTGGCAGTGACTTTCTGACTACCCTCAACATCAACCACTACTACTACGGCTGGAGAGACGCCGGTATTTCCGTCATCTTCGCGATCAGTGGATATGCTTTGGTCTTTGCCTTGATGAAGCTGAGGACCAAGGCCTCGAAGAAGGCTGAATAGACGATGTGCTACTTCGTTCCTCAGCCTCATCAATGCTCCTTCTGCGTATCGCTGGATTTGTCATTACCAGCCCCCGTGCGCAAGAAGACTTGTCTATCTGTACAGGAGAAATTGGCTTTCTGTGTCAATGCGCAGAGGCTACATTTCAAACGCAGTTTAATACTGCTTCACTTACCCTTTCCCTTGTTCTTATCCAACTTTTATAGACTGTATATAGACCGGCTTTACCCTTTGCTTTCGCTCCTTCCCTTTCATTTCATTTCTTTCAAGATGTGGCCATCTTCCCTGTCGATTTCCAGGTCCTTACATCATTGTCTAGCACAGCGTGAATATTTATATGATAGATTGGTGGACTGAACTTAGTTCATCATTGGCTAGAATAGACTACAATAGAATATATAATAATTCTCGATATTTTCCACATACAGGCAAACTGCCACTCAATACACTACGTAATACGTAACGAGCTTGGCCATAGGTCCCAATCGCATCCACAAAAGAGGAATAATCCATTGCTCGGTGCCGTCAAGGCAGTATATCGAACTACTACTACTACTACTACTACTACTACTACTACGACTACCACCACCACTACAGGTGTATGTAACCACAGCTCGGGTGGAGCTTCCTAATCTAGCTCTTTGGTAAAGGAGCCATGCATTAGTGTCTGTGATATTCAATCTATATGCCTAATCTACGAGGATATAAGCCTATTCTATGACAGCGGACCATATTTGGAGGGATAAAGTGGTACGTAACTCGCGCATGAGAGTATGGGATAGTTCTGGCACAATTATACTGCTTACCATGGCCCGAGGACTGTGCGAATAGGAGAAAAAGAGTATCAGCTGGATTTCATAGGATTGTCCAGGGATTCCAGTAGATGTTTGTTGACCAACCCATCGGTACTAAGCTGGCGCAGAGTACTCTGCTCCGCTAAAAGATTGAAAATATCAACAGTCATCCACCTTTCCAGCTGGCCCAGATGAAGGTATATGTTAGGTACGGTAGCATTGTTTCGCAAAAACCTCAGGAGGGCCTCTGGTTTAGGTTCGCAGTTTGTCTCAATGTATAGTGTCTGTAGTTGGGGACAATAGGTTTGCAAAGAATCAAGTAAGTCTGGGTCAAAGTATCCCAGCACGCGAATTTCTTCAAGTCCCGAGTGCAGGTAGGGTTGAACATATTGCATGACCGGGCAATCTGGGCTTTGAAGCTCATTATATCCCAAATGGCCAAGTAGGATTATTATATTGGTCAATCTCGGGAAGGTGAGATAACGGCAACCTTCTAGATATTCCCTCATATGTTCCCTCCCACATTTCCTTGGGTCTGGGAGGAGCAATGTTTTAATCACAGAGGCATAGATCTGTCGGCGATCATCGTGGAATTTGGCAAGGGTATCTATGCCCATACGTTTCCATACTAGGGAAATGCCGCAGAGGAACCATCGCCAGTTCAGTCTAAGGAGTGGAGAAATTTTGTTCTTTGCGTACCACAGAATCTCTAGAATCTGGAGGAAAATCTCTGTGGGTATTCGATCCATATTAATAGATGAGTATGGGTCAGTTGAGCATTGCAAAGCTCTCAAGTGAGAAAGCTCAGGACAAAGGGTATCGTGCTGTAGCCCTGACAATCGGAAGACAACAATAGCAGTGAATAACAAGTCAGTAAATGGGCGCAAATGTATGTCATATCTTGTCATATCTTGCTGATCTGTGCCTAATGGCTACTGCAACACGTATACCATTGCGTACTCGTCACATACCGGTGTGATATACGTCAAGAATGTCCCAATATCTCCTCCTGAAGAATACATATGAACAAAGACAACAACCGCGATGCGGTGTCAGTGGCCTAATGTTACATTCCTGCTACATCATCACCGGTGTTTAGACTACTCATCAGTCGTCGTCGGCACCTAGCCTCGTTACACCTTCTGCCTTTAGCGGAAATATGAAGGCGACTCTTCTCTTCCACCTCATTAATAGAGATTGGTATGCGACCATCATTGTGGATGTCCATTGTGGTATTTGTGTTCTGTATAACACAGTAGTCTGCCCTTAAATAAACCCTAAACGTCACTCCTCCCGTCCCTTACCCGCCAGGTAATGCACATCGCGCGTCGGCATAAACTGGCCACGCACGGTATCCCGTTCAAACAGCTCATCCATAAATTCCAACGACAGCCCTAATCATACAGCCGTTATGATTAGCCCAGTTCCGAGTATGAAAAGCAGCCAAGATAACCGCAACCTTACCTTTTGTTTCCGGCACAAAGAACCAAGTATATAAGACCATCACGAAACAGAAACTCCCATACACAAAGTAGGTTCCGTACCCATTTTTTCCCAACGTCGCGAACATCGTCGGCGTGGATTTGGCAACCACAAAGTTAAAGAACCACTGCGAGGCGGTGGCCATGCCCATGTTGAGGGCCCTGAGGCGTGCTGGGGGAATCTCCTAGTCCTGCTGTTAGCAGAAGCATACTAGACGGCGACACCGAAGACTTACCGCGCAATAGGACCATACCACTGGCCCCCATCCAAATTGGTATACGGCGGCAAAAAGGTATATGGCGATTAGGGCGATGTATCCTTGCGGTGTGATGGGGGCGTTTTCTGATATCGTATCGAATCGGACGTAAAACCCGACGTAAAATAGCATGATGCCCTATGTCCGGTTATAAATAGATTCATTGTCTCTATGACAGGTATGGGCTTACTTGAACAATACCTGTCCATAATAACGATCTTCTGCGACCGAGCGTGTCCGATACGAAAACAATGAAGATGCCGCAGGCTATAAATTTGACGATACCGTATATCCCCGTCGCAAACAGACCTACCGACGAGGATGAGAGGCCGACACTGGCAAAGATGGTCGGAGAATAATATGTCATGGCGTTGGTGCCTGTCATATTACTCCACATCATGAGGGTAATGCACAGAATTGATCGCCGGCGGTAAGACTTCCGTGAGAAGGATTCTTTGAGAAGAGGCCACATCGAAGATACGGAATGCTGGGACTCCTCTTCTAGTTGAAGCCGCAGGTTGTTCAACTCCTCCATCACATATGGATGATCTTCGGGTAACCCCCGGAGCGTAGCAAGAACGCGTGATGCTCTCTCCGGCCGCTTCATCGCGATATATCGAGGTGACTCGTTTGCAAAGAACATACCGACGAGAAGGATGACGGCAGGAAATGCTTGAAGCGAAAGCGGGATGGTAAATTGCTCCGTTCCCGTTAAATGACGTTCGCAGCCGTAGTTGATCCAGAACGCTAACTGCAGTACTTTGTTAGATGTATGGAACTTATTGAGAACACCAAGCATTATTCATAAGGGCCAGACCCACCGTGAGACCGAATACTAAGGTCAATTGATAGAATCCCGTGAGTAACCCACGGATGCCGCGTGGCGCGTTCTCAGCGATATATATTGGACACACGGAAGATGCTATCCCGATGGAGAGTCCCCCGATGAATCTAGATAATAGCTTAGCTGATGAAGCCACCTGAAGTAGATGAGTTGGCTTACCGTCCTGCATACAAAACTCCAATGATGCCACTAGCGCCAGCTTGCATAGCAACACCCACGAACAGAATCAACGCAGAGAATATCAGTGACAATCGTCGTCCGATGGCATTGGCAACGTAGGTGGAAACTAGGGCTCCCAGAAACGACCCCGCTTGGATGACCGAGACGATGTTTGACTCTAAGTTTGCTAGAGCGGTGTCTTCCTTTCCTACAAGCCCGTATTGTCTTTCATTCAGTTAGCATTGTCGACGCTGCCTCAAGAAGAGAGACTCACTCTTTGAAGGAGTTCATGGTTAAGACACCTCCAATGACGCCCATATCAAACCCAAAAAGCATGGAAGCTCCACATGCCTAGATACCATCAATGTCTATAAAATGTAAACTACACGAAGGGATTGAGCACACCGACAGGCTGATCAGGACTACCCGGAAATTATATATCTCAGGGGGGTCCGATTTGATGGTATCATTTCGGATAATTCTCTGAAGGAGGGCCATTTGTATAGTGCGCTTCTAGTCTACCGAGTTTTAATGCTACAGAGATTGAGCCTGGAGGCCTCTTTAAGTATCAACGGAGGCGCAATTTGTCTATCTACGCCAAGAGCACGGCTGTAGACGGCCATTGTGAAGGTTTGTCTCGTTCTCTGACTAGCTCGCTGGATGAAGGTTGGCATAGCTTTGGAAAGAGTATACTGCCCGCAACCCCAGCCATGATTCGAGGAAGACGATCATGATGATGCGGGGTAGCACTAGTCCTGGATTGGAATCTGGGGTAGACACGGTCACGGGCTTCATTTTGCGGGGAATTAGCGTCGGCTATAGATATTCATTTCAGCATTGCGACTATTGCTAACTACTTCGTGCTTCTTTAATTGCTAAACCACGCGCCATCAATTACAAATCCATCAAAAGCTGCCCCGCACCATGGTAATCTAAGTCAGGAAACCCACCGCGAAGAAACGGAAGGCTAGACAGAAAGGCGTCCGGGCATTCCAAAGCTTCAGTTGGCTCGAGGAACGATAATACCTGTTGAGTAGGGAAGCCATCCTGGAAAGGGTTCGTACTGCCTATCATGGACGGGTTTGTGAATTCGTCGAGGTCTATGGGACTCGGGAGCGGGTTCTGTGTTGAGTGCCTCGATTCAACAAAGTCGTCTGCTGTCTCGGGGGTGGTTTGTCCCTGGAACCACAGACTTGTGAGCAACTTGCCGTATCTGGAGGCGATGTGTGATGGGCTGGTAGCTGCACTTTTGAGCATGGAGATGAAATGGCGTACTAGCATGGTGCAGGTCTGTTGTTCCTCGGAGCTCAAAGCCCCAACAGTCAACGCTTTGAAGAGGAACACCGACGCATGTATTTCGTATCTATAGATGGTGAGCATCGTTCGTCTGTGGTAGTGGTAGATGCATCAGACGTACAGGTAAAATCGGACAGGAGTATACCGGAGGTGCTTTGTGGGGTTCAACCGTTCCATAAGATGCTTGAGCACGCTTTTGGCTGCATCGATAGCAATATATATGTGTCTACCATCGGCACTCGCCATGATGCTGTATGGAAAGTACGAGCTCTTCCCGCTATCGCATCCAGCAGAACTTTTGGGCGTTCGATAAAGAACCGCCTGGAAAGCGAACGCGTTGATATAAAGACGCAGGTACTCGAACTGAAGACATAGGAGACCACTTAGGTGAGGAGGTAGATCGACATTGGCCCAGGCTTCCTTCCACATGGCCAGTGCCTTGGAGCTATCGTCCAGATACTTGGTGTAGTCACCCATGAGCATAAGCTGGACTGTGCGCGTTTTGGACGCGTACAGAATATCATGGATATTCCCAAAAATAGTGGTTAGCTCCACTTGAGCCTGGACAAAACTCGCATAATCGACCCCATTCGCCTTTTGAGGTTGTAAATAGGGGTAGTCGTCGATTGTGAACCGAGTGGATAAGCCAGGTCCGCGACACCAGAATGCCTGTCCCATTTGTATAGAAATCTGACGGTCTGCAAGGTACGTGACTAGGTATGTTAGCTCGACGAATGGAATGCGAAGATTGTTCGTACAGATCCATGCCAATCTATTACGATGATAATCCAACTTATCCTCATCCTTCGATTCGCCTCGGAACGAGTATCTTTCAAGATGTAACAAATAAGCTTGTCGGACCGCCAGACCAATGAGATTCCATGACACACTATCCTCTGCCGCCACTTGGACTTGGGGTGATGGACCGTTGTTGGCTGCAGCATCCCTCGCGCATTCCTCGGCACTGATATGTGGAACCCACTCAGCGAGGAGTAGCAGTCCTTCTACCGAGCCAACATGCCGAACACTCGCAGCACCCAACACAACTCGTAGCAGCAGCCTTTCCATGTACTGTGATATTCTTGTATGCAAGCCTTCCAGGCCTACTCGGTCCTTCGTTGCGATGGTCAACACAGCGGTTAAAAGAAACGTCTCCTTTGCCCACGATTGCGTGATATTATCCAAAGAAGAAAGATGACTGGGCACAATTGGCAGATATGGATGAAAATTTTGGACGTAGCTGGTTAATGTTAGCCTGAAGCAGGCGCAACCGGGTGTATTACATACTATTGAAGCAATGGCTCCATTAATTGGATATCTACGATACCAGTCTGGATGAGCTCACTAGTAAGCAAGCTCGAAGAATTCCTTGATGAATCAGTGATAGAGCCACTCTGGGCACCACCCTCTTCTCTCGCGCCCACCTGGTTAGTGTGGACTTGAGACATTGATGTACTTCTCATTTCGGTATTCCTTTCTGTGGAAGCCGTCTGTGCGAGGATCTGAAGAGCCTCCAGCGGATTTTGTATACCTCCAAGACTGTGGTCTGCTACCGGATCCTCTGTGCTTGTTGAACCTATGCCTTTGGAGTCAGTGCTGTGCTGCGGGCGATTGCATTCTCGAGGCCCCTCCTCTCGGTGTTTCTGGGATTTCTGGACACGAAACCGAGAGTAATCACCACCTCGTCGTGAAGTGGCAACGATGCATCTGTGTCCTTCAGAAAAGCACTTGGAACAAGGATAATAGTTGTATTCGTTGGTGTATCGTCTAGCTCTGTTAGGCGATCATTCGTCGCACGCAGCACGGGACACATACAGGTCACATTTCGTTTTGCGTTGCCTGCAGCGAATGCAAGCCCTGTAGAGACGTTCCCCTTTACTTTTCGTCATAATTCATATGGTGATGTGATCTCACTGGAACAAAGTGGGCTGTTGAAAAGCAATGCGGGGAATACGTGATTCTGTCCATCGGCTATAGAAACTGGCGCACGGCTGTAGTTCGGCTATAGACGGTCACGGCATCTGATTGGCCGAATATGGGGTCGTGGCGGACATGCTGTAGTTATAAGAACAACATATTCCCAAGATGTAGCCCCGTTGGTTGGTAAACTCAGACGGTTAATAGTTCTCATCGCTATCACAGATTACTTCACGGACACCTAAAATGGCTACGATGGTTGAATCTGCGGTCTCGACCTCTGTACCCGGCAGAGAGCAACAACGTCTCCCCAGCGACGACATTTATGGCAAATATTATCCCATCAACCCAAGCAATCTCAGTCTAGAGTCTAATTTCGGGCCTATGGACCCGGAGAATATTGGCTACTTGCAGCCGACTTCCAAGGATACCCCACTGGAAATCATGCGGGAGAGGTTTAACCGTGATGGATATCTTCTGGTAAATCTCATCGAGCCATCATTCATATTTTCTATTCTAATACCCTAATCACTTGACTTAGGTAAAAGGCCTCCTCCCAAAAGAACCCGTCCTCAAATGCCGCCGCGAATACTTCGAGTACATGTCCCCATCTGGCCTCCTCAAGCCCGGCACGGATGCGGTCGAAGGAATCTTCAGCGGAAAGGACAGTCGCAAGTACCTGCCACCAGGAAACCTTCGCCGGCTTTTTGGACTCAAGGATGACGAAGAGTCGGAGAAATACCTGGAGCTCATGATTAGCGCACATGAAGCTCAATTTTACCTCGACTTCTGTGAGATAGAGGAGCTCCGAACATTCATCAGGCGGTTCGCAGGATGGGAACACATTACCATGTTGCAACGGACGCTGTTGAGAGCATTTGTTCCCGATAGCGAACTAACGCCCGTCCACTTCGATCAGATGTATCTCCGGGCCGGGCCACCGACTAGCCTCACGGCGTGGGTGCCTATTGGGGATATCTCTCTGGAAGGTGGTGGGTTGATGTATCTGGAAGGCTCGACTGATATTGGGCAGAAGACAGAAGAAGAGTTCGGTCGAAACGCAGGAAATCTAACTGATGAGGAGCGTGTGTCTGCTTTCAATAGGAACATGAATGACGGTGGATTTCTGAGTCGAGATACGGTTGAGTACGGGCAGAAAGCCAATCGGAAGTGGCTGATTGGGGAGTATGAGGTCGGGGATGTCATCTTCCATAACCCGTGGATGGTCCATGCTAGTTGCAAGAATAAGGACCCTCAGAGACAGATTCGATTGGCAACTGATTTGAGATTTGTGGACTCTACAAAGCCGTATGATAAGGTGAGCTCTTCCCGGGTCGTGCTTATCCAACCTTACTAACTCTTAGTTATAGCGCTGGATGAAGGTTTTCCGGCCATTGGATGGGCTTTGATGATTGTCAAGCCTCTGTCGGAGGTCTCAGACAATGTACTGCTGGGGCTTTTATTGGGTAATTGCTATGTAACATGAATGGCATCACTTTTCACATTCAGCTATGATTAATGAAGGTTACAACGAAATGTATGCTGTCGCCGTATCGATAAATTTAGTAGGATCCAGTGCCACCGCAACGCATGTTGCACGCAAGTGAGACATAACGGCACGATCGACCTTCGAATCCTGGAGGATTATATGGAAAGCTTAAGATGTAGACTGGGATTATCCCTATATCTATATTGGTGTCAGCTGACATCGCCTTCAACTTTTTGGTAGACCCATCAGCTTGCTCACCTGATCAGTATGAAACCCTAAGTGAAGTCTAGTACTGCATTTAGGGATTTATTCTATTCCAAGATATCTAGATTGACTATGTCCAGATAGGTATTGATAGAAAACGAAGTTGATTAATCTAACCGGTAGGGAAGGAGAGCAACACACTGCCAGGATATCTTAAAAGCGATTAAGCTATGCTCCACAGACCACCAAAATCACTTTGACATACGATTTTGCCACCACTAGAGTCTATGGCTAGTAAAATATATAAGTGACTCTAGTTCAACGTGCCGAAATGCTGGTCTCTGATATACAGTGTTACACCCACCGTTGTAGTCGCATCCTACAGTGGGATACGATTCATATTTGGCCCGCTTTCTTTTCCTCTCTCAGTAGAAGTCATAGTTGAAAGGCGGGTTAGCAGGTTGATTAGCTACCTGGTACATGGTAGGATATAAGTGCAGGGAGATGCAAGCTGCTGTAGCTTCTCTGAGGCGCTCATAGGTACTTGACGTTACGCATGAGACGCCTGTGAGATAGCCTAGGGTCTTCCCCGGGTTGCACCTGTAATATGACAAGCCATAAAGAGGCTTGTGGGATGATGTACTTTTGAGCTAGGTTTCAGAAACAAGCATCATTATATTTAGGTTTCATCAGGCTCGTGCAAACACAGTTACATTGAATGGCGCTGGCTCCGCGAAGAATGAACTCATAGATTTATCAGCCGTATGCCTATGTTGGTGGTTCGAGTCCGTTTTTTTGCTGTACTAGTGACGTAGTAAGATCTAGGTCTGTTTTTAGGCCTTGTGGCATCTACCATTTGTCGGTATTTGTACATGGACTCAAAGCCTACTGCGTATTTATGGCCCCATAAGCTTCTAATACGCCGGGATTATGGCGAGGCTTGAGGCCACAATTATACCAGGGTGATATATATGGCTTATGTAAATGGCAAAGGATGTATACCATAGGAATGAACTTTAGCTTACAGATGGTATTAAGTCATTCTATGCCGCCAACATTTGGAACGGATTAAAGAAGCCTGACCTGGGCACTATCTATGTCCCAATGTCTGCACAACCTATTTTTAATTCTATCGAAAGTCAAAGCTGGATATTTTGGCCCATACTCTTTATAGATATAAGGATGCTATTGTTTTGTCCGTGTGGAACTCTGCCCTCTAAGAGTTGGCCATATCAGGAAACCTATCAGCATTGCAGGTTCGCTTTCATTTACGCATAGAGCTTGGTTATAAAGTGACTAGGCCACCTAACAATCGATGGGCAAAATTTCCAAGGCATCCTATCGCATTCAGACCAATACATCCTGATTCTAGACCGCTCTGTGGTTGCTTAGGGTCCATGGAGAGTACTGGGACTAGGATAGAGCGACTTACTGGGGCGTACTCATTTACTGAACAAGATGTCTTTCAGCCACAGACAACCAATATAATATTCGCTGTAGTTTTACAGGCTTTTGCGCTGGGTGAAAGTAAAATCAATACGACACCTTCATGGGCGTTGATTGCGGATGTTTCATTTTCAGCCCCCATGGGCGACAGGGCATCGTGTACTATGCTCACTGGTGCCACTAGGCTTCCTTATCCCAGTTATGATTGAATCCCATTTGGTATAACCGCGAAGGTGACCATGTCATCTTTGATATGGCACGTTGGAGCAACTGGTGGGGAATCAGTATGACCTTATTATCGTTCGTAAATGTGACGTAGAACCGGGTAAAAAAGTATTCCGTGGCAATGGATAATACATCCCTTGATACCCCATGAGCCTGTATGAGCAGGAGTTTCCACTTACGCTAGTCAAGAATAGTCAAAGCGTTGTAGAAGCTTTCAGATCGCACGGTCGAAATTAGCGTAGCTGACCAACAAGACGCACATCAGTGCAAGGGTTGTTCCCGCTGCACTCTCTATGGGATCAGGGATATGATAGCTGAAGTGGTCACGTTCTACGAATGTAACCTACATATACATTGGCTTATTACAGCTTGTACCACCACTTGAGGTTAATTTACATGTCCCCAGGCCTTATTCGACGGATCTACGACGTCACGACGCAAGGGATGCGGTATATTGCTGAGCCGCAGGAATGCCAAGAAGGTGTATCTCGTGTTCCCTTCCAGAAGAGAGTCCTGCCAACGTATTGGATGTACATGTGTGTAACGTGATACATCTACACTTTGCAGTGGATGGTATGCCTTGATATTCACATCCTGAACTGCGACATAGCAATGGCTAGATCGAGCGTTCCATGCAGCTTCATGCGAGCTACCCTTTCTTGTCGACGTGTATGAGCGTAGGATCCTTTCTTAGGTTAGTCTAGCTCGTAAAGTCGAGTGACTCGTATACGCCAGATTCTTATTTTAGCCAAATGTTACTGGTTTTATGTTGGTTTACTACCACTGGACATCCATGTCTCAGCCACCATGGGTAAAAGATCATGCTGATTGGATATCATTACGTATAGTATGGAAAGCCACATGAGGGAATTTTCAGACAAGCTGGAGCTTTGAGGGCTTGACTGTTGTGGGCAGATCTCTATGGAGAGGAACGGACATAAATAAGCGGCAGCCATCGTTCTTCTTCTTCAAATCTAGCCAAAGCAGTCCAACGCAGTTTGACAAGATCACCTCAAAGCTGAAGTCCAAAAGCTTCGTTCACCAGTCTCATTCTTCAAAATGATCAAGTCCATTGCCTTCATCGCCCTTCTCTTCTCTACAGCAACCGCTGTCCCAACCCCAACCGAGCTTCTGCCTCGGGCCTGCACCACTCAAGCCCCCTCCATCATCCACATCCTCGACGCCGCAAACCCCGACACTGCCTACCCGGGCCAGCAATTTACCCTCGAGCGCAGCGGCTCTCCCCTGAAAAACAACAAGATCTCCGTGCTGACCTTCTCCAACATCCCCGCCGGCGCCACCGGCTGTCGACTCGAAATCGAGCTTCCCGCACTGAGCGAAGGCCAAATCGCACCAAGTGACACCCAGGCCGATGTCTGGTCTGCGGACCCAACAGACGGCGGTTCAGCCCCCACGTATAACCATCCGCCACACAAGAGAGAAATGGTCTCGACCTACATCTTCCCCAAGGGACCCACCACAAATTCAGCCCACACTGTACTGGCCTCCAACACTTGCTCAACTACTATGAGCTGGTTGGTGCAGTTGAGCGAGTGGCAGACCTCAGCTGGAAGTGTCAACTTCCAGAACTCGATTGGTAATGGCGCGGATATCGGCTTTACATTGGTCTACAACTGTTGATTGGTGGTTGAGGATCATATTGTGTGAACACGGGAAGGTTACTGATGTGATCTAGGTGCTGCTCACCGAGTATCTGTTCTTTGCTTGTATGCAACCGTTGTACGCGTGTTCTGTCGTCTACTTGTGTGCTTTTTGTTTGGTTCAGAATAGCAAGCGCTTGCTGTTGGTTGTAGTCACTCATTTGGCGTCGGTCTTTGACAATTTAGCTTTTGATTCGTCGTACTAGTTTGACGCATTGGCGAAAATCTGCATCTTTGTGTAGGAGATGCAGCAAGTCATAGTATTTGTAGTTAAAATGACATGTTGTTAATAATTATTCTCAAGTGTGCTTAATCACTACATGTATTCAGTCTGGATAGTCCGTTTGTGTGTCATTAACTGTGTCTATTTGGGAAAGGCCTCGCTAGTGGGCGTGCTTCCACACAATAATCTTGATAATCTAAAGGCAATGAGCGCAAGCATATACATATTGGTCACGACGTACTAAAATTGTAGAGACTGGTTGCACTAATTCTGTACGCATTGAGAGGTATATACAACAGGTAGAACAAAACGGGTAAGATATCTATTTCAGAAGCTGAACCTTAGGCCAACCGGTACACATGCTATCAATTACCATTAATAGTAGAATGGCAATCTGCAATCGTTCACTAGACAACATGAGTAAAGACAAGCTGGTGCCAGCGTGTTGCACTACGCAAGATATCGTCCGGGTGATTTCTCCCTATCCGCTCCGAAGGACATTAAAGTACACCTGGCCAGTACTTATCTATGGCCTATAAGAATTAAGATCCGTAATAAGAAGAACCCATGAACGCAAACCAAACGGAGCATCCGCACTAAAGCCATTGTTAAACCCACAGTCTCCTGAGAAACTCCTCACCCTGGCGGTCCAAAGACAACTCCCCTAGGTTTTCACAAATACAACCATGACAACTTGGACGATTGAGCCCTGTTCCGTCAATGACGCCGCCGCTCTGGCGCGTAACAACATGGCGGCCTTCTGGGAGGATCCAAACTGGGTTATCCTGTGGCCGAAAGACATGAAACGGGAGTTTATTATCGAGCAAGCGACAAAGCGTCAGCCGCGTAATCTTCTGCGCGACCGGGAGAAAGTGCGGCATCAGCAAGCCGTAGACCCCGTTACCGGTGCTGCGGTTGGTTACGCGCGCTGGATACTTCCATCCGGACATTATATCGCAGGGGATGGCAGTCCAGAGTGGGCCGAGGCACAGGTACCAGATGTCGGTGAGGATGAGAAAAAGAAACACCAGGAGTTGGCTGAATCGGCTTGGTGGAGTCCAAGAGAGGATATGGATAGCCTCGATGATAAGAACCATGTTGTAATGGACCGCATCTTGGCGGAGAAACCGTACATCAGTAAGTGTACATCGATGACATTTAATAACAATGGTACGTAGCTAACTCATGGTTAGAGCTCGACTATCTGGCAGTTCACCCAGAGAACAAGGGAAAGGGCATTGGCACGGCGCTTGTTGCCAGCGGGATAAAGTATGCTGAGCAGGCTGGAGTACCCATTTTTACCATGGCTTTCAAAGCAGGACGCGGGATTTACGCGCGACTTGGATTTCAGGAAGTCGATCGAGTTATTCAGGATGATTCGATGTATGGTGGTCCTGGTGAATACGCAGCGTACTTCATGGTATACGATGTCCCTAGGAATATGTGAGCCATGTGGGCTGTCCTTTAACGATATTACCTTGCTACTTTTAGGACTACGTTCACATTTATCTTAGTTTTATTAATCTCATTCATGGCTAGACACAACATGGGTACGGCTTGAGGAGAGACAAAGTCTCAGTACACCTATCGTGGCTGTGCTGGGTTATCTAAAACAAATCCCCTGGTATTGTCCATAAATCATTGTAAATTAACCGACTAATGAACTGCTTAGTATCAGGATAGAAGCTTGACAGCCTTACGACATGTGTACAGGTCGTATTTAGCCGCCCATGCAACATACATTATCACTCGGGTTTCTAGGCATTCCTGCCAGGAGGTTTCAACGGTTGTTGTACGAGCTCTCACATAATCTAAAAGTGGTCCATTGGTGTACTCTCAAGTGTATGGACATGCAGCTGGAGTTAAAGCCTAGCGACTGACGACTTGAGCTGACGTGTTTACGTACACAAGTGGACCTTCAACCTGTGAACTACTGCTACCTCCGAGTCATCAGGGATGTGGAGCTGATTTGTATGCGGACTTCCCCGATGGCGATAGGAAAGCTCTCAAAGGTTTGATCAATACACTGCAGGATCCCAAAAGTCCCAGTCTTAGTCGTACATCTTCTACTGATAGTCGAGTTCAGTAACATGGATAATCAGGGCTTGCTACTCGTGAACATTCCGAGAGGCAGTACTACGCAAAGCAATAGCCACAGCCCATAATAGCAAGCATAAAAATGTGCAACTAGAAAATCCCCTACTAGATACCTTCCAGAGCTCCTCTCCCTGTGCATTCAGTACAGGGGGCATCTATAAACAATAGTCGAGCTTAATAGGCACACTGCACCTCCGATGCAGCGGCTTTACACACACGAAACCCGCATATCTCAAGACACAATGCAGCGGCTCATGGCTGAACTCCCCCATGAAGACAATAACGATCGAGCTTTTGCAGGCAAGTATTCTTAATCTCTGTAGAGAGCGACATAGCCAGGCGCAAAACTTCATTGTGGTAGCTCCACCATAGCTTTGTCTCAGTTTGCAACCGGCTGGATGTGATACCTCCCAGGAAGATTCACAACTATGAATATCGCCTGCAACTGCTCGTGCCTCTGTGATCAATGCCTCCCGACCTTTTCGTTCATTACTTATCATAAAGGTGGGTTTAATCCTACTCGCTATAGGCTTCCACGACTCCCTAAGCATTGATATACGACTTATGGCTGCGGGGAAGTATCGGATAGTTAGGGTATCCAGTATGGACACCCAAGCTGTGAGGTAATATTTTGGACAAATCATTATGGTTCCCACACTAGCGCGTTGGGCAGCATCCTCTAGTCATCCTTCCAAAGGAACATTCAGGGAGGAACCGGAGCAGCAACGCTGATCGCTGTACCCTCTTCAGCACTCTAGCGGCATTCCTCGGCTTGGGTTCAGCATAGCCCTGAAGATCGTCCTAGTCAATCACGCTATTCAGCCCTGGCTGGGTAGGATACTGTCCAATATTGGTTCTAGAAGCCAACGGTTTGCCGCGTTTTCGCCGGCACTATAGATCCCTAGCGGGGCTCCACTAGTAACCATCAGCGGATAATTGAGAAATAACAGGCGGTTAAAGAGCCTGACATTAATGCCGAGGCTTTACATCTGAGGGGAACTCTACCACGGCGAAAGTGCCAGACATAGGGTAAGAACAGTATTGTATAGTGTGCAAGAGTGGTACACCTATGTATCCATCTGAGAACCTACCTACACCTCTCCTTTCGAGACAATGGCATCAGGGTTGCATAACTTGGCGGTTATATTAAACCATGTTATATGACCTCACTGTGGATCCATCGTGTCCCGCAGTGACTCCGCATTTCAGGGATGCTTCCCTTGACCTTGTACTATTCTTTCTCGGGTGTCGATAACTAAGACAAGCGACTCATATAAGCGGAGGAGCATTCTTCGTAGAACTCCGTAGACTAATATGTTGAGGGTAATATAGCGTTCGTCGGGCTCTCCCCGGCCAACAGATCGGTGTCAGGGGCGGTGATGGAGAATAATGTGGTAATGATCGTCAGAGAACGAGGGACTCTGAAACAAGTTTATATAGCACCAGGGTTAACTACCAATCGGACAGGAGTCATCAGAAACACTGGGCCACTGATGCAATATGCTGAAAGATCGTGATGTTACCTTTCTTCTTAGGGTAAAACATGTCTCGCCCAAAATAGCAGGCTCAAGCTATATAACGAGCCCAATTCACGTCTTCCATCAAGGTCACTCATCCAACAAACTCCCATCCAATCTACCTACAAAGCCTTGGTTGCCTTCTTTCTCAAACCCACCATCGTCATCATGAAGTTCTCCGTTGCTGCTGTTGCCGGTCTCTTCAGCGCCGTTAGCGCTGCTTCTCTCCCCGCTGCCTTCACCCTCGTTGCTGAGGGTGGCCTCACCGTCCTGACCGACGGACGTATGTTGCTGTTGCCTTGCCGACATATCTAACTGATTCACTAACTCTTCGCAGAGTACCTCTACTACGGCGGCAACGGCACCGACGCCAGCAAGGACATCGCCATCTGTGAGCCCCTCATCAGCCCTACCGATATAACAAACAGGTCACTGATCTCCTCATTTAGTCCACGCTACTCCTGACACCGGCGCCGTCTCCTACACTGCCAAGGACTCGACCCCTACCGGCTGGCAGAACCTGTACGTCGTCGAGAAGGACACCGCTCCCGTCGGCCTCACTCGTCCTCACTCCGGTGCCGTCCCCGAGGGCGCCAGCACCATCGACTTCAGCGTTGACGAGAAGGGTCTCTTCGCCCACGGCGGTAACGCGTACTTCGCCGTTGAGGGCTACGGTGACAACCCCGTCAAGACCGTCTACTGGTACGGTCGCCACAGCTCCACCTACCGCGCTGCCGACCTCTACGTCAAGGAGTGCAAGGGCTGCTAAACGGGTCGTCCGGAGTGGTATCTGTCGTGAACCTCCGCTAGGCCGGGTTCATCTCGGTTCGTGTTAATTCGGTGATTGTATTGCAGGCGCTGTATTCTACCTTTTCTTTGTACTTAATACATTAGTATCTTTGATCCAATTATACATATATTCACTCCTTTTGCATTGTACAACTGCAGGCAGAGTTGGACTGCTGCATCTTACTAATGTATAGTTTGCAACAATGACTTTAGAAATGAGCTGGCATAATCTTGTGTTGTGAAGAATCAAGTCGTCCGCTTCATTGGAAACGCTGTTATGTAGTATATCCGGGTTGGCATGCACGCCACCTGCCGGGAGAGCTCGCGATTTATCTGATGCCTTCATCGGTGCAGGAGTTGGTGAAAACATAATTAGGCGATACATATCTAGCTATGTATTGAGACCAGTCCTGCTATGTCCATATTGCCCATCCTGTCTATACCTGTGTGGTGTAAACCTGCACGGCGCTCGTGCACTCATGGTATGGCAGAGAGGTTGTGTTGTATAATGAGGCTAGCGGTGCTCATAAGGTCCTGTTTAGCCTGGTTAGATGTATACATATGGGAATGAAGTCCATGGGAAAAGACAGGGGAAACTATAGGATTGTGTGTGCAAAGTAGATATGTACTGTCATGCTAGCTGAACACAACGTATAATGGGCCGTCTGGAACAAGATACCTTGTTGAACATAATATCGTCTCCGAGTAAATGTACTACGTCGCGATCCCGAGAGAGGCCTCCCAACACTCTTGCAATGAGCCTCGGTTGAAATAGGTCTTGGCAAAACGAAGGTATCCACTGGTCCACTCCAACCATCCCGGGAGCAGAATAAAAACAGCAAAAAAGAATGACCAGACTGGGGCTCGATCCCAGGACCTTATCGGTGTTAACGATACGTGATAACCAACTACACCATCCGGCCAATTGTATGTTAGGCATCTTACTATCCTGTTATATCAGAGAGAATAGGGAAGTCAAGCTTGGTTTCCCAAAACAAATTCTACGGTTCCAAAAATATCACTGAGGTATCGAATATGTAGGGGATATGCTTTGCTCTTGGATGGTTCTTATACCTTGTGTACTATTGGTACAATGTAGAATGTACAATGTGTGGTACTTAATCTCAGCGTCGGAGGTACTCCATCGGTGTTTACGAGGTAGTATATATATAAATGTGTAGCTGGTATGGTGCTTCCCACAACCCTTCGTGCCTCTAGATCTGGAGCTTCTCTCACTCTCTAAGTTCTTATTTAATGGTGTCCTGGACATATAATTGCCGTAGTCTACGCATTTGGTAATCTCTCAGTTTATCAACACAAACATCACATCATTGTGAGAAAAAGATGAGTGACAGGATAAAGAACAGTATATCCCATTGAGAACACCAGAAGCCTGCATTCTAAAATCATGTGCCATGTCTAATGCATAAACCATCCGCCATCAGTTTCAAGGGTCGTATAGATAAGTGGACCCACGAGAATGCCATTCCACCGGTCGTTTATAATTCTCGCGAAAAGCCTTCGACTCTACCTTCCCTCAAAGTATAGTACGGGCTACTATAGCTGGGTTAAAATTGCTTAAGGAACACCGAATACCAAGAAAGGGAGCCATGCTAAGGGGGCAAAGCATAGTCAGAATATGCCTCAGACCAAACCTTTCAATCTAAAATGATCAGGACTTCAACGGTCTTCACATCCGGTCTAGGCCGTGCTACACCTTCGTACTTGGCAGTCATGGTTGGTGGAGTTACTTCACTCTAAGTGACACAACTATCGGACCCATTGGTTCGCTACAATATTACTGTTCTCATTGCTATAGGTGCGTTGAGGTGTGGGTGTAGCATGGTCACTCAATATTCTTCTGTCAAGTGTCTCTCAACTTGTGCACGGGACCATGAAGGGTACACCTGGACGAATCTTCACCTTCACCATGGAGCTCATCCGGGCCGGCAACAAAGTAAACAAGATTACTGAACATATAACTACCAGCAATAACATCCATCCCACAGACCCCATTAGTGGAGATATTCCAGGAACAACTCCCACTCGGCTACGGAGTCGAACCCGCAAGTACCAGTCACAATGCATCAGGGCTCTACACAGCCACAAGCTACCGTCTAGCGCTGGTTTAAGTCCGGGAGTACCGAGCTTCGGCAATGCAATTCGTGCAGAAAGTGGAGGGCTAGAAGCGATAGTGCTCCGCCGCCAAGAAGCTGGGCAGGGTTAGTCTGCATGCCGGAGATTGCGGGTTTCCGCGACTTGGATATGGCTCCCAAGAGCTGGCATTCTGGATATATCGCCGTGATTGGAGGAACGCATTGCACTCGCTCTTGATATTGGACCGGTTGGCTTCAGGTTGAGACATGGATGTTGGCTAAGTGGCTCTCTATCAAGTTTCCCTTTTCGCCGCCGGCGAATTGCCAGTATGGGATTAGGGTTCGAGAGTGAGGGCGAGACGGACAGGATTATATAAAGCTCGAGGTTATTCATACGAGCTGTTCCAATCTTTGCAGAGATTCAACCTCCAGCAAGCAATCAGATTGTGGTTAGCCATGTTGTCTCGCATTGCCCTTCTTCCCGCTTTCCTCCCCGTGGCTTTGGCCTGTTTGGGCTACGAGGGCGGTGTTCCCACACCCACAGCCCATTACTCCAACAGTGCTGTGATTGAGATCGCAGCCGGCGAGGTCTTCGACGCCGGCTGGGCCAAGTACGACCGCGGGTCTGGCGCCTGCGGTGGCCAGACAGAGGGAGACTGGAAGGATGCAGTCTTCTACCTCCACTCCGGCGCTACTCTGAAGAATGTGATCATTGGTGCTGACCAATCCGAGGGTGTGCACTGCGATGGCGCTTGTACCCTTGAGTTTGTCTGGTTTGAGGACGTCTGCGAGGATGCCATTAGCATCGTATGTTCCCAGCTAACCCTACACCCCGACTCACCGCTAACAATATCCCCAGAAAAACGACAAAGAGGGAGACCAGACCTGGATTATCGGCGGTGGAGCATACCACGCCGATGACAAGGTCGTCCAGCACAATGGCTGCGGTACTGTGAACGTAAGATACTCTTACCCTGACTACACCCGACTGAACCCAAGACTAACAATCAAAGATTATCAACTTCTACGCTGAAGACTACGGCAAGGTGTACCGGTCGTGCGGAAACTGCTCCAGCCAGTGCAAGCGGAATGTCTATGTCGAGGGAACCACTGCCCGCGATGGTGGTGAGGTTGTCGGTATCAACCAGAGCTTTGGAGATACTGCCACCCTGGTCAATGTCTGCACTGATGCTGATCATCCCTGTGTTCTGTACGATGGATGCGAGGGTGATTGCGAGCCGAGCAAGGTTGGATACTGCTCTGGTTAAAGGGTCTGTGACTCGCAGGGTTGGATTCGCATAATGGCGAGGGTGTACGCGAGATGTACATATGTTCTAGGTTGACTGGATACAGAAACAGATACTTTACTTTCGTATGGACCTTTAGATTGTGTCTATTGTATACATTCAGCCCGAGATCATGGAGAGAAAGTGATGTGTCGGGTATTCATAGGCCAAACAAGTATACTTAATCTTTACCATGAGATAACTCAATGGCATTTGGCTCGTTATGGCTCCTGCAATGGTATACACTAACAAAGATGAGTAATCGCCCCAAGTTTATTAATATAAACTGCGGCTATGCTCCAATACCAAGACACCAGTACTTCACTAACGGCCAATTGGGATTGATAGGCCATCGCATGGGCAAAGGTCAAAGCTTGTAAGTGTATCTTAGCCTCAAATTAGCTCCACTGCTAGCGAGGTCCAGGTATGAGACGGCTTGGCGTTCCCTGGGGATATCCCATCACATATTAAAGGCCTATTGAATAGCAACGTAGCTTCGTCTTGGCATAAGGTACGATTCTCAATCACGGTGGAACGTTCTCCAAGTACGAAAGCGGACCGATATGCGCAAACAGTATCTGCACTATTCCCGCAGAGTCCATGCCTTACCAGAGTGCTGACGAGTGGGTTACAACATGCGGCTGCAGAACTTGACATGCATATTGAATTTGATTCGGGCTTGATGTAGGTAGATTGCGATGTATACGACAGGGAGAGCGTGGGATTTACCGCTACTCAAGAAATACGGAAGTTACGGTATGGGTAGTAAAGGGACTTGAGAGGTCAGTTGTGCTCATTGCTAATCTTCACGTTGGAAGGAACAATGCTGCGTCCAATTCAGTCGGTGATAGCCCAATGTGAGGGTTTCCCGAAAATTCTCAACCCAGTCTTAAAAATATGTAAGGTCGAACTAGCCCCATGAAGACGGTGAGTAGCATTGTTCTACTCAGTGACGACGGGTGGGTGGGTCATACGCATCTCGACTATGATCTGGTGTAGGGGGTCGTAGACAGTCTCCGGAGTTCTTTCATCCTGGAGCTCTGTCAACCGCCAGATCCCTGGAAGAGCTGCTGCTTTAATGGCTCTAGCCTTTGCATATGCTTGACCGAATATTTTCACCAGCATCCGGCAGGCATAAAAAAGACGTCTATCTCCCCCAACATAGGGTTGCGTGGAGTACTTGAGGTAATGACAAGTCAGCGTTGCGGCCACAGCGTAAAGCATCGGGGTATGCCTACCCGTCCCTCATGATCGATATGGTAAAAATAGAAGTCCCGGGCATCTGTATAGAGGCCGTAGATTTCCCTATTCAGACCAGCGGTTTTCCGAATATGATAAACCAACGCTGTTGCCGTTAGCCGGAAATAAAAAGTAAATGGACATAGGCTCGGTAATCAGCATACCCATAGCTGCGAGTGGCGCCGCGAATCGGGCTTCATTTATGAAATTTGGCGTGATGATTATTAAGAGCATGTCGGTGTTGGCCTTGTACCCGTACCACAGCACATAGTCAACCTGGCACTGGAGTCGATATCGCCTGTGCTCCACGGTGATATCTGCCTGGATCGTTTGATTGGCCTCCGGAAGGACCATTGTTAGAAGTGGCTCTGCATCCTGAAAGCCCAGTTCATCTATGATATGTCTTCCCGCTTCCCGCTGGACTATATTGACTAGAAATGGGATCCTACTCAACCAAAGGTCTAAAGTGGGTTGAAACCTGGCACCGCCTGGATAGGGCATTTGTCCTGCAGCACGCTTTAGTGGGTGGGGACGTAGTTGACACTGAAGATAGTCGACTGACCTGCTTCGTCTACGAGACGATTTATGTTCACCGCTACATCTAGAAACCAGGGTTCTCCCTGGACATCTGGTATATAGCGATAGGAGAGCCCCAGGCTTCGCAGGAAAGAAGTCACAATTTTGTGCGAATCTGGTGCAGCTGTGATGTCTCGGTCTGGGTGCCCATCCCTTAATTCAAGTATGGTAAACTCGCCGTAAGCCATCTTGAGATAGAATCCTACCGGGTGACGGACAAGTCTAGGGAGGACCACATGCAAGTTGTCGACCATGCGCTCAGCCGCACGTCCACCCACCCTACGAACATTGTCGCCAACAGTTCGAGCACCTCTGGCAACATTCTCTCCAGAATCGTGCACAAAGCGTTGAGTGCGGTTGACAATTCTTCGTGCACGCTCAGCGACTTTTGGTCTTCCATCCTCACTAGGGCGGCCGTCGGGGTTCATGGCTACTATCACGAGAGCAGGTCTGGAATCAATTCCGAATCCCTTGTTGTTCGAGCTCTCGTTGCCTGAGAGCAGTTCCCTTGCCCTCGCAATTACCCGTGTCAGAGAATCTGGATGGTATGTCGACGGGGATGTAAGGTCTGACAGTTCAAGGGTGTACGATCTTGAATAAATCTAAATATGATAGAGTAAATTGGTAGTGATATGAGTCGTAGTAGTAGTAGTAGTAGTAGTTGTTGTTGTTGCTGGTGCTGTGTATCTCTAAGCGAACTGATCTGGACCGGCTGAACGAGATGGCTTCTTTCCCAAACTCACTTCTGCCCAGGGCTGTTCCTTCCCAATTCATGTGCCATCCGGCCGGCCAAAAGGCCATTTATGTATTAGTCCTTTAGCTACTTACACCTTTGGTTACCCCTGTAGTACCAATACTGGCCTAGGAGTCTAATACGCCGTATATCCAGGCTGCCGGAGGAGCTAAGAACGAGCGTACAAATGGACTACCGGTTACCTGAAGGTCTTGCATTTGACGACTGCAACTATTATAACTCGATCACTAAACATGTATTCAACAATGATAACCCTTGGGATGGACACTACAGCACAATGAACAGGGGGCTGCGGGAGACCACTGTTTCAGCCATCAGGATCCCAATGGAATAATAGACTGGACCATGGTACTTACTTTTAGGCGCTCTGTTGGTACCATTGCTCACATGTGAGCCACAGACCATTTGTCATGGCATAGTTGCATCTTCTGTTGAAGGCCCACTATCGGTATATGCGTGTCCATGGATCGAGTGCGCTGTGCCCACACCTGACATCTCCACACTCAAATGGCCGCTGATTGATCTCTCACTACCGTCAATATCGCAAATGTCACTCCTTACTTCCTCAACCATAGCCTCATCTTCAATCTGTATGGAGGCTAGGCGGATTGTCAGGAGCATCAGTGCTTGAAAATGAGCTGCGACATGTCGGGCAACCATGTCGCCCCCCTCTGTGTGGGCTGGGACTGTCAAATGCTCGGGATCTTCATCTTCACTAGAGCTGCTAGAGGGGATGTCGATAGAGCAATGCGGCATAGCATGGTGATTTTCATAGGTTATCCTAGCGCTTTTGCTACTCGTGTCTGTTGACGGTTCCCGAGTACGCTTTGCGCAATGGTGGGAAAAGGGCTTTATTCGCTGCGTTTGGCAGCTGTTTTCTACCACTCTGTAGCCGCATAGTGGACATAGGTCACGGGGCCGTGGGGGTGATGTCTCACTGAGCCATGATAGGCCCTCAAGCTGAGCAGTCGTGAGCTCCGGGCAGTGGACGTCCTTGGTATGGCTCGAGAAGGCTTCTGAGCTACTGAAGACATCATTGTGGCTGTCGCATACAGAGCATATCCACGATGGTTTCCTATATATCTCTCGATGCCAACGCCGGCTATGGCTAATCATATGATCCTGCCAGTCATTAAAAGTCGCAAAATACGGGTACCCTCCGTAACACTCCTCGAATATGCACAGGTATGGTTCCAGGTCATGGTCCACATGGTTCCTAATCCCGGTTAAAGAGTTGGTCGCATGGAGCATTCGGTTTGGGTAGATCTTACTTCCAATTTCTTCCATACAGGGCTTTTTCATCCAGGGGCTCTGAGCACCACTCACAGGTAACGACGTTAGTGTCGTCCCTTTCGGGTGGGGATGGATATCCGGTTTGTCCAAGATGCATGGAGCAAGCTGGGCCTGGCTGACTGTCGCTTGGTGAGTCAGAAAGGATCGTTTTCAGTTGACCCGCATTTGTCGACGATGGGTCGGATAGGGAAATGGCCTGCACCCCACGCTGTAGAGCCCTCGGTTCCCCGGCTTGATTTGACGTCGAATGATGTCCCTCTATCTCATCTTGTATCGGTGCAGGCCTCGTTTTGCAGCATGGCTGCTCTTCATCCATGGTCAGTATTGGGGACGAGTCCTCGTCGCTCAGAGTCTGGAGTGTCTGCTGGCGAGACTTAGTGCGTTTCATGGCAGCATATCGCTCAGTCATTGACTCACTCAGGTGGTATTGGAGCGCGTGATGAGCATCTGGATACAAGGTTCGAATGCATCGCGAGGCTAGCTCCATGAAGCTCTCTAAATGCGGATCGCCAACAAAAGTTGGGAACCGGGGAGTGAGACTTCCAAATGTGGAGTCTCGTATTCCAGCCTGCAGTGGATGAAGATCATTGAGTATTCCATTTACTGCCTTTAAAGCTTCCATATCTATCCCATCAATTATTGACTGGTTTTCGTTGGGTTCGGTGTCTGTGGGACATGTAGCATTCCTGCCAACGATATCTGATTTTGCGACTGATATTTGTCTTAGCATTTCTCATCTTCCCCTTTCTCGAGCCATAGACGCGGTACATACGATTTATTAGGTCACTTTGGAGAATGGTCAAAGTTTGAACAATGACATCACGGATATCAGACCTCTGTCTTAGTCGCCAGTCAAGGCATTGGTTTGGCCGGGCGAATACCTTCAGACTGGCAACCCACGCTCTGAACCGTGTTTGGAAATCCGGGAGAATAGGCCAAAGTGGTATACTTCTAACCACCTGATCAAAGAGATCTTCACACTCCACAGCCAAGTTATATATCAAAGGACGGTTGTCAGTGGGTACCTCCATGACGAACAGTGGTTTAGATCAATATTCCGTTGTGGATTTACACTGGTGATGGTGCTTGATGAGCCTGAACGAGTAGGTGGGGTGGCAGCAACTGGCGACGTTTTATGTTGTACTGCATGTTTAGCGCGCACAAGATTTCACTTGGGCCTCAGCCTGACAAAGGGCCTCCTCAATGAGCCTGAGACGTTCCTTAACAAGGCAAATCCCGACGGTTCACACTCATACGTGGACTGCCACCGCTCGCTCCCGGTTATGGCATTCCTGCTGGTATGTGAAGAGTGGCGTGTGCTCCAAGACATAGCAGCGCTCCTCGAGGAACACAAGGCATACTATGAGCCTAGTGTGCTGACAGCGCCTGGATCGAGTCAAGGCTTTCTTCACCGCTTATTTTGGACCGAGCTACAGGGGATTCTCACCTTTAGAGCAAGAGACCCCTATTTGCAGCTGGCTGTCTTCAACAATTGTCAAGCAAAACTGCGCAATGTGTGTGAGCTGCTAAGCAGGCTTGTCAACGACAGGCGTGTAACAGCGCATGGTGAGGGCGTAGCAAAAGCATGCGAAGACAAAGGATGTGCGTACCCGTTTTTGCACGGCCTTGTGAGCTTTCTCCAAGCATCAAGGGGGATATTGAACTTGGCCGGCGGTGTAAATCCCGTACTATTGGGGCTTCCACGAGATAGTAACCAGGCTCATCAGTATCTGTGCACTGTGACGGAATGCAACCAATTCATCAAGGGACTCTTTCAAGAGCCTGCATCGAGGCGCGCAGCAAGCGGTCACACAATTCTTACAGTCAAAGGCCCTATTTGGTACGATACCCGGCACAGAGACAAAGCCATAACGGTATTTCACCGTCTCTTTGAGCGACTACGTTGTGGGACGCAACACGAGATCTTTCTCAAAGTTCCTGATACTAGTCAGCCTCGGTATATTCAGCAGGAACTATACTTGTTGCTACCATCCTGTGCACATCCGGGCGAATGGCAAGGGGCATACTGCGATTTGTCCGAGTAAGCACGATATATTCATCTAATTTTCTGGTCACTAACAACGACCAACAGATATAATTATGACATCAACACAATCAACAACCTCTGCCAAGAAGTCAAAAAAGATCGCCCGGAAGGGCATGTATTGCAACTTTACATTCGGTCTGACAGGTTGCTTAGTAGATGGATTGGGGGGCATACATTGGATCTCAAAGCTTATTCAAAAAGATCACTCGACGAGCTCGTCAAGAGTGGTGCTTTTCTATCCGGGCATCCCGACTATATCTTCTCACCAGTCGGGTCGCCACCATTGTCGTCCATGTACACCCTGCAGGATAGGCGACAGCTTGCCCTAAGGCTAGGGTACTGTCTCCTTGACTTCTATGATTCCAACATGAACTCCAAAACTATCTATATTTTTTCGCCGCCAAATAAAAGTATTCAGAAGGCGTTGACATGTCTGTCATTCTCATCGACCCTTCCCGTTTCGGCTGAGTCTCGTGTGTTCAAAATGGGGAACGCCGCTCTGCTTTCTTTCGCCATACTCTTGCTCGAGATGGATTACGGGCACAGCATTCAGATTAATGTTTCAAGTAATCCCGACCAAAGCCTATCTGGCTGGGGGCAGGTTAACAATCGTGTCGATAGCACAGATAGAAGGGACCCCTATTTCAACGCGGTAAAGGCATGCTTCGATGTCCATAGGCAAATCTCTAGCTGGCGACGGCGTGATGACTTTGATGCTTCCGAGGAAGAGTTGACTATACGAAGAGTGATTTATCGGGGCATTGTACGTAGACTGGAAGCTGCGTGGGATCAGGTGGGAAAAGGTATACTGGTGGAAGCGAGCAATTCTAGATGGTGACGGGTAGCCATATAGTGGCTGAAGGGAAGCCAGACTGTAGTTCTCTGGTATCATTCGTAAATGATTTTCTCATCCAAGAGGCCTATCTGTTGTGCTGCAAGACCGATGAAAGTGTACAAATAAATGTACCGACATACATCGTGCTTAATACCTATGACGGTCATGGACTTTGAGAAGGAAAATAAGAAACTAGAGGATTCGCATTCGTAAATAGTAGTCTGAGGAATAATAACTCAGCTTGAAGACTTCGTTTAAGCATACAGAGTTATGCCATCAGCCGTGACAACAGATTCAATTCCAAAGATACCCACCTAGCCACTGCCTCTCAGGAATCCAAATATACTAACAGTATCCTCAAGTTCCGGATCATACTCACAGATATCCATCCGAGCATTGCCCTTGTGCACTTCAAGGCTGTTGACAAACTCCGCCCAGGCCTCGTTAGACACAATGGGCGCTGTACAATAAGGCTCCGCACCGGTTGCGTCCAACAACTGCTCCAGCCGAGGCAGCACTCCATTCATCGCTTGCATCTCCATATTGAACTGCGTCTCAGTATCTAATCCCAGGTTCTCCACGAACCATCCAGAATGCTGAACCACGACACCAGCCTCATAGAGATCAAGTAATTCCGGCACCACACCAGAATCCAAGCCCGCCTCGTATGCCATCCGATGACCAACAGCCTCAACCAGCGTCTGGCAGCGGGGGAGTATACGCCTATTGAATTCCCCCGTTCGCTGAGCCCTTTCGAGCGAGTCTATGATATCTCGGGCATGGCGGAATAGACCAGCTTCGAATATGGCCAGTAGGCAGGCTGGATAGCGGGGTGGGGGCATGCGGTATCCTCCTAGGATTAACTCGGAGGCAAGCCCTGTGCAAGCAGTTAGCTAGTGATCCGGTCGGTTGTGTATGATATATGTACTTATGCTAAGAGCCAGGGAATCTCCCTCGGCGATAGAGTTCCCATGAGCTTCAATCTGGTTATCGATGATGTTGTTATACGCGAACAGGCCGTGCGCACCGCAGCGCTCGCCTAGATAGCAAAGGCTTTCCTGTGTGGCGCGATGGACGACGGCTTTGAACGCGGTTGCAACACCTTGCCGGACGACATAGGGGATTTTCGTGTCCATGTAATTCTGGATGCTTTCCTCCGCGAAGGGATCGAAGACAGCGATCTGAGCTAATGTATGAAGAATCGGACGATGTTGTGGCCGGAAAAATATAATCGGTCGGGGCTCGTTAGTGGGACCCCATATATGTCGACGGAAACTGTATTTTCCCGCTACGAAAACAGAGCTTTTCAATGCTGAGATAAGAACAGTAGACAGAGACAATGTGGCAATGTAGACGCGGTGGATGGTGGATTGGAAGCTCTTTCGTCGGTCTGTTGGTGCATCGAGAGTTCCGAGAAGGGCTGTGTGTGGGAGCCGGACGTGTTCGAAGGATGTGATACAATGGTCGAGGGTTTTGGATCCTGCGCGCCTGGGAGGGCTCTGGAATTTTATCTCAAGGGTTAGATGAGGATTACTGGATGGGTGGGAGGGTTGTACTTCGCGTATATGCCTGTAGACATTTCATGACCATCGTTGAGCCAGACCAGAAACGGTTTGACACCACGATCTTCACCCTCGACTGTTACTCTGGCGATGACAATCCCGATTCGGGGAAAGCCTTCTATAGGGGTTGTTGCTGGCATAAACCTGAAAGGTCCGTCACTGGTCATCGATAGGTCAAAGGGGTCACTTACTTGGCTGCGTCCAGATTCGGAGTATGCAGGTCGAAGGTGCCATCTGGAAGCAAAGTAGCCACCGTTTCAACAGCATGTGCATCCAAGCCATGTCCAACCTCTGGAAGAAGAAATTGCCCTCTATTACCTGTCAGCGTGTTATGGAGATCAGCACATCGGATGACGCTTACGAGATCTCGAAAGAGAGTAACGGCTCAACAATAGCTTTGAGGTCCGCTCTATGCTCAAGGAAGGGAGCCAGGGTCCCCACACAGAGATTGTACTGTATCGCCAATAGACTGAAAGCGGCCGAGTCTAGCGTATGAATCATGTCCTGGTGGAACTGCCAGAACTTGTCGGTTAGGTGCTGTATGTCTCCCGTTGTAAATGCTGTGTACCAGGTTAATCGGCAATAAATACCAGAGGAAAGGAAGCGCACCGTAGGCTCCTGCTATCGCCCGGGCTCGATGGTATGCCAAGGCGATTTTCTCGTCGCGGGTTGCATTATCTGCCGAGACCCTGAAGATGTCTAAATCGAGCAGGAGCGTCGAATCAATAACCCGTTCGGCATGAGGCCTGTCTCCGTTGCGTGGCATTGCGATAGATGTGTGGAAAGGATTAAGCAAGACAGAATCGTAGGCGGCAGAGAGACAAATGCAGGACCGATGGTAGCTTTAAGTCACATGGTCTAAGCTTCTCGCCTACAGAGCACTCGGCATATCGATACACGGAGGGGTTCTACTCAACGGTATAGACAGGATCTACGAGCTAAGGATGTCTCACAGCGCCTCTATGCCATCCTCGAGTTAGTATAAGGGAGAGATGCACATGTCAATCAACAAATACGTGGTCAGGCCATGCAGACAGGCGCCAAAGGACCCAGACGAGGAAGAGCATCCCAAGCAAGATTAACTGGGTCAAAGTAAAATTATAATATCGAAAGCCACACACGGCTAAAGTGGCAAAGAGGTTTGGGTCTCCGTTTGGCAGCGCATCACACCTGCGTCACCAAGCTGATATCACTTTGACTCTTCTCACGGATACCAATCACCCATCGGCAATCGTGCAAGAAGCGATATGCCAGCTGGGTGCACGGTCCTATAGTATAGTTCGACCGACAGAAGAGATCTGCACACAGAAATTGCGGCACAGATATTCGAGAATGAAACAAATTATGGTGCAAGCACCCGCAACTTGCATTAAACTTCAGCATGCGCCACTAATGGTGGAGTGGAGTGAGCCAAGGTCAGGTTGCATTGAGGGGAAATGTCGACTGTTACTCATCCAGGAATGCACGTTCATACTACTTTGTGGGTTTTCACTTTGATTGTGGATGGAATATTATTTCCCAAATCAATGTCAGAAATGCTGATTTGAGACCTCTCGACCTAGATGCATCTAACCTACCCATCACCGATCTTATGTCGACGGCTGCACCTGGTCCGATTTATCTAGCATGGCGGCAACCAGCTCCTCATCCCAGCCATATGAATCCGAATCACTAATATCATCCTCCACCACACAAGCGGGAGATGCAAAAATACGGTTCTGCTTCGTTGGTGTTGCTGGTGCGTCCGTATTAATCCACCGCTTCCTATGGCTACGGGCACCTGATCCCGGAGTAAACAGCCCAGAGCTAACAAGTTCGGGGTTTTGTGGTGTGCTGGAATCTGTGGCTCGAGGAGGCGGAGTCTCCAGTCTTCGAAGAGGTTGATGCCGTACAGTACCCATGCCCTCCTGCCATACAAACAGCGAGTGAGCTACCGGAGTCGACTCGTCCTTTCCAAACAACCTTTGCCTACTCCGAGATGGCGAATCTAAAGTCCCTTCCGACAAATCTAAGAACATGTTACCATCACCTTTCCCAAACCCTAATATATAATAAATAAGTCAAACGTACCGCTATCCTCTATCTCATCCCCGGGGAGTTCGTCCAAACTTCCAGGGTCTACATTCACCCGCTTCCTCTTCAGACACGACGATTTCGGCGGCGTCAACTGCCCAAACTCTCTTATATCGGTCTGCTTCCTCGGTGTTTGCGGAACCGCTAGGCGAGGAACGAGTTGCTCTACCTGAGACGCTTCGTCGAGCCATACCCAGCTGTTGCATTGTGCTTCGTCTTTGGAATGCCTTTTACATGCCAGATCTAGACATTATCAGCCTTGGAGAATTGATTTGGTCAGATGAGAAGAGACGGAAGGATGTACATTGTTCCCCTTGGTATGGGCTCTTCGCGTCCTTGACTGTGTACCTCCTCATGGGATAGTCACATTTGCACAGGAGGGTTCTCTCTGCGTCGATGGTCACTCCAGCGTACGTGGAGCGGAGGGGGCCCATTGAGAGAGTTTAGTTGAGCTGTGTTGGTATGGCCCTGTTAGATTTATAGGGGGGTGAGTATAATGCATGGGAGAGATGGCTACAGAGAAGCTTGAATTATGGTGTGTGTTTGCTTGTTTGGAGTTGACGTGGTTAAGCGCTAGTGTGGGGTCGCCAGCTGCGTCGAGGTTACCACTGTCATTGCTATTGGTCGACGAGGCGCTATGCGCATGCACGTTGTACAAGTGATCTTCTAAGTTGATCAACGTCAGGAGATATCCCAGAGACATGATGGTAGTGTCATATTGGCAGAAATTCGAGAGTACTTGGGCCCTGAGCAGATCGGGTTTTTCTATGACTGTACCTACATCTGGTTTGCGCCCAATCAGAAGCGTTGCAGTTAGTAGATCGTTCTGGCTCTTCAGGAGTGACATGGCGCATAAGCCCAGTAGTTCGAGCTACCACTCTAACCAGATGTCATGGATGAGCATTGACTGCGCCAAAGCGGTTGGAAAGTACGGTCTCCACTGCTTTTTCACCATACAGGCAGTAAGGGGTAGTAGAGCCCCACCGGAGGGGTCAATATATGAATCTATCACTCACACCTTGCCATGTCTTTTAGATCCCAAACTGAAGCTCGTCGAGTCCGTTAGACAGGATATAGGGCAGAAAGAGCAAATGCAATCACATCCCCTACGAACACGAAATTCCAGTTAGGGCAGTTCTACTTTACAGTGCACTAATATGCTTAGTCATTTATGTCCTCAGCATAAGGATGGTAAACACACTAACCCGTTCTGGTTAGCTCTATACATTGTCCAGCTCAAGCTTTCGAGTCCATCTTGGCTCTTGTCAACTTTCGTTCGAGTTGTATGGAGTAGACATAGCTCCTCTCCTCACAGAATCCCCCAATGCAAGAAGGTATAATGAGAGGGGTTTATTGCCCACTATCACAGGCGGCAACATCCGACCTTGAATCCAAGCTCTCTTCGTCCCCTCTTCAGAAATGTATACATGCAGCCAAGCGTCGTGAATGCAACGCTGGATCCACAATATCAATTCACAGTGAGAAAATCCGTGGTCCACATGATACAAATCTGCAAAGAGAAGTGAATCTTGATTTCCCGAGAGGAGACCGAGAATAGTGAATGAAGAGATAATCTCCACTCCGACAGAAATCCTATCCCATGACCACATATAAAGCCCTCTACCCTCTACACTTGCTCATACACTACTTGAACTGATACTAAGGAACCTCAATCCCATCTGTGCAAACCACTCAATAAATCCTACACAAACACACCAGCGCGCCACTACCTAAGTAACAAACCGCCAAAATGCCCCCCAACACCACCACCACCACCACCCCGCCCCAGAAAGTCTTCATAACAGGTGCAACAGGCTACATAGGCCGAGTAGTCACCGAATTCGCCATCGCAGCAGGGCACAGCGTGCGTGGTCTCTCCCGCAGCGAGGCAGGCGACGACCTCCTGCACAGACTGGGTGCAACCCCAGTAAGAGGCACGCTAAGCGACACCACGCTCCTCACTGAAGAAGCCAAACACGCAGACATGGTCCTCCACCTTGCCTTCAGCCACGACTGGAGCAAGCCCTACGCAGACCTGCTAGCCCTGGACATCACCGCCGTGGACGCGCTAGCCAGCGCCCTCCAAGACACGGACAAACCGCTAGTGACGACCGGCGGCACACTCTGCGTCCAACCCGATCCCTCGGGCGGAGAAACCGACGAGACAGCCCCCTTACCACCCTACACGCCCCTACCCCGCCACCTAGCTGAGGAACGCGCCCTCGCGTGGGTGTCCAAGGGAGTCCGGATAAGCGTACTCCGCCTCCCGCAGTACGTCTACGGCCGCGAAACAGACCACGGGTTCGCGGCGGATCTGATCCGTCTTGCCGTGCGGGATGGGGAGGCTGCTAAGATTGACGACGGGGAGTGGTGTTTCTCCTCCGTGCATGTGGAGGACGCGGCGCGGCTGTATTTTCTCGTTGCGCGGTTTGCGGGCCCTGGGGAGGTTTTTAATGGGGTTTCCTGTATGGATGTGACGTATTCGGCGCTGGCAGGGGCGATTAGCAGGGTTGTGGGGGTTGATGTTGTGTCGCGGACGAGGGAGGAGCTGGAGGCGAAGTGGGGGAGGTTCTTGGTGGAGTTTGTACTGGTCAGGAATCGGGCGAGTGGGAGGAAGGCCAGCGAGAGGCTGGGGTGGTGTCCTGCTGGGCCGGGGATCTTGGAGGAGGTGGAGTTTGGGAGCTATGTGCCTGTTGTTGAGCGGTTTAGGAGGGGGAGGGAGAGTGTTGTGGGTAATGAATGACGTTCGTAGTTGGAGACCTGAGTGAGATACGTATCTATCTATGCTTTTATCCCATTGCCATGAACCGAAAGAGTAGATATACTTTTCTATATACATTACCGTAAAGCCGTGATATCACGAGAATCGTAACTTCATCATCGTCAAGAAAAAACAGGAAGACAAACCCGAACAAAAACAAAGTATCACAAAAGAAGAAACCAGAAGAGTTCAACTTCCCTACTAACGTAATACCTACCACAGGTAAAACCACTCTCACCGCATAGCCATACTAGCAATAATGACTGAGCTCATATTGCTACCGGTGGCCGTATGGGCACCACGTCGCACGACGATCTCCTCGTTCGCCATGCGCGGCTCTAGCTGAAGACTCCGGTCATACATGTCGCTCACGTCCTTTGTGGCCCTCAGGTTCCTGATCAGGAAGTCCTGGATCTCCGGCACGGGCTGGAGATTATAGGGCATGTTTTGGTACTGTTGGATGTCTTGCAGGACTTCGGCTACTTTGATGCGCTTGGTGAAGTTGATCGTGCCGGATTGCGCGAGGTCGGGGATGCCGTCGTCAATGAATGTTAGGTCTGTGAGGTAGATTCCTAGTCTCACGTTAGTGGAATGTATGATAGAACAAGAGAGTAAAAGGAAGAGAAGACGAGAGAGAGAGGCAGAGAGAACGGAGAAGCGGGCAATTACATACCCAGGAACGGAACAGAAGGCGGACTAGTCTGCCGTAAAGCCTCGCGATACTTGGCCCAATTCTTCTCACTCGACATCAAACCCCGCAGCTCCTCAAGTAGGCTGCGAATGCGCGGGTTGACAAGACCCCACGTTTGCCGGAGTCGAAAGACAGGGGACTGTCCCAGGCCGGACACAATTGACATCAAAGTAGCATAATTGTTGATCGAACGACAGACCTAACCAGATATCAGACAGAGCACACCCGCCGACGGAAAAGGAGCCTACATCGGCAGCCTGCACAAACAACTTGATCATAGACACCCGCTTTTTCAGCTCATCCTGCGCCAAGACAAGCTCACCCACGTAATTAGCCAGCCGATTCGAATGCAGAATCATGGCATTGACCCCCGTGGACGGCTCGGTGCTGTTGGACCTCCTCTTCTTCCATTTCTGGCTAAGGCATTCACACGGCCTGATCCGCGCGTGATGGTTGAATTCGATGATCGTCAGCTGACGGGCGAGCTCAGTGGCGTCGAGATCCAGTATCTTCAGCTTCTTCATATTCTTGGGTGTGATGGGTTTGGGAATGTTGGAGTTCGGCGGCGTGGCGAGGCGTTTTGTGATCTCCTGTCCTTGGATCCGCTGATCGATAGCACTGAGTAATTGCGGGGCAGTAGGCGTCTCCATCATATCCGCTGAGTTCTTGATCTGGGCGTGTATCCTCCGGAGAAAGTCTGTTGTGGCTTCCTCGGGTGGCTCCATCCAGAACCGTTCCAGCCATGTCTTCAAGATATTGACGACCCGGAGACGGATTGCCCTTTGTTTGTGCCGGGTCCACAGCTGCAGTTCGGGTTCAGTCAATTGACCCGGGGGCTCGACATGGAATCGTTGGAAGAGGGCATCGAAGAGGTCCGGAGCGGATACAAAGGTCGGATAGGTGATGAGGAAGGTCTCATTGAAGACAAGGTCTAGCCGGTCATGGCGAGTCAACTGTTCCACGAGTCCTGTCAACGTACCGCTCTTCAACAGCGGCCGGTCCGTCGCTTCGTAAACCACCTCACCATCATGATCCAATTTCAGAAACCATGGGACATCAGTAGCCACAGACAGCGCTCTGGCGCGCACAGGGAGGGTAGCCTCATGCATGATGGTGTTCGCACGCGACCTCTCGGAAAGAATAGTCTGGTAGAACGGACGCCGCGGACTTCATTAGCAGAGCTTGCGAGCACCAGGGACCAAAACCAACAAAAGAAAACCCCGGCAAACCAAAGACAAATAAAAGGACCGAAGCGGGCCAAAAATAAGCCCAGCAAGTGGCATGTCACCGGCGGAAAAGTACGTTGAACGGGTCCGACTTCGCCCTAAGTTTATCAATCTTATCGCCGAGACGATCAACTGCTGGACTCGGATACTCCCTACGTTTTGGGCGGCCACTCCACATGAGCTATTTTCTTTGCACGGACAAAATCTGTCGCGCGGCCTGTCTGTCGCCTGGCGTGTGTGTGTGTGCCCCGATGGTTCCATGCACCCCGGTGGGCTTTGCTGCCTGATTTCCACCATTCAGTAGCCCCCGCCAAGCCGCCAATGACGCGTTTAACGACCCTAGTTTGGATACACTGGGGCCCGGAGCAGTCGCTGTCCGGCCTGTCAACTCGGTAGTTACCTTCACTGCCTTGGAGGGGCACGTCCAACGTCGCTGGTTCCGCTCGTTCGGTACCTCTCTTCGGACGAACCCCTCGGTGACCTGACTTGGGATCTACAAAGGCAATCATGCATTAGAGAGTTCGGTTAAGAGTGATTAAATTGGAAAATAGATCCAGATGTCTAAATACAGGGTTTAATAACGCGTGGTAAACAAATATCCTCCCTATCGGCCCATATGATATACACGTGAACAAGATAGAGCCAAGCGAATGTAACGATAAAAAAAGCACAGGGGTATAGGGGTATAACGTAAGCAATATGACAAAAGAAAACAAAGATAAAGAGGAAAAAAAAAAACGCATCACATCATGGCACCCTTGTTCTGCTTCTTGTCAACCCTGTAGTTCCTCCACATGGCGATGGCCGGAAGCCCGACGGCCATGACCGCCACGGCGGCGATACACCCATACTTCATGTACGCGCCGTAGGCCTGATTGACGGCGTCGCGGATCTCAGATCCAACAGGGTACTCGAGCTGTTTGAGGTACCCCCCGAGATAAATATCCATGTACTGGGACTTGCTCTCGGCCGGGAGAGCGTCCCGGAGGGCAGAGGGAAAGGTATTGGAGAAGATGGCCGCCGAGGCCGCGTTGCCGATCGCACCGCCCAGGCTGGAGAACAGGCCGATCATCGACAGCATCATTGGGACGCCTTCGCGGTCGGAGGCTGCCATGACAGCCATGTCTTGGCCGATGACTAGTGTTCCGCCACCGAACGCGATGAAGATCTGACACATCACAATATATCCGATGTTTCCGCCTGCGGACCGGAAATGGATCATCAGGCCGGCGCCCAGCATGATGAGCGGCAGCCCGAAGCACAGGCAGCTGTATTTGAACTGCTTCGTGACGTATACCACCACCCCGAACACTGCCGACCAGAAACATGACCCGACGTTGTATATCTGCCCGACATATCCTGTCATGCTCACGCTGAGCCCGTAGACTACCATGCAGAAGTTGTAGAAGTAGAGCTCCCATGCATAGTAGCTGAAGAATAGGCTGGCTGCCACGATGCAGGCTCCGAGGACGCTGCGGTCCTTGAACATTTCGTACTGGATGAAAGGCGTTGCGGTGCCATATCGTTCCCAGGCGCCAAACACGAAGAACAGGAGGACGCCGACCACGAGCATGACGATGAACGTTGGACTGTTGTACTCGGCTCGGCCGTAGGATTGCAAGCTGAAGGGAAGGAGGACCAACAGGAAGGCAGCGGTAAGGAGGAGGGTGCCGACCACTATGTTAGGCCATTGTTAGTGAAGTCCGTCGGTCATGGAAGGCGACACATACGATCAAATTCATTCAGCCAGAAGATGATGGACTGTTTCCATGTGCGACCGCTGGGCTCTCGCACAAAAATGAACATCTTCTCGGCTTTGAGCTGGTAGAACTTGAACACGGCAATCAAGGGGAGAAAAACAAACACCTGCGCGATGGCAAAGCACCCATAAGCCCAGCGCCACGTGGAGTGATTCACAAAGGACTGGGCTGCGAGCGGCCCTGTAAAGGCCGTGCAGATAAAAGGCGTACTGGCAAATCCAAATGCAAAGGCTCGATTGCGTAGCCCGGACGTGTCTGCCATGAAAACATCGAGGATCAAGAAAATGGCGTCGTATCCAACCCAGTACAACACATAGCCGACGGCGAAGGAGCTGGGGTTGTTGCAAGCGGCTAGGATGATTAACCCCAGGAGGTAAACGGCGAGGAACAGCGACAGGCCTTCCGGGCGCCCCCAGATATTCAGGAGCTTTGCAGCAGGCAGCCGAACTACCCCACTGACCACGCTGGCCACAATGCTGGATGTACTCACGGCGGGCGCTTCTTCGAAGTGGGCGAATGCGTTGTGGATAACGTTCGTACTGACTGCGGACTGTAGGGCTAGCATGAAGAAGCCGAGCCAGACTCTTTCGAGTCGGGTCACAGGTTAGTAACAAGAAGCGAGACAAGGTAGAATGACAGCCTTGATGCAACTCACAGAGCGTAGGTCAAATAAGCAGTATTCTTACTCCAGGCGAGTGCCGCTGCTTCGGCCTTTCGAATTCCCAGTTGTGCGCCTTGGGTGACCTCCTCGGACGGTCTCCGAAAGGGCTGTTTCTGTGGGCCTTCGAGACTGATCGCATCAGGATTGTGGCTGTTGTTCGCGGATGACACACTGGCCTCGTACTTGAGGTCTCGAAAGTCCGCACCGACCACACTCTGGGCCAACTGTGTATCGTTCCGGCCTCGCACAATATTCGGGCCCGCCATGGCGTGGAAAATAAGTCTTGTACACCCTCGGTGTGGACTTGGGCGATTGACCGCGTTTCCTGGTGTGTGCGACGGGACAGAAGGGCTGGCGACAAGAACCGACGACCGGGCGTCGCAACTCTTTTCTACATAACGGGCCTAGAGAATACGATCTGCCCATCGGTGTACAAAAAGCAACGGGTGGTCTGTTCAAATTATTGCCGCAAGACGCGCTTCCCGATGGGGATCAAAGTTCTCTAGACAGAAATGCAGTCGCCCAATGACGGCCGCGTGAGGGTTGACTCGGGTTTGATCAGATAACCAGGGTTAGGTTTCGGATCAGATAAATGTCGTTTTCATTGGTGGGGCTGCTCCCAATAAGATAGTGATCGCCGGCGTGCGAGGCTTAGTTGCTCCAGCTGAACGCGCACATTGACTAATAAAATCCACTTCCTGGTGCTTGTCTCCATCCGACTTCGCTTCTCGTGTGGCCCATCCCACGCGACCGCCGTCACCATGTCCCGATCGGCCAGGCAGATGGATCAAGCGCAGTCGGAGGGGTTCTTCATTGCATAAGGCTATGTGGGAAGACTCCCAGCAGCTGTGATTGAGCTAGTCACCATGTCGGCTCACATTGCTGAGAAGGGAAATTACTGACGGACGCTGTCGGGAATAAGGAGGTCCAGCGAGAAGAGGGCAAGAAAAAAGTAGAGAAAAAAACATTATTATAGTGTGATATATGGGACGCTAAAATCTGACAGGCACAATCGATTTTACGTGCGGGCCCCTCCTGCCCCTCGTGGCTTTTACGCCATTTATTTCTTAATTGAAGTCCTTAACCTTGTCCAGCAGTAGACCTACGAGTCAACAGCGTTACATTGTGTCTGTGCACAGTGTTGATCGTCTTGCTATGAGAAAGGGGGAAATAATGTATGTGCTTGCCGCATACATGCAGCATCCATAGGGTTAGGAAGCACTGGCTCACTCACTCGTGTTGCATGATCATAGCGAGACATCGCACCCCCACGATCCGTCCAAGAGAAAAGAAAATATCCTGCATAGAGTTTACAGGGATCTTAGATTCGATACTACGGTTCATCCCACTGGCCATCCTTCTCTCTGGTTTTGCTGCATCGGCATCTCCAGCAACTTGAGAGAGAAGAACAAAAGGAAGGCCGCTCAAGTCGCTCATCATTCCAATATAGTTATGATTCCCCATACCTTAATGACATGGATTTGGTACCAAATATTATAGTATGTTGATAGTGTTGATCGTATTGAACACGTTGTTCCACCAGTGGCCAGTACCACCTCTGTCATAACGTCACACGCCATGATAGATAATGTCTACTGAAGGTACAAGAGAGGGAGATCTCGAATATAGGAACACTTGAAGCTATTTCCTCTCTCCTTTTTCTTTTCTTCTTTTTTTGTACGGAATAGCTGAACGGCATTTGTCGGAAGCCGGAAGTTTCCGCTACGGTGGATTCTCCAAACACATTGGCGGCGCTCGGCGCGCTTCATCAGATTAAAGACAGACACGATTCAAACAAGAAAAAAAAATTACCTTTGGAAATATTTTCCATACTCCATGATATCCGTAAAAAAATATTCTTTTTTACGCATTACTCTGGTGAGGTCTGTTTTTCACAATTTAGTTCTGCGAAAGTGAACATAGTTCACAGATTCTAGTCTACTTTATATATCTGAACCAGGTAACTCACTCACGCTTGATACCCGGAACAAACAGGTTATTAATTCGGTATGTTGTACATATGCATATGTAAGCTTAACGAGGAACGAAACAAATGTGAACTCTGCATACTATAAATTCGAGTCAAGGAATTTCACCAAGAGGCCCTGCCATTGTGGGTTCCAGCTCGGCAGTAGCCACAGCTGTGGCCAGTGCTTTACCGAGCTAGACAAGGGAAAAAAAAGTAAAACTAAAAAAAGAGGAAAGGGTACAGGTACCACACATCGGAGGAAAGAATAGAAGAGAGATTGCCTTGTCATGGAGGACGCTAAGCCCACTATCTTGGCTCAGCTGTGTTGATCAAATGCCGATACGAAGCCGCATTCGGCAATGCTCGACTATGACCGACTCACCTGCCTACCCTAGGAGGCTAATTTCCGTATACTGTGAATGTGGGGAATATCAGGTCGACTTCACTTGTAGCTACCCAGGGGTCAGGTGAGGCACTGAGGTTGCTCAACCCTCAAAGAAGCTACCGGTGGTAGAATCGCGCACTTGTTGTGCCTCTGGTAGAAGACAGTCTAGGGCTCGCTTTGAAAGACACAAAGCTGGTAAGGATATTCAATAACGGGAGCTTGCGCTCATAAAATACCCTGCTAGCCAGCGGATGACATTGTATGTTCATAAAGCCCTTCATGGAGCTGTGCTATGTGACGGTGTCCAGTCGAGAGGCTGTACTAGTAATGCCTGAGTGAAGATGAGCTGCCTGAAAGATACCTTACAATAGAGCCTGATATTTATCTTTTATCTGAGCCAACAAATCTAAATATCATCCGAGTCTAACTGCTTGAAGCCCGATCCATGATTAGTATGCTTGGTGTTCCCAGGACCTTTGTTATTCTTTCTTATCGCTTTGTGCTCACTCTGCTTCGGTTAGAAAGAGAGAGAACGAGAAACCACTGTTATTTTTGTCACTAGAAGAATAAAATGGAAGTCACCCTTACTATTGAAAACCCCGCTCGTAACCACAACTTAAAGTTGCAGGTAGTGCAGAGGGTGACTGCTCTCCAGGCTACGAAAGGACTCAAGTCTCGACTATTGGACACACCACGTTTCCAGAATCCAGAATGCTCGGGGCTATCTAGCAATTGGTAATATCCACCAAGCCTTGGAGATCTCAACCGAGGTTTAATTCCCCCTCAGTGAGACTACAGTACCAAACTCGGATGACTACCTAGCAATCACGACCAAAGCAACCGTTGATAACAGCATTGCCACTTCCCTCTGTGGATAACATGCCACCGGAGACCTTCTCAACGCCAAACTAACATCTCTGACAGGCATGTACGCATTTATGATCAGCAACAGGAGCCGTGAAGCTTGGGAGTGTTCCTTCGGAAGGGCCTCCAGTGGATGATTGTAGATGCTTCACTGGCTCTAAATGTAAACTCATTGTTATATGTATATAGTTGGAATATCGGTGATTAACATTCTAATGTGGGACCTTACTACAAAGCCTGCACCTCTCACACAACTACAGAGGATACCGCAGGAGAAATAACAAAATGGCAGAGTCTTGTATTGCGCCTCGGAAAGTATGGATGTTTTGCTATGTAAGATTGACGATATGAGACCGACCAGCTTTAATACTGTACAAAGCGCGCTCGATCCCCGTGAGCGGACCGACGCTAAGTACGTATGTATTACTTTAGAAATATAGCCAGAAGTTTAGGCAATGCGCGTTCCTCTTTTACAGCTCTATAAGCGAAGCTGTCAAACAGGATAGCAACCTGCCAAGTGACTAGTATGGTAAATGAGTGTCGGTACTAAGGCGCGTGTCTAGCAGATAAAATAAATTATTAAGCAAACCTGGATTTATATGAAGAGCTCATGTGATCGAATATACTACCTAAGGACCGGGCGTGAGGTAAGAGCAGCTCTTGATATAGAGGCCTTTCTACTGGAACCAAACAATGCGATCTTTCGATGGATAAACACAGAATGTGTGAGCAAATTGAATACACGGTCAACTAAGCGGCTAATGGAGAGATATCATTAGTCCTAGATATTGCTAAAAAAGGGGCGAACCTTGTATTAAATATATAAATATGCTGCTATAGCTTTTTGAGAGGGAATAGATATCGGCTATTAGTAAAACTAAGCATATATATACCAAGGAAGCATCCTTGTCAGTCTATTTGTTAAACCTATCTCCATACAGGACTTGCAGGTGAGCTACTAGATTTAAGATCTTACATGAAGAATTTACCCCCAAAATATTACTGTTGATAGATTTACGGACTTACTACGAGCGCACTAGATTATTAGCGCTGACAATAAAGCCAACAAGTTAAGATAGAGATTTCTCTAAATTAAGACAGTACGTATCGACTGCGACGGCACTAGATTTAGAATAAGGATTACAGTATCATCTAATTCTCCCTCAAGTTGTGGGTAATTCTATGGCACGAGGCCGTTTGTGTTGTAATAGGTCAGCATTTCAAAGCACACCGTGATGGTTCGAGGAAACCCCACCGGGTGATGGTGGATACTGCCGCTATCAAACTCCTTGGATCGTGCTCGATCAAGATACATAATCGAACTTGTTGACGGCCAATTGACCGAGGAGCATCCTATGCTGTGTACCGATACAATCCATGCATTCTCTTTGGGGGACAGACGGTTCCTTACCGTGAACATTGGGTGACTTCGAAGGCATAACTTTCAACCAAAAGATTTCTACCGGCTTGCACTCCCCGGCCCCACCGAGGAATTAGTGCGTGATATGGTACAGAGTCATGTTCATGGTGTGGACTTGGACGACTTCCTCGAAGGCTTGTCCTCCATTTTCCATGCTTGGCGTGACGGTACATCTAATGCAGCGAGCCCGTCAGGAAAGGGGGAAAGTCTTATCCTGCGAAAGGCCTCGGTCTTGATAGAAGAACAATCGTCTGATGATATCGCAAATAATGCGTTGGGTTGCAGTCTCACGGAGACTTCTTCTAGAGTACTTCCGAGGTACCCTGATCTCACCACTAATTGAGTCAAGAATATTGACGACCGACCTTCGGTTGGAATACCGTCCTTGCACATCGCGAGATTCACCGACGCTAGATCAAGAATGTATTTTGAATAGTGTAAATGTTTCGCGGCCCATAATTTATACACCTCATAATACTGTACCATACCAGATTCAATACTGCATCGAAACAAGCATATGGGGTTCGGCAATCATGAGCCCACCAATAGGATAGAGAGCAATTTAACCCTTTGAGACGTAGGCCCTGGATCTATAGTACCAGGCTTACCGTATACCGTAGGATAAGCGTCTCGGTCCGCCACGGAAGAGGCGTGGGGCCCACTAGTGTTCCCCTTCTCTTGGGTTCCTTGCGTCTCGTATCGTCCCTTTCAAGGGGAAGGATGCGAATCTTGTTGAACGAGGCGATGCTGTCCCTTTTAACCCGACAATGATCTTTCTTTACCGGCTAAGGATGTCGTATCTTCACTTGATTGGACGATCCCGCGATCCTTCGCGCGCGTATATGCCGGTTTTGAGTCCGTCGGATTGCGGGGCGGTAGTGCTATGCCATGTCTCATCGAAGTTACATTGACCCAGGCCAAATACCGCATACTGTCGCATCCTCGGTTATTATAGTCTATGAAGTCTGGCCACCAAGTCTAGTGGGACGATATCATCTACATACCGTTTTGCATTTCCCTTCCGCCTTTAGATATTGTCGCTCATTGGTGGGCAGAATCTCAAATGACAGAGGGCCAATGGGAAAAGTTCCTCCCGGGCGGTGGGAAAGAAAGAAAACATCTCACAATCTTCATGATATGAACCGCCTCACTCTGAAAGGAGCTCAGTAGCCAGAGACTGCAGCTCGTCCATACTTTGCGAAGCTGGATCAGGTTGGGGGCCAGAAAATGGAGCCAGAAGATGCAGCTGGAAACTGGGATCCAAGAAAGGGTATAAAATGCACCGTCTTCTGCACTGAGAAGAGCTATCCAACTTCTCCCAGACCACGACTTTCCTACTATCCAAACAACTCTTCATCATGCGTTTCACTGCTGCCGTCCTGATGCTCGCGACCGCCATTGGCGGCGCCACCGCCGCGCCCAGCGCTGAGGCCGCCCATCTCCAGGCCAGAGACGAGCCTGTCAACATTCAGGTCTGCACAGGCATCAACAAGGCGGGCTGCACAGGCTTCACAGTCTACACTCAACATCAGTGCTGTTCGTCGCCACTCCCACCATTCCAACTGCCATCATGAAAGCTAATTCGTTCATTGCGTACAGTCAACTTGCACGGCACTCCCGTCGACCAGAATGTGCACTCGGTGTCTATCCCTGATGGTTACCGTTGCCGCTTCTGGAGGTATGTATTCTCCATTTGTGCTTTGGGAGGCTTCTGGCTAACTTCTACCTTTTTTGTAGCTCAACCGTCTGCAATGGCGGTGGTACCGGTGATATCCAGGCCCCTGGCAACGACAACATCGGCTCGAGCGGCGTGAGCTCTGTCAAGTGCTACAAGAACTAAGCTGCTTAGCAGATGATTGAGATGGGCGAAGGGTAGTAGCTCCGCATGTTTGTAGATAGTTCCGAGAGCTTGTCTCTTCCAATCCAATAATCTTCTTCCAGTTTCCCCACACTATAGGGGCTAAAACTGAGACATTCATCTTAATATTTCCTCTAAATCGGCACGATGTGTACTCCGTATTGACCTGACCAATACCGCAGGTGGGTCTGCGCTGTTACCGCTATCTTTACTGGGGCTAGCGAAGCATTCCCATTCGTTCTCCTTACTACATGGTCCACAGTTCCTATATTCCACCGTAGCTGGTAGGCTGTGATGTAAAAGTCAACCCTCTCGTTCACTCCATTCTTTTGTCTTCACACACCACAGCAATCTCAACATTTCTTGGTTCGTTCATGTCTCCACGTCCAGTGACAACCGCGATCTTACCATCATCACCATCCTGCCTCCACTTCACTGGACCAGGTGATATGCATTCACATGGTGTAGTCCACTGCAGGTGTTGACGAATCCCATGATGCAAGTCTGGGAACATGCCATTCTGAAATGCAAAGCCCCCTCCGAGTTTCGTCAGAATGCTCTCTTTGTCGATAAACTCTCCTAAGATCGAATACACCCCCGATTACTTTAATACCACTACCTTAGCTGCTGTAACGGGATCCACACCCATTTCTTGAGGATGTTCCATATCGCTGAGAAATACGACGGAACTTTGCAAAGCTAGTCCGGAATCTATTAGTCCGTATTTTCCCACTTACTCCCTGTTGGTCGACTTGCAAAGATCCCCTCAATGGTCTCTGGGTAGCATATCATCAGTATCCAGCTGACTTCCTGCGTAAAGCCTTTGAGAATCTACGCTTGCCTGGCGGAGACTACAGATGCATCGATTAGATAAACGGCGTTGCTCACGGGCGTCGACGGATTCAGCTAGTCACTGATAGCCGAGCAAAAGGGCAGAACGAAGCGGGTCAAATGATCGTGAAATACCATCGCCCACTGAGCCATGTTCGGTCCGGCAGTTGGCTCAGTGCAACAGGACATATCCCGTGATTTCCTCTATTGCGCTATTGCGGCTTGGTTGTAGTGTGCCATGTCTACCATGAGAATCGGCAATCCAGGTTTATCTCGACTGCCGGTCCAATGGGGATACTACAGTTCAGAACCTGTTAGTGGGCCGTAGGCAGATAGGCAACGGTGTCGGACGAACAAACTTGCGCGTACCTTTAAAGTCGGCTACATGAATAGTTATATACAGGGAAAGGACATGCCACTCCTCGCGAAACCTGGTTGCCTCTTGGAGCTGCTGGAGGGCTCTATGGGGATCCAGGAAGCCTGCTCTGAAAAATCGTCTATTTTGGTTAATACACACAACACAAGTGTCCAACATCTCACTGAGTTGCTTACAGAAGCGTGACCTCGTCTTTGATTCCGGCTTGCACTTCTTTCGTGTCTAGATCTCTAAGTCTTTCAAAAAGTCCATGTTCCGTGCATAGACGGTGAAAAGTCGCGAAGACTCCCATCTCTTCCTTGCTCAGCTCCATCACAGCAATATGGCGTTTAATTGCACCAGAACACTGTACGGCTTCCCCAACGCACGCTTAAGATGTTGCCAATAGATATTTCCAGGTCACAGCACCACCCTGTGAAGGCATCTTGTGCGGTCAAGTCTTCGCTCAGCAAAGGTGTAATGCATGGCGTTGACTGAGACTGGGAGGAACCAAATAGGGTGGAGACAGGATAGACTTACATCTCACAGTGCCGCCATTACGACGACTAGGTTCAAGAATGACCATTATCAATATCCTTGTTTCTATCCAGCCGCGGGGAGGCACAATATAATGCCATGTACCTTTCCAACCTTAGTAAGATCGCAAGTACGCACGCCAAGATTCAAGCAACCGTCATAGCATTGACATCAAACTGAGATCAATATCGATCGGCAACCTTTCCCCGTTATTTTCTCTGCCGAACGATAAACGGAATTGGCGGGACCGAGTGGACCAAGCTCTGGCAGGATAAGAGTCGCGGTTCGTGTTCCCGGTGCAGATCCGCCGAGCCGGCCACGGCATGTCGAGTTCTTGTGCGGAGGATCGACAATCTCGACCATATTTTCGATTCAACTAGATCCGCCAAAACAAGGTCGCAGTGACTATACTTGAGCCCTTTTCGAAGACTACTATTCGGAGCTAGAGTAATGGGATTATAGGCGGTGCATACACCCGGTCAATTTCATCGCAGATGACGAGGGGACTACGCCATCATGTATAATGTTCTAGACGTGCAGCAACTTGCTAGAGGAGTTACTATTAAAGAGGGCCATGATGAAGTTGAACTCGGAGAATCCAGGGGCCTGTAAAAGGTCTTGAACCGACACAATGGATCAGACTCTCTCCAACTTTGCAGACGAGACATCTTATCGCTCTTTATGCAGTGGAACAATGTCGATATTGAGGCAAAGAAGCTCGTACGGGCGGTGATAAACCGATATAAGGAAAAATACCAGAGGCATGTGGAGGGGTTCATTGGGGAGAAGGACGCCACACTACCAAGTTGCACACTTACTTGTGCGCGTTGGCGTACCAGATTGCCGGCAATACAGCCTGGAGTTTCCGTTGTCCCCAGTACCATCCCCAACCTTCCGACGAGGCCAGCCGCCTTCTAAATGACGAAATGCAGCCTGAAAAAGGAATTAATCTATCCTGTCTGTCTGTTGACCATGAGAGCGAGTCGGATACAACCGGATCCGAGAAGTCGACGATGTGGACCGCGGATGATCGTTCTTCGAAAGTGTCATCTGTATCATCTATTGATCTGATTAAAGAAAAGGCCGAATTACGGAAGCAGGAGCAACCAGGTACAGAAGTAAGGGCAGCGAAATCCATCATGGCATATGTTTCTGAAATGCGGTTCTGACAAGATCTCTGATGGAGGATATCATGGAGGTTGCGTCACTAAAATATCAGACTGGGTGCTCGAACTGGGTCGTACGATTGTTGATGACTCAACTGCGAGTTTAACGGGTTGTTAATTCTTTAAATATGTTACATATATTACTAACTGACGAAGAAATGGTATGATTAAGACTTATTATGTGATGTATCGCAGAATCAGTTATCCGAAATATATATTCAGAACGGGCAATGGAACACGTGCACATCTAACCCCAACTTTAAATCAACGACGAGAGAGTGTCCCTGGGTCCACCCTTCAGATATACTTTGAACGGTCCAACCTCTCTCCAACACCATTATCTTCGATGGCATACTCCAATTCAGACATCGAGATGCACGATGCGCTCCCTGAACAAAGTGGGCCTCGTATTCTCGACCAATCCCGCGCTCGCAACAACATCCACTAACCCTATCGAGGGTGAAATAACCAGGACAAAGCGATTTGGGTGCCAATCCATGCTGGATCAGGTAGAGTTGGTCTGGGCAGTGAAACGACCCTGCCAAGGGCCCACATCGCGGTCGTATTCTCAGCATGTTTCCTCTTCGAGCTGACCTGCGACACATCGTCAACCACTGCATACGCTGCGTCCGATCGTCTTTCCAAATAGAGTAACATAACATGGTCGGAGTTCCAAAAAGCAATGCATGCCAGACGTGCTTGCGGAGACGAGTTAAGGTTAGTCTCAGCTCTCATCGAATCCCCCTCCCTGATGGGGCAGTAAGGACGTGAACCCCCTGGAACCCCCGATAGAAGGGCAAGGATCTACTCTTGGCCATGCAGGAAGAAAAACACCTCCTCTAATATAAATACGAAACATATAGTGCGACCTAACCCAACCATCCTGCAATCAATGCACCAAGCGTAAACTCGACTGCCCCGGCTACGAAAAACGCTGGAAATTCATGCACCAAACCAAAGGCTCCATCCAAAAAGACCAACAACGAAACGCCCAAAGTCAACCCCAACCCCACAGAGAAGCAGCCCTGGTCCGAGCTTGCCAAAGCATCGATGAACGGGTGGAGCCGAACCTAGCGGCCGCAGCCCTAGACCTCCAACAGGTGGAGGTCTTTTGCACGTTCCTATTGACCAGCTTTCCTGCCCAATTTGCCTCCTGTGGTAAGCGCGTTGAGGTCAACTGGATCGACTATGCGAGGCGTCCGCTCCTCACTGCGCCCCAGGCGCTGGTCTGGGCGTACCGCGCACTGGCAACCGTTTTCATTGGCCGGAAGTATAAGGATCTGGACAAGGTTACGTGCAGTCGACATATGTACAGCCGGGCGTTGAACTATCTCGCCAGCGTTATCCGGCATCCGAAATTCGCCACTACAGAGGAGGCTCTTGCTTCTGGTATCCTGTTGACTATGTATGAGATGGTGGATGGCATTACGGGAGCGTCGTGGCTGACGCATACGCGCGGACTAGCCACGATGATCCAAATGCGTGGGCAAGAAGTCCATCGGTCTGGGTTTGGATTGACATTGTTCAAATCCTGTCGAGCCTTTATGGTCGCCGACGCGATGATCCGAGGGGAACACTGCTTCCTCGGCGAGCCACAGTGGCGGGCGTTTCTAAGCGAGTTAGCCGACATCGAAAGCCAGGCTGCCAACTGTAGTGAGCTTGCACTCATTGTCGATCGGGCATTCATCGAGATTGCCTCCTGTCCTGGGTGGCTCGTCGAGACACGAAGAGTGATCAAAACTGACGACCCCGAGGCCAAGGCACGGTTGGCGTGGGAAATCGGCTGCGGCCGATACCGACTGAATAAACTCCAAACAGAGCTGCAACGTGCGCTCGTCCATCAACGCCAGGCCTCCATTCTAGCTTGGCAGCAATTCGTCGGTCCCATTCCTTGGGACTTTGTCGACCCATTCGCCCAGTCCTCATTGTATGGTATGCGATTGGGCATTTCGTTGTTAACTCAATTGATCGTCTTGCTCAGAGCGGATCTCCGTCGGCGGTACTATCTTACAGAGCCGTGGGAGGATCCGGAGAAGCTCGGTCTGCAGTCGCCGAATCCGTGGAGTGGCTTGGAGGCGGATGCACCGGAGTGGCAGGTTCGATTTGATCCTGAGTATCTCCGGGATTCATATCAGATTCATCCTAGTGGGAATGAGGATTGGATGGATCGCATTGTGATGTCGATGGGGATGTTGGGGATTCGATCGTGATTTGTTGTTTTTCAGTAGGGTACATAAGGTATAACCCTTGGTTTCGTCTGATGGGTTCAAGTGGCACCCGTTGTACGAATCTTGTTGCCTTTCATATTCCCCGACAGCTTCAATTCATATTTAGGTTCACAGAGCTCTTTTCCTACTACCCATACGGCTAGTGAAGAGAATTGTAGTAGGTATAATAAAGTTACTTTCAATTAGTATTATAATACTGCCAATTGACTACCTAGTAGACCCCATACCACAGCAACATCTTGCACGGTTGACCTCAAACACACGTCCATCGACCAAACTCATAGGGCCGTAGAATCACTTCTTATCAATCTTGGCGGGCGTGGGAAAGACCACATTCTTATGCGTAAACGTAGGAAAGTCCTCGGCGCTAGGATCCTTCGGGCTGGCCGCCGAGATGACCTCAAAGTCCATGCCTGGGGGCCCAGTAAAAGCGGCACAACCCCAGTTCTCGCCGCATGCATCATCGTCCTGAGTTTCAGGAACCTTACCACAAGGAGCCTTGATCTTGCCGCCACCGTTAATCAGTTTACCATTTTGCAGCCCCTCCCATGCAACAATGGTGGGCTTGTGCTTCTTCTTGTCTTGCTCGTATTGCGTCTTTCTCAGCTTGTCATGCTTGTGCTCCAAACGATACTCGAGAGACACCATTACCTCGCCGCAGCCGGCCTGAGTGCGATGCTGGGTCACAGTACCTCCATTGGAGTTCGCCGCACCTTGACCGTTCTTGTGGCCCTGGCTCTGCGTGCTGACATCTTTCAGGGCTTGCATAACATCCTCGGCATTGTCCTTCAGAACACTGGTAAATTCCCCGTATTTGTCCTCAGCCTTGTCCTTGTCGGTCTTTTTGCCCTTGTCACTGTCCTTGCCTTTGTCGGTCTTTTTTCCCTTATCGGCATCCTTGCCCTTGTCGGTCTTTTTACCCTTATCGGCATCCTTGCCCTTGTCGGTCTTTTTACCCTTATCAGTGTCCTTGCCCTTGTCGGTCGTCTTTCCATCATCAGTCTCTTCTCTGGCCACATAAATATAACGACCACCGCCACCCTTCATACTAGACGCCAGATAAACCTCATTGCCGACCTTCATAGCGCTCATGACGGTAGGCAACGTAGCCTTGTTTACTTTCTTCTTGTTTGCCTCGAGGTGCATGTTGTACATTTCCATCCAGGCGGCTTTGGCCAGGCCGACGACATGGTCATTGGTGATCTTGCTGCCATCCTTGAAGCTGAGGATGGAGGAGTACTCAACGAAAGGGTTCTTCTTCCCTTTCGCGGGCTTGTTGAGGTCGTCGATTGTCTGGACCTTGAGACCGAGGGATACGGGCGAGGGAGCTGGCTTCGGGGCCCTGTCTTCTAAGGCTACCGGGGTGGCAGCGACGAGGGTGAGGAAGAGGTAGAAGAGGAAGTAGCAGATTTTGGGGAGCATTTTGGGATTAACCCCTAGGGGTTGGGATTAGGGCTTTGTGTAGTAATGATTGACTGAAGTTAAAGAGAGATATGAAATAAATAAAGGAATGAATGAATGAGGAATAAAAGAACGATTGCTGATATTCAAGTTGAACAAGGATGCGCTGCAGAGGTATTTATGCTATTTCTCAACATATTGCTATCTACACTGAGCTCTGCGTAGAAAACAGTTGCTTATACCGATGGGGTTAATGCGACGTTGATCGCAGAATCCATCTATGATTTTGGCACTCGAACAGACAATCTCTTTCCTAGTCCCTGCATATCTCTCATCCTGCGGAATTGTCTTCCTTCCGACTGTGGATATACAAGCTCCTATTCCACTTGGCGTGGACGCTACTGCCTGTATGCGGACACGCAAGCGAGGGGCGGCTATCTATGAGATTCAGGGTCCGGCAGCTTCGATACGGCTAGCATATCGGATAGAAGCCGGGTAGCTGCCGACATACCTGCAGATAGCGATCGCCGTTTCAAATATTGTGGATATGGCTTGGTCATGGCCCCAATCATAATCCCCGTGAAGAATCACCCAATTCCCATTCGTCCATCTGGAGGTCCTTGGGCTGCCATATCAGTATTACTACGGTGCAGGACTCGTAGCTCGAAACACGAACTCTGTAATACTGAGCAGAATATACAGTAGCTGCGACCAGCATATCCCCCATATGTTTCCCATTGTAGAAGTGACTCACCTATGAGATGGATTACGTTTCGTTTAGTTACGTGAGCCATAGACTAAGTAGGAAGCTAAGGGGGTGGATACCTGCATTCTAGGTAGTGTTTAGAGGGGTATGGCATAAACTTACGACCGACACAGTGACAGTGATTACAGAGGCTGTGCAGAAGCTAGTCGGTATAGGATGGGGCTCTTGCACGTGCGGAGAGATGCCGACCCGATTTTATCGGCAGCTTCCCGACGGATCGGCTCTTGCCGAGGGGTTTTAAAGGACTGAACCGCCATGACAGTTTGTCCTTGGCGTGGTTCTAGATGCTGTGATATGTACCCCTGGATGAGGTAATATCCAGCTAATGGCCCATGGAGACTTCATCTGGAGCTCAAAGATCACATGATTGTCAAATATTGTCCATTTAGACTTTCCCTGTGGATAGCTTCACTCGACCACTGATAGAGGCAATTCTTACTGCATGACAGCATTTACTCAATGTAAGCACACTCCTCATGCAACTCTTGCAACTCTTGCACATTACTAGACTCAAACGTATTGCGAATCCACTTCTTCGCCCCGACGTTAGTCGCCTCGTATTGTCGAAGCGAGCCCCCACATATCGCCTGCAGGATCAAAAGAAGGGTCTCACGCTTACCTTTTTCAGTCCTCTTTCTCGCAGGACCTTCAGCTCCTATTTCCGCAAAATGGCTACCGACAAGCCAACCTCCCCAAAAGCCAAGTAAGACCATTGCATGCCTCATATCCCACAGATTGCTAATCCAACTAGGCCCTTCACACAACTGCCCACAGACTGTCTGATATCTATCCTGGATCAACTGTCATCGAAAGATTCATTAGCAGTATCCACGACATGCAAAGATGTCCGGGCCTCGGCTACGCCTTTCGCCTACCGCGATGTCACCCTCGACTGGTCCAACCGGCCTCTGCGCCGACTACTGCAGCTATTGCGATTGATCTTCAATGACCCCGACATAGCATCGTATATCCACCACGTCAGTCTTGTGTCCTCTGAACCAGGAACCTGGGAAGAAACCCCGCCGGCCTTGGACTGGGAAACAGAGTGCCACAATTTCCGCGATGTCATCAACCAGTCCATAGACATTATCCAGCGCGCCGGATTCAGCGACCTCGATGACTGGCATGCGGTCCTGAAGAGCGGAAATACCTACTGCTACGCGGCCATTCTCCTCTCCCAGCTGCCCAACCTAAAGTCCCTACGTCTAGACTACTCCTTCGTCTGGCAGGACGGGTACCCAGGCACCATGCTCAAGCAGGCTCTCTTCTCCCCGAATGGAGTGTTATCCACCTTCCAGCATCTCGAGATAGTAGACTACGGCGGCAACGTCCCCATCGCCGAGCATGAGGACGAATCCCGGGATGGCTATCCCGCCTGCAATCCAGACCAATTCATGGCCTGGTTCTATCTCCCCTCGCTACGCCACTTATCAATCTGGCTGCGCGACATCAGCGAACTCCAGGACAACGTCCCAAAGCTCCATCTCAACAATCTAGAAACACTCATCCTCGCACGAACCACCATCTCCGAATCCGACGTATCTTTCCTCCTCTCCCAGACCCCCAACCTCCGAACCCTGCACCTAGGCCTAGCCTACGCCTGGGGCAGAGAACTAGTCCTCCAGAACGCCGACACGCTAGCAAACGCCCTGAAACCCCTCCACGAGACACTCCACCACCTCTCCCTGGGAGTAGAATACTACCCTTCGACCCTGGGCGACCGCTACTGGGACGGCGCAGACGACCACTTCCACGAGCCCCTCGGGGGTATGCTGTCCTGGTTCCCGAATCTGGTCTCCGCGGAGGTCCCCCTCTGCGTGATTATGGGTTGGTATATCCAGGATGCCACCGATCTGGGGCCTCGGCTGCCCAGATCCCTGCAGAGGTTGTGCTTGCGGGAAGATCTGCGCAGTTTTTATGATTTCGAGTGGGAGCAGGATGAGGTCGATGGGCTTATTCGGGGGTTTGTTTCCAGTTGGCGTGGGTTTAGTCCGCAGTTGGAGTGTATTACTTGGCGACTGTGGGACCAGAATTATATGGATGGGTGGGAGGAGTTTCAGGGGGAGTTGAGGGAGGCTTGTGCGGAGAAAGGCTTGGGGCTGGAGGTGGTTGTGGATGAGCTTGGGACGGGGTTGTGGAGTCGGGAGGAGTTTTCTTTGGCGAGGGGTGTGTCGTAAGGGGGATATGGTGGGTTTTATGGATTAAGATGGAGATTGGAGGGTGTTGTTGGTTGATGGTGAGGTTACCTGGTACATTAGGCTAGAATAATTAACTATTATACTATTTGGTTCAGTCGAGTTAATGCCCGAACTTGAATCACTGACTACTATGGGATTTTTTCGGGTTTTAACTAGCCGGTGAGGCAGAATGGTCTCTATTAAACGTTTAGCGCAACTGTTGCTTACATCTGCGGTTATGTCCTGCTAATAAAGGAATAGATACGGAATGTACAGAAGGGGAACATGGTCTCAGGTAGTCTCGACTTAGGGTAGTACACCATGGAGGTATAAAGATCCTAACTATACTGAGCCTGAATTCAAATATACGAGATAACTCGAGACCTCGCAGTGTGATGACCGATCTTGTCTAGGACGAACTCCGACATGAATGAATAGTACTATGCCAATCAGTAGTTTATGTATTCTTCTTGACTGTAACCTTGTCGCAGCGGGAATATATCTGAGAAGCCTGGGACCATGAACAAGTTTCTAGTTGTATGCATATCGACGGATATGTGCGCACCTGCTGATATTACTTGGAATAGAGTCATTCTAGAGGCAAATTCAACAGTATTTGACAGACTCACAACTATACCCAATCTATATCAGCTTTACACACCCACCACCACGTCCCCTCCACCTGATCATACAAACCGAGCAAACAAATGTTCCCCACATGCTCTCCACCATTGGCTACAATATGGTTGCCTGACAAGCCTCCCCACCGGGTCCTCCCCACCAATCACCGCGCAGGATGCCAGCCTAGTAGGGCTGACACGGTGGGGACGAAGGGGATAATTTTACAGACTGGAGCCGCGAGCAGCCGTTCACCAGACAAATTTAGAAGATGATTACACACGGGATAAAAAAGGGAATTCCCCCAAAGCAGGTGACCACGACGGAAACCCGGTCGTGGTCAAGTTTGAGATGGGGTCATATCTCTCCCTCCTCGAGACCTGACTAGCTTCCCGTCAAGATCATTCCACCAACGTGCTTTAGCCCGCGATCGTTGAAGTTTGATACCAGTGTTGCTGGCGTGTTTGCCTTATCTCCTCCCCACCGTTTGGCTGCCTTTTCTTGGCGGGATTAATTTCCCCCGTGGTAGTGCCTTTCTTAATTTCCCCATCTGTCTCACGGCGATACATTCCAAGAAATCAACAACCCATCACGGAGAAAAGAAATCGATGGCCACACCCACGCATGGCACCCTTTTATCCGCCGTAACCGCCCTCGCAAACACGTACCACTCCCGTGGTCGGACGGAAGAATCCCGCCGCCTGACCTCCGCGCTCGCCAAACTACGCGATGCACCGGACGATGACGCCATCGCGACCGCACACACCCTCGGCATTCTCGTCCTGACGTTCCTCGAACACGGACAATGGAATGCCGCCGCCGACATTGGGAAGCTTGTCGTAGATGCACGAGTCGCTCTGCTCGGCTCAGAGAATCCCTCCACGCTCACGGCGATGAGTAATCTCGCGGCTGCGTACTGGGGACAGGGGCGGTGGTCGGATGCCGCAGAACTGGGGCGACGGGTAACCGAGATTCGGAGACGGGTCCTGGGTGATGAGCACCCACAGACCTTGTCATCAATGTCGAATTTGGCATCGACATATGCCAAACAAGGTCGCTTTGCCGAGGCGGAGGCGATGGAGTCGCGGTTGTTGGAGGTTAAGGGTCGGACGCTGGGGGAGGGCGATCCCTCGACGTTGAGTACCCTCGGCAACTTGGCAACCACCTATACCAGTCTGGGGCGGTATGACGATGCGGAAAGATTGGAGCGACGGGTTGTAGAGCAGTGCGAGATGCTCTTGGGTGACTCGCATGCGTCCACGTTGACGTGGAAGTCGAATTTGGCGGTAACGTTCCGCGAACAGGGGAAGCTGGAGGAGGCGATACGGCTGGAGTCAGCGGTGCTAGAAACCCGCTTGGCTCATTTGGGGAGCAGGCATCCCCTAACTGTGACCTCCATGGCGAACCTTGCGACCTCATATCGGGATATGGACCGGTTGACAGAGGCCGAGCAGCTGGAGCTGAAGGTCACGAAGGTTAGTGAGGACGTGCTGGGGGAGGATCACCCGCAGACGCTGATGGCGGCGGGGAATCTGGCCGCCACGTATCGATGTCAGGGGCGGTTGGCGGATGCGGCGCAACTGGGGGCCAGGGTCATGACGTCGATGAAGACACATTTGGGGGAGGACCATCCGTTGACCTTGACGGCGATGGCGAATTTGGCGTTGACTTATCAGCAGCAGGGCCAGTCGCATCAGGCCGAACGGTTGACGTTCCAGGTGCTCCAGTTGATGCGCAAGTCTCTTGGCGAAGCGCATCCCCATACGCTGACCACGATGGCGAATCTAGGCGCCATCTACCAATCTCAAGGGAGATGGGACGACGCAGAGAAAGTCGCAGAACAGACCGTCCGCGGCAGAGAGATGGCCCTCGGGAAGGAACATCCGGATACGCTGGCCTCGATGGAGGATTTGATGCGGGTATACCGTGTCCTGGCCGCCGATCGGACGATGCAACGCGCCTCCATGCGATAGCATACATTGTGTGCGTCTGTCCTACTGGACTGGCCCGTGTGTCAGCATTTACGAGTTATGATCATTGCGTATTTGGAGTCGTTCAATTTGAATTTCTCGTAGAACGAGCATCTGAGGTAGTTTTGTTCATCTTGAATGGGTAGATCATACTGGTAAATCGACGTAATAAGGCCAGGGATCCAGCCCTTTATGTGACCAAATGTATTCCTCTGAGGCCAAGTCGAGGTAAGCTATGACCGCCAAATATAAAGTCCAGACTCCGTGCACAGCCACACTGCCAAGTCCTCAACCGGTCACAAAGACATTTCATTAAGCAATAATTAAACATTTAACTTACCCACTCCCTGTCATGGATCCTCCAATGACCAGTGGGATGTTTGCTAATGTTCGCCTGTGGGGACCTCGTGTCACGGACCAATATTTGTACCTTTCGGTCTGTGGAATATTATAACGAGAACATTTGATAGAGAATACGACCATTTCAATCCCATGAAATAGATTGATAGATGCCCATCTTGTCGGAGATTCAATTCACGGTGTTCGCTCTCATGCCGTCAGCGCAGACAGAGCAGGTTGTATAAGCATTGCTTGGGCCGGACGGTACATTATCAGTCGGATGACAGCTGTATTGCGGATCTGACAGAAGTGGATATAATATGATCATGCAGTGAGGCTGCATTTCTTCCTCAGCTCCCGTCAATGGTCGAGTCTAGCAAACCTTCATGCCGCCATCGATATATCCATTGCTGATGTAATGCATTGACACATGACGGTGGATAACCTCAGGCCTCATCTTGCTCTGGATTCGAAACCCACCCCTGCCACACCAACGAACAGCAACTAACACAGTAATCTTAAGAGAAGAAAACCAGAAGCAAACAGACGAAGTAGCAAGTTAGATAAAGAGAGAAAAAAAGTACAGAATCCAAGGATTTTTTCCAAGAGCAAAAAGCTCACTTCCCGGGTCTGTCTCCGTTGTGCCAGCCATCCAGAAAGCTACGAAAACCCCGAAGGATTTTACTGTCAAGCTTTTGGCTCGATCGCGAGGTCCGAGAATGAGTGGCAAGCCTCAGCTCCCACTGCACCATCAGGGCCCCGATGATGGAATCCTGTCGATGTTGAGTCATTAGTTACGCTGGGTTACCGAATCGGGAAGGTGTGCCTGGAAGTGAAGGCCTTATATCTTAGGTGTCGATCTCTTCGGTTATGGGGGATTCAAAGGGCACATCCCTGACTTCGCAATCCTGCTACTCTCAACAAGAATTGAACTCACACCCACAGTTGTCGTTCTAGCAATATATGACTTATTAGCATCTCTCCTCAAGGTACTTCGCCCGGCGACACGTCTTCCGACTGGCATTGTTCTTGTCTGTCTGTTCCCCGCGTTTGAAACCACAGTGTGTGCTCGATACAACCAGATCTATATCCCAAAATTTTCAAGGTCGTTCTGTAAAGGTTCGTCTGAGGGTGTACTATCCGATAAGGAATTCCCCTTTGTTGGAACGCGGCACTGACAAATCCAATAATGATCAGGGTTCCTAAAGGACAAGTCCTGCATGCCCTTACTCGTTTACTAGCTTAATACACCCTGCTAACAAAGTACCAAGAGTGAAGCCAGGAGGACCTCAGTGATAAATCTCGGAGTCGGGCCATCGCTCAACCCCGTTCCAAGCCGCGAAGGATCGCATATAGATTCCTTAGGACGGCCTTCGGGCTCCACACTGTCTACATGGCGGACAGGGTTTGGCTTAACAGCCGACGTTGGAGATCCGCCTGATGGTCTATGTAACCCTGGCCCGAGCCGGCTTCCACTTAAGGCAGGTAAATGTGGATCGCACAGCCGATATCCACCTCTTTCTCCTATTTACCTACGGTGTTCGTCGACGGAAGGCTTAGTTATGTTTACTAAATGCTATATCACAGGGATTCTCCCAGATCATAATTCAAATAAGACTATACGACGGACTTCGTGAAGAGTTACTAATGCCGCCGGTGTAGTTGCGCTTGGCGGAGCCCTAAAGGCACCGATCCTGTGCCAAGCCAATTCCAGCTCTAGCCAGAGCATTACACCAACCGCATAATGTAGGAGGACCTACAACGACGAGACCGGTGCTATTTGCTCAGCTTGGATATGGCATGATGTTGAAGCCAGTCAGGCCTCCATAACTCCGGCCCCTATATGCACATGTCTGCACTACGGACCTTACGTTTTGCGGCCCGAGGTGTACATGTAACATGTCTCCACCCTCAGTGCAGGGTTCATATTTCCATTGTCAACATCCCTGCTCAGGGGCCCAGTCTAAAGGACTGTCAGTCTACCATCTATCCGCGATAGGCGAGCACTGTGCGAAGGAATCACAGCCATGCTCCATGGGATTTCGATGTAGTATACACCAATTGACCCATTGCCGCTGCTCATGGGAGGCTTTATTTGTCCGTAGGCGCCGTTTGTCCAGACTAGACCCCTGCCATCGTGTGCTCTTGACAGGTAATGATTTCTCCGGCATGTTGGTTTGGGCTAATCCACAGCTGTAATACACTGTGGCATGCGGGTGCGTCTCAGCTGCTCTAATAAGTGTCAGCAGCCGCTCAACTTGGGCAAATGTGAACTCTCTAACCTCACGCAGCAATGGGGAGGTTCACAGATACCTGGAAGCCCGCTGTCAATGTCTTGACCTGGTTTCTGATGGTGACCGCCATCCTTGGCGTCTTTGCTCGGCTGGGGACTAAATATTGGATCTTTCGACGGTGGACTACAGATGATTATCTTAGTATTGTCTCGATGGTAAGAACGACATGTGTCCGAAGCGAGTGAGGGTTATGTTGCGACGGGTATTGATCTGCGTCTAGGTGATCTGCGCAGCACAGTCCCTCGCCGTGTCACTGGCCACTGCCAATGGATATGGTGACCAGTATGATACTTTATCGGAGGCAAACATCGAAAATATTATGAAGGTAGTCTTTCCCGTATTCCATCGCTGAGCAACTTGTAACAACTTATCAGTCGCAATATGCTGCCACAATCCTCTTCATCCTCAGCATGTGTTTCTCGCAGTTGGCCCTCGTCCACTTTACCCGGAGCGTCACACCAGCAGCTTCAGACCGCCGCGTTGCCTCCGGATTAGAGGTTTTGATTGCATTATGGGCAGTCACTGGTGTCATCAGTTCCGCTTTCAAGTGTAAACCACCCCGAACATGGGACTATCTATCCGGGCAATGTTTCGACATGGCGGCTTGGTGGGATTACATGGGAGTGACGAACATTCTCACTGATGCTGCGATTCTAGCTTATGCAATCCTGATTATTACCCGCATTCAAGCCCGGTGGAAGAAGAAGGTCACCTTGTCCATTGTATTCGGGCTGCGGATCTTGTAAGTAGCATTCATCTATACACTCCTTTGCCTCACCTCATTTCTAATCAGCGATCAAGTGTGATTATCGCAATCATGTGCCAACTGGTATACGCCAATAGAACCACTGATACGTCCGACCCAATCTCTGGCACCTGGCCTCTGGCGATATGCATGCAGCTCACCCAATGCTTGAGTGTGGTTACAGCCTGCTCCCCTCAGTTCAAACCTTTCTTGGACAGCCTCCGTTCGACAGGCCTACGCGTTGACGGGATGACACGCCACGACACCTCTCGTAGTGCGTACAATCATTCGTCTTCCCGGATCAAGTCGCAACAGCACAGTCAGGATCAACCTCCCCGTGAGGACCATGAACTGACTTCTATTGGTCGCAACAAGAGTTATCGCCAGACAACGGTAATCACGGCCAAACCGGACTCGGACGCAGCGAGCGATTCCAGCGAGGCCCACATAATCCGAGAAGTTCGCACATGGGCTGTAACCGCGTCGCCGCGTAGCTCACTAAGGGAATGTTCGTGTTAGCGCACGGAGCTACATTGTCAATCTTATAATTCTTAGTGTTAGAATGTGGTCGTACACCGGAGCATAATACACGCTCATCCTTTCGACTCTCCGATACGTCAAAAGTTTTAATGCGTTCGTACTTTTGTTAGACCTCACTATGGAGAAGTGGCCATACTATCAGCCCTATCCCTGTCAAGCTGGAGCGCTAAGGATGCGCCGTTGCAACCCCAATGCTCCACCGACCTCTCCGAGGCGTTCCAGATTTCGATCTCCACGACAAATCCACTTAGGCACATCGGAATACGTACAGAGAACATTTGACAAGCTCCACTTGGTCATGTTGGTTTATTTTAGCAGCAACATGCACCAACAGCCAACAAGCAGCTAGATCCTCTAGCTGCCTGATATCCCTGCAGGGTTGCACTTCCGCATTTCCTCGGCCTACAAGGATTCTATCTCCGACATGCGAAATGCAGATGCACTCAATAGTTTTACCTAACAGGGGGAATGAACTTTCTAAGCATGTGCCTGCACAAATCTAGTAGGGGGAACGCGGTAAACAGGATCTGATCCTTGTTGTTCAATGTTTGCCTCCTGCAGGGCGCTGAGCCATTTGTATATCCGAAGCTTCTTTTCTAAAATCTGTTTCAAGTCGCTGTTGCATCCTTCTTCCTTTGTTTACTCCTCGCGTTCTGCTCAGGCTTTGATCGTCGCATCGGCCGATCTCCGGAAATTCAGATTTCTGATCGGTCATTTCCTATAATTGTCATGGCTCAATATGAGCTGAAGGAAATGGGGGCTGCCGTTCTGCAGGAGGTTGAGGGACAGCCATCCCATCAGAACAAGGACGATGTCTATCTGGCCCGCATGGGGAAGCGCCCAGTCTTGCAAGTGAGCACTCCTTGTTTCGCCCTGAATGGAAAGACCACTGACGGTGTACAGAGAAACTTTGGTTTAATGTCCATGGTCGGTTTCAGCTGCACCATTCTTATCACCTGGGAAGCCGTAACTACGTAGGCCATGCACCTCTCACGTCTTGCATGTCATTTCTCAGGCTAAATGACAAATCTATAGTTTATTTCTTCAGTCTTTCCAGAAGTATGTGAGGTTCTCCCCACTCACTACAGATTTTAAGCCTTTTCTGACTCCATGCTAGTGGTGGTCCGGCTGGTTCAGTATACGGCTATATTTTCGTCTGGGTCGGTGTTACGGCGACCTTTGTCATTGTATCAGAGCTGGTATCGATGTACGCTATTCCCTTATCCAACGATCTAGCGAGACAGCCTTAATAAAAGCTCTACAGGGCACCGACGTCAGGCGGTCAGTACCATTGGTGCTCAATGATGGCACCGAAGTCTGCCATGAAAGTCAGCAGTTATATTACAGGTAAGTGCGCATTCCAAGCTGCGACTATATAACTGACGGGGCAGGTAGGCTGGCTCACGGTTATCGGATGGCAAGCCACATACGCTACGGGATTGTATCTGAATGGAAACTTCATCGAGGCGCTAATCATTCTCACCAACCCTGATTATACACCGGCACCGTGGCGGAAGACGCTTTACTCATGGGCTACAGCAGTCTTTGCAGCCAGTATAAATATTATTGGAGGCAAGCTGCTGCCTCGATTCGAGGGCACGATTCTGATCCTCCACATTCTGGGTTTCTTCGCCATCCTTATCCCATTAACATACATGGCGGAGCATAAGCCGGCTTCGGAAGTATTCACATACTTCATCAATGAGGGCCACTGGCCGACCCAAGGTCTTTCATTCTTCATCGGCATCATTGGCCCCGTGTTCGCATTTGCAGGCGGCGACGCAGCAGTGCACGTATGTTGACCCTCAACAAAAATAACATACCCATGGCTAACATACAGCACTGCAGATGGTTGAAGAAATGACCAACGCAACAGTCGCCGTGCCCTGGTCGCTAATGCTCACAGTCCTGATCAACGGAACCCTAGGATTCAGCATGCTAATCGCCCTCTACTTCTGCCTCGGTGACATCGAAACATCGCTAAAATCACCCACCGGAGTCCCCTTCCTCTCCATCTTCTACCAAGCCACGGAATCCACCGCCGGAACCGCTGCAGCGGGCTCCGTGATCCAGGCCATGTGCTGCTGCACAACAGTCGGCATGCTGGCATCGGCCTCGCGCCAATTCTGGTCTTTTTCGAGGGATAGGGGTATACCGGGGTGGCGCGTCTGGAGCAAGGTAAGTCCCCATATCCGTCTTCCTCATAACCCCATCGCCCCACCAGCCCACTAAAAAACAAAATATAAAAAAAAAAGGTAACACCGCGCACCGCAATCCCAACCTATACCGTCCTCCTGACCAGCACAATCGGCTGTCTGTTGAATCTGATCAACATCGGCTCCGACGTCGCCTTCAACAGCCTCGTCTCAATGTCCACGTCCGGCCTCTACCTCTCGTACATGATCGCTGCCAGTCTCCTCCTCTACCGCCGTTGCACGGGCGAAATCAGTGAGGCCAAGCGGAACTCCGAACAAACGATGGTCAATACCGCCGGCGCCAAGCTCGTCTGGGGCCCGTTCCATCTTCCCGGTGTATGGGGTATCGGTATTAACATCTTCTCATTGGTCTACATGTTCATCGTGACGTTCTTTAGCTTTTGGCCGCCGATTAATGACGTTAATTCCGAGTCGATGAACTATAGTGTGGTTGGCACTGGGGGGACGGTGCTGCTGAGTTTGGGGTATTATTTGGTGAGGGCGAGGCGGGTTTATGAGGGGCCTGTTATTGAGATTTAGCTTTTTGGCATGGGTATCTCTGTATATTTATTGTTGGGGGAGGTGTGGTTGTTTGAAACCCTTCGAAGGAGGAGTGCAAAAGTCAACTTATATAATTGTACTTAGGAAGCTAATTGGGGTCCAACCAGGGCTACCTAGTAGAGTAACATACTAACCAAAGGAGGTACTCGTTAGTGCCTCGATCTCCGATGACCAACGTCTTATTAGACCCCGCTATTGCCTCGAGGAGTAGTCAGCTTAGCGCATGCGCTACAGCGGCTAGACTGAGTTCAAAGAGCTAGTAGTATCTCAAGGTTCAATAATGCGATATTGTGAAAGATATCAGGGTGGAATAACCGAGTGTCCCGTCTTCTAAGATTGGCCCCGTCAGCAGTTTGATCTAAATTCCATGTCGGAAGATACGACCACACGGATTGTGACAAGGCAGCTACTATGGCGACAACCGGACTATAGCTGCAGGAATGAGTCAGACTCGAATGTCCCACCCCTGCAAAACACAAAGACAACATAAGCAGAGGAATCCCACCGTCTCCATCCGTCCACTCTTCACTTCACACTTCCACCATGCCCCAACCCGCCCCCCACCCTCTCATCCACATCAACGGCTTCCCCGGCACCGGCAAACTAACGACCGCCCAACAGATCCTACAACTCTTTGCCTCCCACTCAACAGACATAAAACTAATCCACAACCATCTCCTCGTCAACCCAGCCGACGCCGTCCTCCACCGCACCCAACCAGGCTACCAACCCCTCCGTCACGCACTCCGCACCGCGGTCTTCACCTCCCTAGTCTCCGAGCCCGCAACCTACCACACAACTTACCTATTCACCGACTTCCAGATAAGCAATGACCAAGGAATCAGTGTCTGCATGGAATACGCCCAGGCCGCCAGAGACCGAGGATGCCTTTTCATCCCCATTGTCCTGGTGTGCGACGAAGCTGTGAACCTGGAGCGGGTCATACGTTCGGACCGAGAGATACATGGGAAGCTGATGGATGTGGAGTTATTGAAATCGTTTCGCAACGGTGCACCGGTTTATAGGTTTAGTGATCGGAAGGAGTTCCTGGAGATTGATGTCACCGATTTGCAGCCGGAAGATGTGGCGCGAAGGATTTGGGGACATGTTTTGGGGGTGTGGGATGGGTTGCATGGCGAGAAGTGTAAGCGTTAGGGTTTTGTTTGGATTGTTTGTTTACTTACTTACTGGTGATCCGGTGGATTACTTGGTGTGTGTATCTATCCATGAGTGGGATGGGGTGACGGTGCTAGATATTTGCTTCGCTGGTTCAATGTAGTTTATCCACCATTGAGGTTGTCTTTGGCTACAGCGGTCGTGCAATATCGGTAGCCTTTGGGATTTTGTTAGAGTTGAGAGTATCCTGGCGTTGGTTTGGCAGCTGAGGTAGGGAGGATGCGTTGTATAACATTCTTTTATTGGATTAGCATGTATAGGAACGAGTTTCGATATCAACGAAAGCATGATAGAGGCTCTGTCTCAATCTCTAGACATAGGTAGGTAAGTATTGTAATTAACATAATCAAATATATAAAATATCTATTTCTCAAGCCCTTTTATATAGTAATCTTTTATTTAAGGAGATGGCGATACACTATATTACTAGGCGGTCAATGGATTTCGTGAGGAGACTAAAAGCTTCATTAGATCCGGTCATTACCCTATCCAATGCGAGTCCTAGGTAGTCAGCTTAGCACACACGCTACAGCGGCTAGAATGAGATCAGGGAACTAGTAATTCCAGTTTCAATGATGTATCGCTGGTGTATTCCCTTGTCCGGGAGGAACGCGAAAGCAAGTAGAGCTTCTGAACGTCGAATTTAACCCGTTGACAGAATCACACGGTGTTTGTCGATGAGAGTGTAACAAGTCAAGACAGCCTTGAGCTTGTCACGATGTCAGAGAAGGTCTTCTCTGTCCACCTGCTTGATATTAGATATAGTTGACGCTGCTCTTAGGATGGCTAGTGGAGAACTGATCTTACATTCGGTATTGGAGAAAAAGGCCTGGAATTGAAACGAGGAAGGCCACGCTCATGTTCAGCGACAGTATAACCCCTGTTCGCTTGGAGCGCGCGCACCCCAAGCG